ATCCAGCTCATGTTAAATAAGATTGACATTGAACAGCCGATCACCAACTATGATCAAATGTCAACAGCATTGAGCCATGTCACTAGTACCAAAAACCAATGGAGTCGCCACCGCGGATATCCCCCAGAAATGTTGGTTTTTGGAAAGGGAGTAAGAGTGCCGGGATCTATCACCTCAGATCCGACTGTAGCTGCCCATGCCACGGCTTTGTCACCCCTGCCAGATGGAGCCCGATTCCGGCAAGAACTTGCGATCCGTGAAGCTGCCCGAAAATCATTTGCCATGGTGGATAACGACCAAACACTCAGAAGAGCAATCGTCCACAGAAGCCGCCCACATAGGGGTTTCTATGAAAAAGGGGAATGGGTAATGATGTGGAAAAAGAGAGGGGAATCTGAAGGTAGCTGGATAGGCCCAATGCAAGTAATAATCCAAGAGGGACAGAATGTAGTGTGGGTCACCCGACATCACAAACTATATCGCATAGCCCCGGAACACTTGCGGAGCTTGTCAGCCATGGAAGAATTTTCCCAAAAGACCAATCCTGAAACTGCCAGCACTCACCCCAGTCAGACTATCATGCCATCCCGGGGAGGAGTACAATTCCATGACACGATTTCCACAAGACACCATGACAATGGGCCAGTTGGAAACAACCTATCAAATGCCAGCATCCCGACATTGCCTGGAGATGCGAGAGTGGAAGCAATTCCTGCACCAGTGGCTGCTCCTGCGACATCTCAGGAGGTAATGCGTCCAGCGCCAAGCACGAGTGAACAGCCAGAGTAGAACCCGAGATCCAGTCCATTCCTTCCAGTGGATCAGACAGGAATAATCCCCAACATGACCAAACTGAAGTTCCAAATCCAATTGAAGTGCCAGTTCCTGACAGCTCTGATGACGATAGCTTGTACATTGAGGATGAACCCTTATACCATGTTCAAGAAAACCAGGTACTGAGGTTTGAGGTGAACATCAATCAGAGAGATATCGAAAACTGGAGGGAAGAGACAAGACCGCAGGAAATGGCTTTCCTTGTATCTGCCGCCAAACGTCAGCGCAGTGAAGTCAAGATATCACAGCTGAGCCCAAAAGAGAGACAAATGTTTGAAGAAGCAAAAATGAAGGAAATTGAAAGTTGGTTATCCACTGAGACCGTTTCCAAGATCCTCAGACACCAAATTCCCAAAGAACAAATTCTCAGATGTAGGTGGATACTCACGTGGAAAGAGATCGATGATACTTCCAAAGGAAGCCAACAGATGGTAGACGGATCCAAACCGAACACTCGAAAGCCAAAAGCAAGACTTGTGGTGTTAGGTTTTGAAGACCCTTTGGTTGATCAAATTCCTCGTGATAGTCCAACAATGTCCAAACTTTCCAGAGTCCTTATTCTCCAGCATGCTGCCAGCTTGGGATGGGACATACATAGTTTTGACATCAAAACAGCGTTTCTCCGAGGCACTGAGAGAAATCCTCGCCTCTTGGGAATGGAACCACCAGAAGAGATGCGACGGAAAATGAACTTAAAGCCTGAAGAAGTGGTCCAACTCCTGAAAGGAGCATATGGTCGTGTTGACGCACCTTTCTTGTGGTTTCAAGAGCTGCGTCAGAGCTTGCTGGATCTGGGTTTTTCACAGGCACCATTTGATCCATGCTGTTTTGTGCTACGCGGCCCTGACCAAAAGCCTGAAGGCCTACTGGGAATTCATGTTGATGATGGACTTTGTGCAGGATCTAAACGTTTCCATGAAAAATTGACTCTACTGGAAAAGAAATACCCTTTTGGAAGCCACAAAAGCCGTGAGTTCACTTTCACTGGTTTGAAGATCTGTCAGAAAATCGACCAATCCATTTGGGTTGACCAAGAACAATATGTGAAAGATATCCATCCAATTCAAATTCAAAAGGATCGAAAACAACAAACATTGGAACCTGTCAATGAGGCTGAACGCCAGGGTCTCAGAGCCTTAATTGGGTCTTTGCAATATGCCGCTGTGAACACAAGACCAGATTTGTGTTCCAGACTTGGATGGTTGCAATCTCAAATAAACCGAGCAGTGGTAGGTACCTTAATTGAGGGTAACAAGATTCTCCATGAAGCCAAAATGAATGCTGATGTTACCATTAAGTTCCAACCAATTCCAGTCGAAGACATTCGGTTTATTGCGTTTTCGGACGCATCATTTGCATCCGCCAAAGTGCCCGATTCACATCAAGGCATGCTCGTGATGGCTGGGCATAAAAACATCAGTACCAACCAAAACAGTCCTGTGAATCCCTTGGTATGGCATTCGAAAAAGATTCAGAAAGTTGTTGTCAGTACACTATCTGCCGAGGCAATGTCACTTGCAGGTGCCGTTGATATTCTTGCGTGGATCAGGCTCTACTGGGCATGGATCCGAGATGGAAAGTGTCAATGGCAGAAGGCTGATGAGACACTCATGCAATTGCCCCCAGCGTTTGCCGCCATTCCACCTGAAGATGATTCCAAATCCTCACAACCACCTGAAGCAGTACAAGATGCACTTTCAAAATTACCTCAAACAACAAAATCAATAATCACCACTGATTGCAAATCACTTTTTGATCTGATAAGCCGACAAGCACCTCCTAGTTGCCAAGAGTTCCGCACCTTACTCCAAGCCAAGCTCATCAAAGAACATCTGAATAACGGAGTAAGTATCAGATGGGTACCCTCACAAGCACAATTAGCCGATGCGTTGACAAAAATAATGGACAGTAGCGTGCTAAGGGAATGCTTGAAGAGAGGACGCTACAGCTTGCACGACGAAGATGAAATCCTCCGTGCCAGATCGGACTCCCGTGCCCGTTTGCAGTGGCTCCGTAACATGTCAGATGGATCTAAAGGGAATGATTCGGAAGGAGGAAAAGCCAAGACGTCCACTTTGTGAATCTGATGAGGGAGAGATGCATCAACGACATGACACCGAGCTCAGCGATGTATCTTGAACATTTTTACAGTTTTGGGAATCTGAAAACCAACAGAAACCACTGCCTGCTCAAGATCACATGTTCCAAACCCTTGTGCTTCCGCAGCAAAGGGCAAAGGCTCGAGGTGAGCCTGTGGCGGGAGGGATCTTTGCCTTGAGCGCCATATTGGAAAAGGGTGCGGCACTCCTGTGGTCTGGAGGAAACTATTTGGTTTGGAAGATCAGGGATCTACAACATATCCATTTTCATTGATCAGGGATCATTCTTTTGGAGGTGAAGGAGATCAGGCGATCTCTGGTTGGGCTGCTACCAATCTTTCGAGAAATATTATATAGTTATATATATATATATATTAGATCTACAAATATCTCCAGTATTATTTATGTGGCTTGGTAGATAAGCCACATCTCTTTAGATGAAACCTGGGGGAGCCCACAACGACTCAATCCTTTTTTGTGGAATTCCAACATGTTGCTGGGTAAATCATATAAGGTTTAATGATGTTTAATGTATAATATATGGTGTTCCTTAATGTTTTCCTGTGTTAGTCACTGCTTTTGCTATTTTTTCCCCACATGTTCGCCACGTTCTTTGGTGAAATCCAAATAAACATCCCCATTTGTTCTGCGTCAATAGCATGGTTCTTACCCATTTTTGTCAGCTTCATCTTCCCCCACCATCGCTTGCAATCTGTTGGTGAAATCCAAATTTTCCCCACAGCCAGTCTTGGCTATTTACTCAATATCCAATTGTGGTCTGTGCAGAACCTCAAATCAGGTCACTTTGGACTAGTTCCTCTTAACCCCTTATTCTTTTCTGGTGAAATGCAGTTTGTAAAAAACAAACAAACCTGGTTTTCCTGCATTTTTAGACCATCTTCAATCCCTAAACGTCCGCAAGAACGTCGGAAATCCTACAAGATCGAAACCAACAAAATAGTCAGGTTTTGCAGTTGAACTGTTAAACAGATCCACCTCCACCCAAGCTTGGCTACGTGGTGAAACGATCTTATTCAAATAAATTCCCATCAATGAGTAAACAACACGATATGGAAAGGGTTGTTTCAACATGGTTTCAACTCAATGTCAACTCAATGAGTGGTCCAACTGTTTCTTGGAAAATAGTAAGTCCCTCAAAAGAGGCCGAAACCACTAAACACCACGATTTTTTTTCGTGGGATGTCACTATGTTCAGCAATTTTAAGCTGGTGATATGATTTTCTCCCAATCACTTATCAATATTAAGCCATATAGAAACCATAGAAAAATCCCCTGGAATTTCCATGATTTAGATCCTTTGAAACGCCCGTGAGAAAGGATGTTTAACAATAAAATTCCTATATTTCCCCAGGAGTTTCCCTATGAAAACCACATGTTCATCTATTTTCCAATGGGATACTTTAGATATCTCCTAATCTATTTTCCATTGTCCCATTTGATGTTGATCAACCATAGGATTCCTCTCCCGTTAAGCCCAATCAAATAAACAAATGTCGAAACCACATATAAAACCACATAGAAACCATAGTATTCCAACATAATTTTCCCATCCAATCAAGATCTGTTGAATCATATACGAGAGGATTATCCTATGATTTTTGGAACTATTTTCCTATTATCCCCATGAATCTTACAATCAATCGACCACATACAAAACCTATCTAAAAACCTATAGTATTGATCGCATGATGTTTATCTGTTAATCTTCAATCTTAATCAAGATTTTAGATTGTCGTTAGATATTCCAACTATTCCAATCCATCTAAAAACCGAAAAAGTATTCCTACATGGGGATGGGTCAAAACCCTGGTACCTAGTGAACCCCAAAATAGCTGGGATTTATGGATGTGAATAACCCACTAAAAATGTATCTATAGGTATTGATCCATACCCACATGGGTGTGTCTGAAAATAGTGTACCCCTAAACCCAATGGTTAATGATCATTATCCCTATTAAATGGCTATAATTGGGAATATACCCTATTTTCAGACAAACCCACATAGTTTTTCCCATGATCTTCAGAAAAATCCGTGCGCCGAGCGTCTGAGTTTGCAATCCTTCGCCGGACAGGGGTCCGCATTGCAGGACCGCGTCTCGGCCAAGGCGTCGTCGCAGGTCTGTCCACTGAGGTGATCCTCGAAAAAAGTGGGGAAACCTACCTGGGGGGAGCAAAATCATGGGAAATATATAGAGGAATGCTATGGTTTTATAAGGATTTAGATGATTTGTATATGGTTTTTATATGGTTTATCATGGGAAATAGATCGAAAAACATCCAAGTGATCGGGGAAAAACAGAGGTAAATTGGCCAAAATCATCCAAAATCATCCAAGTTCTTGGTGATGATCAGTGGAAAAAAAAAACAACTTGGGGTAGCCATATTTCAGGAAACCTTCATACTTATGCTCAAGAAACGGTCAAGAAACGGTCAACAAACCATCCAATAGGGTGCGTCTTTGTGGTTTCCACAGAAACCCAGTTGCTTTCCACACCTACTTTGCTGGCTGCAACGGCGTTCTAAATGGCCTTGTTTAATAGGGAAAAGTATGATCAAGATTGATTAAGCATCAAATTTGAGGCTTTTCCCAACATGTTCAGACAAACCCAACCACAAAACAGCAAATGATAGCTACCCTCCGGTGTCATCAAACATGGCAAGCCAACGAAAAGGATGTTTCTAGCTGGGAAAATCGCCTATATGGATATGTTCCATCGCTATGTTTGACTATCGGCTAGGGAAAAAGGGCAAAATGGCCAATTATTTGGGAACGTTGTTAAACACGCGAGGATTGCACCAGAAACATTGAGTTAAAAAAGAGGAGAACTACAATCTGACAGAAAGCATTATCTTCAGAAACAAATCGAAAAAAATTGTCGAAGTCCATATTTGTGGAGATGTAGTTTTGGATGATGGGAACCGACCATGCATTCTGGCTTAGACCTGGAATATTTGGCAATCTGGATCTGAAAAAGACACCTCTGAGGCTTAGGATTTGTTCGGGCAAAGCGGCAAAGCCTGCCAGAAAAAAAGGTCATCCGGTTTACTGGGCTTGACTCAAAAATCACCCTTTAGGGTCAACAGTTTTCTCTGAAACATGGATTCTGGCTGGATTTCTCTGAAGTATTTCACCGTCCAACCCCGCCAAAAAATGACATTCCAGGGACGTCACGACCTGAGGATACCTGAGGTCATGATCAAATTCATCCAAACTCATGATATTGATATATTAAATCTCTATACAAATCACCATCAGTGTGACATTAGGATGAATAATGCGATATATATATATATAAATCAGTAGTAATAATATAACCCCAATATAAGCCATACAAATCACTATGAATATTGGGCTTATTCGGGGGCATGGGATGATATTCCTCCAGGGGAGCCGACCGCCATGGATTTTTTCGCTGTCCTCTGAGGCAACACGACGCATTCGGGACTGATAGCCCCCACCTACAGATGCACCAGGAATTTTCAAACAGCTTTGATGATGAGCCATCTATGGTGGATCCTTTAGATGGGAACCCACCATGTGAAAATCTATGTTGTACCATATTTTTCTCATATACCAGCAGCATTTCAATACCTTATGAATCTATATTAATCTTATTATACCAGGATTTCTCAGCTGCTTTTTCGCCAAAGTTCAGGCCATCCCTGAAATCCAAGCGTAGCATTTCAGCTGGGATGTGGATGCCCTAGAAACATGCTGAAACCAAAGATTCAGCTCTCCAATTCCACAGGAAACTCCATATCCAGCCATACCCTGAGGTAATTCAGAAAGGCTGACTGGAACATGATCCATTCGTAGATTCGTAGATGATTTACGTCTCAAAAATCGGGGCTGTCCAAGAATGTTCTATTGCCATGTTCGTTTCACTGAAATTGGATGATGCTGGATGTTTGTTGCTGGATTTAGCGACTGATTTTTTTCCAAAGAAAACGCTTCAACTTGGGGTGCACTTCCCGGATATTATGTAGCTATAGTTATATAGGATATCGTAAGGTCTATATCCTAACCCTTCGGAAGTTGTCACAATGGTCATACCGCGTTATACCTATAACATCACCCCAACTGCTGCCCCACTTAAACGCCTCGCAACTGCTTCATTTCGTCTGGCTAAAAAAACAAATGAACATCAGAAACCTTATAATATCCTAATTTTCCATATAGGATATTATCCTAAACATCTGGTTATAAAACATCTGCCATGTGAAAAACAGCTAACGAGTTGTCCCACGAATTAGTTTACCCCCAATCTCTTCACTGCAGCGTTTCCATGTGAGGCCGTTGCGTGATTCACCGAGAGGCCACAAGAGCTGGTACAGATGGTCCAGAGATGCCAGTCCCTGCAACTGCACAATATGGCATTATAATGGGCTATGAGGGATGTCAATGGCGTATAAATATATATATATAATGTATAATATATATATATTATATTATATATCATATATTATAGATTATATATTTTATATTATATTATATATATATATATTAATATGTATGCGTGTGTGTGTTTGTTCACCAATTTCATCCAATTTTGGGTGTGGCTGAAAATGGTCGAAAGACCTCCCCATGACCATTTTGCTGGGAAAATGATGAAGAACAATCTGTTGGAATTGGGGGTATATATGTTCAAATACGCCCATGTGGATTTACCAGGGCGTGTGTTTCTGCAGTGGTATTCTTTGGATACTTCAAGTGTGCGGTGGAGTGTTGGCATTGGATGCTCACCCCCTTTTTGTTGGACCTTCGATGCTTTGGACAGGGCTGGACTCAACATAAGACCACCAAACAACATTCAACCCCAAAATGATCCAAGAAGTGCAAGAAACGATACGATAGAAAAGAAAAAAATAATGCCAAACCTGTGGCTCCGGGAATTTGCTTAAACAGACCTACAATACCTCACTTATCTGTCAGGGAGTCCAGATATTTGGACGCGTTCTACATCTGCTATCTGTGGTCTTAGTGAATTTATTGGCTAAACTGGACTATCCTTTTGTTGGTGATATGTATATCCCTCCCTATATTGACGAAATTCCGATTGTAGTTGGTGAAATTGCTTTGAAATCCATGTTGTCATCATACCCCCCATGAAAATCCTCTGAATGTCACATATGTTTTTTGATGATGTGTTGTTTGTAAATGTGTTTGCTCGTGTCATGACATGTTGAATATGTTTACCCGTGTACCCCCTATGTTTCCATATATGTTGATGGGATCTTCTCATGGGCGGGCTTCCGCCAACAAAACCTGGATGTTGTTCCATTCTTTGAGCTTAGAAATTCGATGAAACAAACTAGTTTTAACAGAGAATGGTCCAAAAAGTAGGTGTCATATATAAATATTATATATATATATGATATAATATATATATATATCAATAATATTATATATATTATATATGTATACATCTGCAGCCAGTTGTACCATAACACATGTTTCGTTCTCAAGGCCGGTCCAAGGTGCGAATAGATGCAGGGCTTTGGTTCAGGACCCCCACAGGGTCTGGTTTCTTTGGTACTCCCCTTGCCTCGGTGACTGGGGGCTTTCAATGGGGGTACCCAATAGCTGGATGGTTTATGAGGGAAAATCAAATAAAACATGGGATGATAAACTGGGGGTACCCAAATATTTTAGGAAACTCCCATTTGAGTGATGACTGACTGGCTGAAATGGGACGTTTCCGTTCAAACATCGGTTCTTTATGGGATCTAGGCAATCTTTCATGATGGAAATGGATCAACAAATGGTAAAAACAGCTCCATATACTTTCCACTGAAGCTTCATGGTAAGCCATGGTAAGCCAGAAGATAACAAACCCTTCTGGACGAAACCTGTGACGAACTCTTTCGAAATCTGAAACGCATTGGGATGTTATTCTATCTGATTCTATCTTACCATACTAACATCATCTCATTACAACTAACCATTGCCATCTGTCCAAGTCAAAGGTCCAAGTCAGCTGGTAAGATACAGGATGTAAAAGGATGTAATACTCATTCTCTGATTTAAAGAGAGTTGTACTTTTCAGAAGTGCACATTTACAGATCTCTGCTATCTAAGCTATATCCCTTGCCGCCATGTCACAGGCTTCACCGTCGTTCTTGGACTCCGTGGCCACGTGCCGAGAACGTACCGATTGGTCCACCTGCGGTTGGTGAAAAATGCTGTGGCTTGAAACGACAAGCAGTTGGTGTGATGGAGGTTGCCATGAGTTCGGTGAGTTTTATGGACCTTGATAAGTAGGTGGTACGATGATGCAATGCTATAACTTTGCAGAAATGAATCGCAATCGCAAGTACTTGACACAGATTCATGGTATGACTTGAGAATCCTTGAGTTATAAGGGTTGGCCGAATTGCAACAATTCACCAACCTGAAAATAGCTGAAACGGCGATTTGGGGATGATTCCCCGTTCATAAACCATCATTCCAGTGACGTCCAGTGAGGCCATTATATATCCATTATATATAATATACGTATAATATGGATCATATTCCATATATATTAATATATACAGTATATATTATATATATATATAGGGTAATACAATGAGGATGATTGCCATGTATTGCCATGCCCTTCCGCGTTGAAATGTAAAAAAAACAAGGGCAAGGCCTCCCGTTGCTCCCGTTTTCGGACCTGATTCTCACAGGCACTCCACTGGCCCCAGCCGGAAAAGACGCAATCCTGACCACAAATCTTGGGAAAACCATGGAAGGCCCCCAGCTTCATCCTGAACAGGCATGATTCATCCATTCAAATCATAGATATGTGATGATATGTGATATCTATTGAGATCTGTTGTAGTTTCCATAAATATTTCATAGCCATAAATACACCATAAATTCAGACAGCTTTCATCCAGGAATCCGGGATCGAGGGAACTTTCGGGTCTGAAGTTCAGGTTGAAAACATGAAGAAATCATGGTTCATCTAAAACCAATGGTACTTTAATGTACTTTAATCATAAAACCACTATAGAAATGCTGCTTCCCATTTTCATCTCAGACACGACAGTCGCGACAAATCATGAACCTTTGGACTTGAACCAACCATCTTCCCTTTGTGCTACAGCCCTCGTACACTTCAGATCCCAAAGATGTTGAGGGCGTCGTCGTGCTGAGATATTCATGATATTCATCGACCCATTTAGGGAAGATGTTGACACCCGGCCTCATATTTTCGGAGCATCAACCTAATTTAAGGTTATTTGAAACCAAAAAAACATTAAAAAAAAAAAACAACCCCGGATGAATCAACCAAGTCGGTTCATTAGGGGGTCTCAGTCTCACCTTGAACATAGTGGGAGGTTCCTGTTGCAATTGGTAGCGCCCCCCTCCAATTGGTTGACTGGAAGATTTACTCATCCTGAACCAACATTGTTGACATATTGACCCATGTTGACCACTAGAATCCTATCCATCTAAGAAATCCATGTGGCACCCCGTGGCCCGCCTGTTTCAGCTTGAGACACTCAGGCTTTGCCTCCACCGCTTTGGACTCCACTTGAGTGCCGAAACAGGGCAGGCCGCATTCGTTGTTCTCTACCTGCAGCATGCTGTCATACGGGAGGTGACACGATTTCTGGAAGGAAAAACTGGTTCATAACTGTCTTCCAGCACGTGACGTAGAAGTGTGCTTCATTGTCCTTGTTTCCAACTGAAAACGTACCTCCGAATGCTGTTTTTTTTCCCGCATCGCGGCTGAGTTCCACGGACTTGACGGATCTGAACAAAAATATTCGACATCATCATCATCATCATCACCACCAGCACCACCGCCATCATCATCATCTTTCCATAGTTTTCCCATGGTTTTTCCATCATCGTCTCCCCTCACCTCGATATGCCGATGTCTTGAGGCAATCTGAAGGCATCCCTCAGCGTCTTGCCACCTGGGAAATACCGAAAAGTATGGCTAGTGCTGTCATCAACAGAACTAGAAAATTATGGGAAAAATATAGGAAATTATTGGAAAATTATGGGGAAAATATGGGAAATTATGGGAAAAATATAGGAAATTATTGGAAAATTATGGGGGAAATATGGGAAATTATGGGAAAAATATAGGAAATTATTGGAAAATTATGGGGAAAATATAGGAAATTATTGGAAAATTATGGGGAAAATATGGGAAAATTATGGGAGATTATGGGAAAATTATGGGAAAATAATTGGAAATTATGTTGATTATGGGAAAATATCCTTCAGATGACAGCATGAACTGAAAAATAATCTGTCAGCAATGGAAAATTATGGAAAATTACTCCTTCAGATTCTTTCAGCACCAAACTGTTTGGGACAATTCTCAAAATGGATGTCACCTAGAATATATATTAAGGAAACCAACTGGGTGCGGAAGGAAGGTATTCAAAAATCACGGATGGCTGTTGGAATCAAGCGATTCGGACTTTCAAAGCAGATTTTGCCGACCAGTCCTCCACGTTCGGATCAATCACCATGGCGACTATGGCTATGGCTCAAAGTATCAAGCAAAATCGATCAATGATTTACGAGTTTGGGGGTTCAATCCACAAAAAAAGAAAACAATCTCAGTGCAAATTGCACCAAGAACCATGATCAGGTCCCTAAAGCCTAGACCCCAAAAATGCCTAGCGCCCAGTGACAAAGGGTTTTTTTTTGGGCTCCCCTGCGATGCCCACGCGCTGAAGAGGCAATCCACAGGTTTGCACAGAACACACCTGGCCGAAACGCTTCAGAGATTCTACCGATCCCATCTGATTTAAGCCCCAAAATTCATTGGGGTATATAACGCCGGGTTTTCTAATGGGAATTTCTAGATGAATATACCGTGAAACACTATGAACAGATATGAACAGTAACACACACTTAAACTCTTGCATCCAAGATTATTGAATCCCATTATGATCATGTGCAACCTGAGAAAAATGTGGCCAGTGTCCAAAGCACCAAACAGGTTACCCTCAAGCACTCGAAAGGAGAAAACACTACAGCAAGTATCCCACTCGAAAGGGTAGGGAATGGAAACCCCAAGAATGGTGAGCAACAAAAGCTTGAACATGGGAGTGCTTAGAACATGTTGAACAAAGAAACATCAAATAATGTTTCAAGATGGATATTGTTTGTTGATGCTTGTTGGGTCTTACATACCCTCCATAAAACTCAGAGATCTTCGATGATTTTTTGCAACCGCAAGCAAAATCGCCCGTCATTGGGATGCCCGTGGTTGTCCACAAGTTGATAGTTGCCCTCCAGAGCTTTGAAACATTGATCTCATTGAACGCATCGCGTATATCAACATCATGTACGGATTGCAAATCAACTATCTGAACTCTCCCCATTTTTTGGGGGTTCTTTTTTTAATAAGGGATCCCAATAGCTGGTGGGTTTTTTTGAAGGAAAATCCTATGAAAAAATTGAAAAAACTGGAGGTACCAGCCGCCTGCTCTGCTCCGGACAGTCGTCCCATTGCTCTTCATGGCCAGCACACTGATGGGTTTCGATGGAGATCACCTGGCGGATGATCTTCTGACATGTTACATGTTCCAATTTTCCGCCTTTTTTTCATCAAAACTGGGGGGAAGTTACCATCAAAGACGAAAAATACTTTGATCACGAAATTATGAAGAGTTCTGGGAGACGATTTTTATATGGAGGATTGTCGGCGACAAATCCACGGGTATCATCAAACACGTGGGAAATCAGGGATTCAGAAGGGACATGTGGCAGTGTGTCAAAACCTTGTACCCCTGTAGTTCACATCAAAATAGCTGGTAAATGGATGTTCATCCCATTAAAACTGGTATTAATAGGTATTGATCCATACCCATGTTACGTTCTAGGCACTTTTTGTCGTTATATCTTGGATATCTTGGTACGTGGCATGAACGGTGGCACCTCGCAGCCTCTGTTCGCATGCTTGCAACAGAAGGCCTTCTTGGGAGACGTCCAGCTCGCCTGGGACGGGATAGGTTGATGGGTTGATATGGGTTGATATTGGTTGATGTTGGGCAACCATGGGCTGATGTTGAGGATGGGCCTAATGTTGCTGGTTTACCATGACCCATTTTTGCATTGGCTTCAAATTCCTTCGACAAAAGGAGAGCTCCAGCATTTCTGAGACATTTGATGACATGTGAAAACATACCCTCTGGTAAACTAAAATAGCTATTGAAAATGGCCATAGAAATAGTGTGTTTTCCCATTGAAAATGGGTGGATCTTTCCATAGTTATGTAAACGTTTACCAGAGGGTACCTACCAGTACATGTTCAGACTGCCCAAACAACATATCAGGATGGTCCGACCATTTGGGGGTATTCCCAGCCATCTGCCGGGAAGCAACGAAGTTTTTGGTTACACCCATTCCTGCCGCTCGTATCCTATGTCACGCAACACCTGGAACTGAATCTTAAGACCCATGTATCATATTCAATAATATTGCTATGATCTATCATGATACTTATATTATCTTCTATTCAGATCATACAGTACCCATATTCTAAAGATACCACTGTTAAAAGCCATATGTTTTTGATACTCAACTGCCTGCATTCCTGGGATGCCATGTTAAACCCTGAGCCAACAGACCTGCCAGTTCCAGAACCCCGCGTTGCAGTCGTACTTCTGTTCGTTGCCATTGCATCCCATGGCGAAATTCCTTGATCTGGCAAGATATGCAGATGGGTCTCTATAAATGCAGGTACCCCCGATAGCTGGATGGTTTATAAAGGGACCATCCGATCGAAATGGATGATAACTGGGGGCCCATTTTAGGAAACCCTGTTGGTATGGTGAGTTAAATTTTCATAGCTTTTTCATAGTTTCGGTGGGATTTTTTTTTCAGATCCATTGGTCCATGGTGGGAATGTCCGATGGGATCTGATGGGATCCCATTGAAAATGATGCGGAAAACATCGTCCCCCATTGCTGAGCTTCTTTCACGACGAGGCTAATCATGTCTTGACGTTCTCACAACCCCTTCCCCCCGAGTGTCAAACAGCTCCTTTAAAAAACTGGTTTAGTATTGGAAAGTATTGGATCTATTCAAATCTATTCATTGTCGCGCAAAAATAATGGAACTTTCATGTCGCAATATGAGGGGATATATTGGGTAAAGGATGATTGGAGTTTGTCCACTGTTTCATGCTGGTTCCCATCGAAACCAGTCGCCTGCAGCACCATTGTTTCTTGGCGGTTGGCCATGATGCCTGCGTCAGGACATCGTCTTGGGAGGGGTTCCAAACTGACAAACACAACGTGTTGGTTTTCGGACGGGGGGTGATTTTTCTGGCTAGGCTGTGGTGAGCCCCAGAAGCTGGGTCCAAAATCCAGTGCATCATCATTCTCCCTACTTCAACGGCCATTTCGAGGATCAAGTTCGAAAGTTTCAGGCCATGTTCAGACACCCATCCATGAAAAACTCGATGTTCCAAGAATTTTTGGTGATGGTCAGCCCACCCACTAAGGCCCTTTGGTTTGATCACATGATCCGTCAATGACTGGAGTCATTGACGATCATCTTCCCAATCATTGGTTGAACACTAAAACATAGATCAAAGACACCATGTGTTACACATGGTTTTTAATAGATGTTTTAATGTACATAATTATATAATCATACATATATATATATGTGTGTATATATATATATAGTCCAGCCAATCATGATCGCGGCCGAAGTGAAGTTGGAACCATGCGTCACAATGGCACCTTCCAATCTGTCAGACCCTCGTTGCAGTCAAAGGGGAGCTGCCTCGGGGGCCGTCAATGTGGTCAACACCAATAGTTAAACCGATACAGGATGATTCTTGGCTATGCCTCAATTTTGGAATGTAAAATTCATCAAATTAGTGCCAGAGTTTCTCGAAACTCTGCGAATGGCAGCTGATGATCTTCATTTCTTGAGATTTTCAGACACCAATTTCTGTCTATGAATACCCTATGGTTTACACTGGCTGCCCCAAGGCCCGTTGCTTCCCGTTGCTTCCCGTTGCTTCCAAGGCACATGGAACCGCAGAACTCCGGATGGCTCATGCAGCACCTGGGAACTTTCGGAATTTTTCAAGGCGACATGTGGACTTCATAGCAATCTGGTTGGTGGTTTTAACCATCTTGAAACATATGAGTTCGTCAATGGGAAGGATGACATCCCATATATGAAATGGAAAAAAAAATGTTTGAAACCACCAATCAGCAATAATCTTGGAGGGGAGCTCAAACTGCAAATGACAATGGATCAACTTGGATCTTACAGATGATCTACCATTCTTTTGGAACCGGAGAAGAGTTCTTCCATCCCTCTAGTATCCTTTTCATGTCTTCAAAAAGGCCAAGGGCCAAGTCATAGACTCTCCCTAATATCTGTTCGACCGCTTCAGCCATGGGACCAGGTCTGCTTATTCTTGGACCAAGATGTCCTCCACGTTGCGGAGTCCAGGTGGCAATTGTATTTCTGTCCATCCTCGATGATGACATGATGATCATGGGAAGCCTCTCGCCAGTGCGGCTCAAATTCCTCACCAGCTTCAATCGCCTGAGAACTGCACAGAGCCGGTTTTTTTTATTGGTTGTGCGCATGACACTCCAAGCCACACAACAACCTACAATGTCTTGTTATAATATGTTTAGTGTATATATATATATATACATAATATATACATATATATATATATATATGTATATATATATATTGTTTATGATGTGTGTGGATATATATATATATATAATTATAATATGTTACGTATATGTAAACCCAGGCCTGAGCAAGAGGGAGCACACCAGTGTACATCTGCTGCCCAAGAGGCCCTAGGATCTACGACTTGGTGGTCCTGGTCGTACCATCTATCGCCACCCACTGTTTCCTTGGAGCTCTGGTCATGGTTGGATGCTGTCATGTCCAGCTGGACATGCAAAGTCCCAATATGTTAGACATTGTTAGACCTTCTCCCATTACCAGCCTCTACCATTCAACGGGATTATGATGGTTATGAATCAGTTGTGAATACTCCAAACATATGTAGCTTGTGCCAAAATGGTATATCTTTCAGACCTATCACATCATCTGCACATCATCCCAGCTTTTGAGCCAAGCATCGACGTTTCCTGACGAATCTGGATATTCGACATACACATTGCCCGACGCCGAGTGCAGGCCTGCAGATGAAGCGTCCACATCATTCGCTTTGGGGCAGGTACCATGGGGTACCATAGGGGTACCAATAAACCCACCATTTTGCTATTAAACGCATCCCAGGTTTCATGGAAACCCATGGGATTACTTTGAGGTTTCTACAGCCCCATGTTTTGGTCGTAAAAAGCATCGTTTCCTCTCGCTGTTCCCTTGAAACATCCGCCGCACCTAGCAAAAGCAGCGTCGCCAGAGACGCCATGCCGAACCCTGAGGGGCGTGATGATCGTGCCGCAAGGACTCCAATTTTTGACCGAACATATGGGGCCAACGTGGCCATCTGACAGATGCACTGGGACATCTCCTGCACCTATAAAATCCATTTCCCACTTGGGCTATTGAATTCCCCATACGTGTCGTTTTAGGCCCATAATTTGTGTTGAAACCCAACTTTGGTTGCCTGAAATCTGATTCTTGGGTGAAAATGTTGGTGAACCAATGGTGAACCCCCATATTTGGAGCAAGAAAACAGCCCCCACCCTGCGGCCCTGCGCGGGCGGCGGCGATCGGATCCAAGACCCCACAGATTTTCAGTGGGGCGTCTGAGCCAAATTTTGGGGGACGTTGGGCGAAAATCATCCGGGACTGTGGATTCGATAAGATTTTAGCTGTTTTTTCAAGCTTTTTTTTAAAAAAATCGGAAAATCCGACTTTCGAGTTCTAGAACTGTCTATTTGACTCAAAATACAATGGATCTCCAAAGAGTTGATCGTTGAACAAGACCATCATCGTCTAATTGGTTCAATTGGTTCAATTGGTTCCAAGGTTAGCCCAACTTCAGCCATGCTTTGCCCGAGGTTCTCTCCGGAGCCAACAAAAATCCAATGGGCTAAAGGATGGCATACCACTTCTCCCCCAAAAAAGATGACCACTTTCTTCGAATCCACTTGGCATCCACGCATCGTACATCAAGCCTCCCTGGAGCTGTTGCCTCTTCGTCCAAAATCCCAAAAGCTGTGGCCCCAATGTTTTTCTCTACTGAATGAAGTGCAGTGATATCAATCATCCCATCTTTTTTGCAGGCCCTTGGATGGCTTGATTTGGCTTACATCAGCATTTGACTAGCAACACAAAGCGGAATGGGGTAGGGGGCATGTCTATCCATTCATAAATTCAACACCGATAGACCCATACAAACGATTTCATCTAGGCAAGCGGCTTGATCATGAGTCCTAAAAAAGTATCTGCCTGGGGAAGTTGCCCCGTGTTGGCTTTCAACAGCAATTTGCAGCTGCAACCCAGGTCAATGTTGGCTATAGCATAGTTAAACTGCCCAGGGGCCACATTCAAAACTTCAAAATGAGCCGGAAATAGTCTGTTCCAAATTTCCAAAGACCATTGTAAAAATAGTTGTTGACCGTCAGGGAACATGTAATTCCCGAAGATGGTCTGGAAAGAGAATATATCCTATACCCGAAATTGCCATTGGGTTCCATGCTGAAAAGCCGGCCCAGTTGCTCCAATTTCTCGGTCTCCGTCTTCATCTTTTCGAAGTGAAGTCTGTGCCTTCCCCACTCCCAGCTCTTGTACTTCCCGGTTGGGGTTGATCTTGGAACACTGATGCCATTGTACAGTATATAGTTGGATGTGTCCACTAGATAAACCAATGATAAACCACATATATCGGTCCATCGATGTAAATAAAGATCATACATTTCCGATTTCCAAACAGATTTCACAACATTTCACATTTCTCCATGGCGTTTGTTGTTCCAGATCTTCTCGCCTCGGCATGGGAGGTGGCTTTGGAATCCGCTCGCCGCTCTCCTTGGCCACCTCACTATTGAACTGTTGCTGTTTCTTCCAGAACGTCGTTTCTGGCATCGAAATTTCCGTAAAAATGAAGCCATATGCCACAGCCAAAACCTAAATGTGGTGTGTTAAATGTGATTTAAATGTGGTTTCGTTCTCATTTGGTCCTGTTGCTCCCAGGTGATCCAAAAATATCAACAACTGAGAGCGCTTGGTCCCGCGCCATCTCAGTACCAGGCCACACAAATTGAGGCCAAGCCTCAGGGCGAAGGACTCCAGGACTCCGGCCATCTCTTAGAATTCTTAGATCTTCCATAGATTTTCCATACCAAAGTTGAATAGAAAATCATATTGATACTATATTGATTGTTTCAGAAAGATAAGAAAGAACATGGTAAATTTTTGAATTTGATTATGATTATGATTAAACAAATCTACATCTTCTACCATGATTCTTGATGAACTATGTGGCTCACATCTCACCGTCCGTCCAGCCTGATGGTATCCCACATCAATCTCCACCGGCTCATCTTTCACAACCTCCCGGATGTAGTTTCCTGCCATGGGATTGCCAGTGGCTGCTGTTTTTGTTGGCTTTCCAGGATCTCAAAATCCCAGCTGCTGGTGAAATGGTGAAATCTTGGCTGCTACATGATGCGTGTCCCACACTGTTTGTGGTCAGGTTTTGACCCCGTGATGTGATGTACCCTCTGGTTATGACTAACAGTTTGCCATGGTATAGATGGCCCATAGAAATAGATGGTTTACCTATCAAAAATGGTGATTTTCCATGGCTATGTTAAATAACCAGATGATAAAATTTAGAAAAGAATCTAGAAAAGAACTTCAAATCGACCTATTTCTGTAGAACGAGAAAAAATTGCCATGTTGATTGACTCCATGCCGAGCTCCCAAATTATCGCTGGGTCCCTCTAAAAAGACGAACAGTCTTGGGCCAAGGGGTGGTTTGTTGGACCCAACTGTTGATTAATCGGTGATTCGTTGCATTTGGTTGCTGATAAATCACCATGTCAGCATGTTGTGCCCCATTTTCGGCAGAAAGCCTGCCTTGGAAATGACATACCGCTTGCCGCAGAGGTGATATCCGATGCCTTGCAGTGTTGATGGTGATGGTGATTAGGATGGAAAAGCCAACAGAAAAAAAAAAACGCTTGGGACGGTTGGGAGTATCCCATCAGTCTTTTTGATACTCTGACATGACTGACATGAGGATAAACTTTGAATTCAACCTTAGGGGTCATTGAAAGTGTGCCCAAATGGATCGGGATATGAGTTGTTTGCACAGCTTTGCATGCTGGTTTGACTTTTCAATAGCTTTGCTTTGCATGCTGGTTTGACTTTCCTATCCGTTTGGTGACCTTGGACTTTTGCCATAGCAAATAATCTGAGTTTCGTTCAAGTCTTTCTCCATCATCGAGAAATCTGCAGGCCTCAAGTCGTTGCAGGTCTGTCGCTGGGTTCATGGATAGGAATAGCAAGCAGTCAACAGTATAGTTGAAACTCCTTGAGGATAGAACCAAACAACCTCCAAACATAGGAAATCAGATGAGGTCATGTTCATCATGTTCCAGTATCTTCCCCAAAAAACTGCTGAGATTCCAGAACTACATCCTCAACGATCGTCAGCCCAAGCAGCGGAATCGATTCGGGCCAATTGGTCAAGATGACATCTCCTGCCACTCTTGCAGTTATAATTAACACTTATACCCTCCGATAATCAAACATGGCACTTGAAAGTCATTTTTAGATGATTCTCCAATCATCTCCCATCAAAACCTCCATTCATAGGGGATTCTCCAGTGCTATCTTTGATGACAACGGAGGGTATTTATATCCTTCTTCTGGTGGTGGAGCCAACCCCACAGAAAATGTCTTCGTCAATTGGCAGCATCATTCCATTTGGATGGAAAACCAGATTCCAAACCAGCCACCAGATGATGATTCTGGCTTTGGATGATTATGATATATCATGATGATCTAGAGTTTTGATTAATTTTCTTCCTAACATTCTAACTCTCTGGTCCAGAAGAATTGCTACCTGTAGATGAAGGGGGCAAATCTCTGACACAGATCTGTCCCAACGGAAAGCACATCCAGCCTTCTACGTCCATATGCATCTCGTACCAGAAGACAATGGCCGTAATCTTGCCTCTGCCGCAAATGAGCCCTGAAAATACCCCCAAGCCCATAGAAAGAAGTGGCTGGTATACAGTGATTCCATGCGATTCCTCTGAATTCTGGCTTAGTGATGTTAATTCATATAATTCATAAGATGTCATAACTCCCAGGAAATCTGATATAGATCTGGTATCAACACTTTCAAATAGTGTTATATTATTGATTTCTGGTATAGATCTGGTATACTATCATACTATAGATGAAAATTATTATTATTATTGGTATTATTAGATCTGGTATTATTATTATTATTATTGGTATACTATCATACTATACATGAAATCTGGCATCACTATCACAAGCCCAAAATCTGAAACCTGGACCCACCTGTTGCAAGTGGCGTGAAGGTGATGCTATGTGCCTCAGCTCTTAAGGCAATCCGCCAATCACCTATGGAAAATGGAGCGATATGATAAAATACACAGATAGATAGATAGATAGATAGATAGATAGATAGAGATAGATTAAGATAGATTAGATAGAATAGATAGAATAGAATAGAATCGAATGGAATGGAATGGAATGGAATAGAATAGAATAATAAGATAAATAGATAGATAGAATCGAATAATAATATAGATAGATAGATAGATAGATAGATAGAATAGAATGATAGAATGATAGAATGATAGAATGATAGAATGATAGAATGATAGAATGATAGAATGATAGAATGATAGAATGATAGAATGGTTGATAGATAGATAAGATAGATAGAAAGATAGATAGATAGATGGATGGATGGATAGATAGATAGATGGACAGACAGACAGATAGATCGATGGATGGATAGATAGATGGATGGATGGATAGATGGATAGATAGACAGACAGACAGACAGATAGATAGATAGGTAGATAGATAGGTAGGTAGGTAGATAGATAGATAGACTATCCATACATCTATATACTGAAAACTAGAACATGTCAAGACTTTGAGGCACCAAAATGCTGGTATAACCTTCAACAAACATCAGCGAGTTGATTCTCATAAAGTTGACCTGGCGTCTACGGATGACTCTACGGATGACACATTGGGCATCTCGTTCTTCTCAAAGTCGAACTTAAAGACCTCGAGGTGTTTTTTTTTGCGAATACAAAGTCAGAATATGCCAGAATTGAAACGAGCCATAATCATGATGACATTCCCTGCGAATCAACCGACTTGGCCGAAATGACATACCACTTCTGTTGAAATTCCTGAGAGGTAAAACTTTCCAGGCTGGACTGCTGGACGGCACACAGACTCCACCTCGAAGACGTTGGACATCTGTCGAGCACTGCCGTCTGCCAATGCCGTGTCCACATCTGCCCTTGGACGTGCCAAAAACCCATGGGAAAACCGCTGGATGGTGGACAGGTCCAACGGGTGAAACACCGCTCTGAGGTCGAGTCATTAGGCCGGTGCGGTAGTGGTTGAAGGCTGAGAGATTGAATCTGGAGACGACCCCGGGCCAGGTCCGAAATTCTGATGCTGTGGGGCGAGATCTATGGATATCTATGGAACATTGGAAGATCATAGGATGGCGACAATGATTCTTTCAGCTACTTAACTTTCAATATCTTGCAACTACAGGGGGCTTGCCAGGGACAGGTTGAGGCAGTCACAAAAACGCGTGATGCCGTGATGCATGGGGTTCCGAATTAGAGCTATCGCGGATGTGAAAGGAGCATATCAGCTCCCCTGGCAGTTTGGATACAATGTAGGATGCCTCCTAAACTCAAAGGCTCAGCATGGGTCAGCTGGTTTCATTCAAGTCTCCCCAGGTCCTGACGGTCCTGTGAGCTTTGCATCTAAGCATTGGTTCAGCCATATGAATCGTATATCCCCAGGTCCATGATTCTTTCATCCAACTTTGTTTAGATCATAGAATTGGATTATGGGAAAATTTTACAGGAAAGTCCTATATTTGATGGTAAAAACCATGGTTTCCTGTAGATTTTCCCTTAAACCAATCCAGTGATTAGAGGGTGAAACATCCCTGTTTCAATGGACACTCTCCCCGTGACCATCTTTCTCCGAGTCCAGGAGCCCTTGATAATCCTTCAGGTGCTCCCCAAACCTGCACGGTGGCCGATACCAAACGATTGCTGACTGCAACCAACATCTGCAAAAGTCTCAGCTTGAAACAGGTTGAAGCCTAAAATCAATACAATATAATATGATATAATATTGTATAATATAATAAATCTGATCAGTGTACAGCAAGTCATCTTTGGATTTGATTCTGTGTCGGTTGGGGTGTCAACACACAACGTCCTAAACTCTAGCTGAAGAAACTCGTGAGAAAGTCAACCGTGAGTCAACCGTGAAGAGGTGAATTAGCGACTTGCCACTCCCAATAAAACGATCTGGTGTGCTGCATCCGCATCTCTCATCTATTCTGGATCATGATATAATCCCATCCCCCTAATATTAAACACTCCCTAAATAGTGAAAAAAGACCTACATCCATCGTGGTGACTCTGGGCGGTGTTAAAAAAAAAAACGGGACGAGATTACCACAGCAATAGCAACTAGGTGCCCGGCTCAAAAGCTGCGGCCCAGATGGTAGCTCTGCTAGGAATGACCTGCAGCACGGAGATTTGTATCATCAATTCCCAAGGGAAAGATGATCAAATCTCATGGTATAAGACCTACAGTTTGATCTGAAGGTATGAAGTTATTGAACATCTGAGTTTCTGTGTTGTTTCTGATAGGTTTGATGTAATTTTGCCAGTGTTTTTCTGTGTGGTCGTTGCGTTGACCGGCCAGTCTCCTTTTGGGCCAAATAGGGGGCATCACTGGAGTTGGTTCAGGGCGAGCTTCCTGCAATGCATCAGTCCCCATTGTCTGTATTATATATATATATATAAATATATATATATATATATGTACACATATGTAATTATATCATATAGGAATATCATATAATATGTATATATATGCATTACATTACGTCCACCCTTCTTGTCCCTTCAAAGCGCACTTTTGTGCCCGGGCCAAGGTGCCCCCTGTCAAAAGGCTGTACACAGCCATCCTTAAGCGCTTAAGATGACTGAAGGAAAAGAAAACTACCAGGCTTTGTCACTTGGAGGAGCCCGGGGAAGGAAGGGGGGAAGCCAAAAGCTCAGGGTGGACCACCATTCATGCATGCCCTCCCAGTTCTGGAGAAAACATGCATTACATTACGTCCACCCTTCTTGTCCCTTCAATGCGCACTTTTGTGCCCGGGCCAAGGTGCCCCCTGTCAAAAGGCTGTACACAGCCATCCTTAAGCGCTTAAGATGACTGAAGGAAAAGAAAACTACCAGGCTTTGTCACTCCTCCCCCTCCACGCGTCCCAGCCCGGCAGCCTTAAAGCACAGCTTGGCTGCGCGGACTCGAGCGACAGCGGTGGGAGGGAGTTGGATTTGAGTCAACTCCTGCAAAGCCTGGTCCAAATACAACCTAGCAGTTGAAACATTCTGCCACCTCCCTTTGATGAGAAGCTGTTCAAAAGTCATGCCTTCTTTATAGGCGGACGTAGCTCCTCCTCTTCTAAGAGAGTATGGCAAATAGTGAAATGAATTCAGACCTAAGTGGTCGACGATCTCCTTCCACACTGCACGGTACTTTGCCGGCGCTGTCTCCACAAGGCGTTGTGTGCCATTTTTGTTTTTGCAGAGAAATTGGAGGCATGCTTTAGCACACCGTTCGTAGATCAGCACCTTCTCTGCAGTCAGGAGATTGCGCTTTGCAGTTTTTGTGTCATAGAGAAATATGATGGAAGGTTGGTTGGCTTTGCGCGCCAAGACCACATCTGATCTTCGCAGGGCAAACATTTCACCCGTCCGCAAGAGTCCAGCAAATCCAACCACGGTCAGACAAGCCAAATCCTCCCATTTCCACTTCCAAAATATCCCAGCAAACGCCAACAACAAGGAGGGATCCAACGGAGTGGCACGCCTTGGCTGCTCAATTTTCTGCCACAACCCCATCAATTTCCAAGCGTTCTTAAGCCTGCCTTTTGCATCAGGTGCGAAGTGCTGGATGGCAGCTATAGCATAGCTACCTTGAGAACGGGACTCTCCATCCTCCCAAAGCATGTCTACAAAGGACGACAAAATGTCATCCAGATTGTCTTGCCTCAGCAGCATCTGAGGACTTAAATTCACATACTTGGCCACTTCCTTAAGAGAGTGGTGGTATCGCTCTCGCGTGCAAGGTGAAATCTTTTGGTCTCCCAGTCGTCCAATCTTTTGCCTCTCTTTCTTCCTCTCTGCCTTGGTTTCCCGATGGGGGATCACTTTAGCCATATTTTCTTGATGGCTCATCAGCCGGGTTTAGCCGGCTACTGATCCACGCCCAGAGGGGGTACAAGTTCAGGCAGAGGCAGAGAGAGGCTACTTTTCTCAGCAAACGATTGATTCGACGGGACGACGACCTGCCCTTGGTCAACACCGCCAGGACGATCTGCGAGTCCGACAGATGCATAAAACGGCAGCTGTGAAACGCTGCGCTACGGCTTCTCCATTCAAGCGTCCGCAGCACTGCTCGAAGCTCCAAAAGGTTGATGTGCTCCTTCTTGCCCCAGCGATACGCTTGGGCCGTTCTCCAGAGCCACCTCCGCGGGTCAATGCTCGTCCTCTTGACAGCATCTGGACGAAAAACCACGCCTAGATCCAGGCGAATGTCTGACCCCCGAAACTCACATCTTCGAAGGTTCTGATGGATCAACCTCACACTTAGTGGGTCTGGACCATCCTTCGCGTGGCTCTGGCCACACATACGCAGCCATTCCGCGTTGCGTGGCTCCCCATCTTGGTTCATAACCTTTTCTTCTCCCTCAAGTTCTTGCAGGTCCACGCTCACTAGTTCCTTTTCTTTCAAGAGCAGCCCTCCAAAATCGCTGAATGCCTTTTCATTCATTTCCTTATGCCATCGTTCCACAATGACCTTGGCCCCCAATGGATCCGTGCGGACCCCAGCCGTCCACAGCCACAGGTCGATGAGGCAGGCCACTGTCACAGCGTGGAAGCTGTTGCCCAGGGCAGCGCGCCGTGCTACCTCCTGCTGCGCCACTTCAAAATTGGACCCTGGCTCCTTTTTGAACAGCCCCAGCGTGTACCCTGTCGGGTATCCCATCAACCTTTCTCTTTCACTGGCTGAGGCGACCCTCTTCTTGCTTGGGTCCTTCTTTGACTCAAACAAGAATTCTTCCTTGTAGGTGTACGGCGGGTACTTCATCTTGTCCTCCTTCCACCTCCTCAAGGTGGCCTCATTGCAATGCTCAATGCCTGCCGGGCACACGGGGGGCCTGGTTCGAGGAATGGCCCTTGTGAAAGTAGGCAGCCTCTTCTCCTCATCCTGATCTCCAGCTGCCCACAGCCATCCCTCATCACACAAGAGCTCCATGGGTTCCAACTGCTCCTCGAAGCAGAGCTCGTCCCAGAGAGCATAGTGCGCTCTGGTGAAACTCCCATGGTCCTCCAAGTCGGCATTGCTCCAGTACAGTCGGGGCCTCCGCACACGAGACAACCCGCTGGAGCACACTCGAAGGGGTGGCGCTCCCAGCTCCTCTGACATCTCCTCAACATCCGCATCATCGCCAACCACATTCTCAAGGAAGTTCACATTCCAAACCTCCATTTCACCACATATGTCAGCGATCCACCCAAATACCTCACACAAGCGGTAAAACAATTTTGACCTTGGATCTTCGAGGTGCCTCCTGTTGGCCGACAGCTGCGACAATCCCTGGCACGGAGAGCCGCCTCCAGCAATGACCCCGGTCAAGCCAGGCACTCCTCTGATCACCTTCTCCAGTTCCTTCTTTGTGATCCTCTGGATGTCGCTCATCATCTCGCACCCCGGCCACCTGACTGCATTTAGCCGCCGGCAATCAGGGTCATTTTCAACCACCAACAGGTGTGCCACCTCCACATCAGCCAGCTGTAGGGCACGAGATAAACCACCTATCCCAGCAAAGAAATCAATTGCCAGGACCACTTGCGGTCCATCCACATTGACCTCCTCTACTGGGGGCGCGTCCAAGCCCTCTTCAATGGCCAGCACCTCTTTTAATCCCTGCTGGGACAGTTTGTGCCCATACACCATTCCTCCTCCAGTTTCACTGGCATCTGAGGCGGTCACCAGCTCATGTAGCCTTGCCCTCAGGTCCGTTCTCCTCAGAGGCTGCAGCACTCCACTCAGCAGCACTTCCTCTACCGACTTCAGCCCTAGCTCCACCATCGGGGAGCCCTGGGCCACATCCTTCCAGAGGTAGTCAAACACCCCAAAGAGAGGCCGTCTGAACTGCATCGTGTGCACCTCTTTTCCTAAGAAGACCTGGAGGGCTTTCCTGGGTACACGCTCCTGGCGCAACAGCCAGAACCCCAGGGAAAGGCTTTCCAGTGCCCGTTTTGTGGACCCCTTCAAGATCCCCTTCTCTCCATCAACCACGGCCCCAAGCTTTTCGGCCGCTTCATTCCTCACCAACGCCTTCTCCTTGGACACCGGGATTCCCCAGTGCTGGTAAGCCCTTCTCAGCCGCTCTTGCTCAGCCGAGGGCTTCCCTTCCAGCTCCTTCGCCACACGATTGTCCAAAACCTCCACCAGTGTTGTGTCATCCAAATAAAGCGACCACATCGATCGTTCCAACTCCAGATCCGGGAACTCTGCGTCCCGTCTGATTTCACATGCCCCCAGCAGGCCAGCTCCACCTGACAGCGGCGACCTGAGGGCCAACCTTCGGTGAGCATGTTGAAGGACACCCACTGCTGAGGCCCAGCCCATGGGCAACACCCTAGCCCCCAGGTATACTGAACCTGGCCGGCTGATGCCCAGCGCTGTCCAGGGTACTTTCTCACCAAAACACATCATCTTCGACCACCCTGGCGGCAATGCAAACAAGTAGAATGCAGCCACCAGATCTTCTGCCGAAACTCTCAAGACGCTGCTGTTCGGGAGAACAATATGTTGCAAGGCCGGGGCCCCAGTCAGCTTTCGAACGTCTCCTTCTAGGATCCGAGTCGCAGCATTGACCGCTCGGAAGTCCATTATGAGTCGGAGGATCGGACGCTCGTCCTCCAAGAATTTGCCTGGTTTGACCACACCGAAGGCACCGTTGCAAAGAGCTTTGCCTTTAACTTCTAAAGGACTCTCCACGGGCTCCACCAAGCCACGGTCGTAGAGCTCTTTTGCAATCAGTTGCCATTGCTCAGGACTGGCATGTACCTTAGGCCTCGGGAGGTCCTCCGGCATTTCTTCTTCCATCAGCACGTTGCCATCCGGGTTCAAGAGCTTTTCTTTCAGCTCACCATCGCAAAGTTCCACCAGAGGGACACTACCTCCAAAGCCTGGAGGAGGGAGCCCCGGCAGGATCTGCGCCAAGGTCAATTGGTGGGCTTTTTCAACCACCTCGCCCTGATAGGAAATCCGGACGTCACCCAACTTCTTTCCCCACTCACCCAAGGTAGGTGACCTGGGGACTTTTTCTTGAGTCTCCGACCGGTCGTCCACAAAGTCTCGGACAACTTCCCATATCCTATCTAGGGCTGCTTGTTGAACCTTGGAAGTTTCACCTCGATGGACCTTTCCTGAATTTCCACCTCCTGTCCAGAGCGCATTGATGCCAGTCACAACCAGCCCGTGCCACAGCAGCATTCCAGTCCGTCGGATTTGCTTTGCTGCCTTCTCCTTGTTCTGCTTCTTGGCTCCCCAGCTTCCAGCGAGTCGCCTAAATTCACCGTCATTGAAAAGTTTCTCCATTTCGGCCCTTGTATCAGGTAAAAGCGGTAAAGGAAGAATCCCCCTTTGTCTCCTTCCTGCAACACCGTCGTCTGGCCCGGGCTCCAAAACCTGATGCAAGTAGCTCCCCAACGGCGTTCCGCTGCGCCACACGCTGAGAGCCAGCAGTGCCCCTGTCTGTGCCACACTCAGTCCTCCTGTCTCTTCCGACTCCAGCCACCGCTTGAACATCTCCAGACTCGATTCGGCCTCCTTCTCAGGGTTCACCGTCTCGAAGCTCTCCTGGTCGGTCAAGACTTCGGGGGGGTTGGACTTCTCTCGACCTTCTTCTCCCCCTCCTTGGGTCTCGAGTCCTTTCCTCCTCCTTTTCCTCCCCCCTTCTTTCCTTTTCCGCCCTTCTTGAACGGCCTCGTCCTCCACTTTCCTTTTCCTTTGCCCTTCGCCTCGCTCTTCGGGTTCTCCTTCTCCACCATGCTCCCTTCTCCTATCACCAGAGGGTTCTCGTTGAAGACCACCCTCCGATGGTCGCTCTCCCTCAAAGCCGTCGGCCGACTTGATCGGGGTGGCGTCACGGTGCCCTCTGCTTGCCGAGCACCGCCGCCGAGTCCCTATTTGTCGCCCTTCCTCCCCTTCAGTGTCAGCTCCTTCAGCTTGTTTGCCGAGATCTCCAAACGAGCTGTCCGACGCCTCTCGGCTTCCGTTGTCAGGCTGGCTGCATGGGGAGGAATGAGCTCCTGATGCTTGGCTGAGTGCCACCCCTGATCCACCAGCGACGTTTCCACCGCCTTCAGCCTCTGCATGAGGAGGTCGCCCAACTCTCCCAGCTGCCCCTGGATGAGCATGTCTATGGCCCGACCCAGGGTCAGAAGCTCCCTGTGGTTTCGGACCCCGATGGCCCCCGGGGGGTGCTGGGTCAGGACTACCTGACTTATGTAAGCCATCATTCGGTGATCCATCCATGCGCCGGTGCCGCCTTCTTCGCCGGGTGCCCTCTCTGCTAAATAGCGCGACATCTCTTCCATCCCCTTCTTCAGAAGGGACCCGGGGTTTCTTCGACTCAGCCGCCACATCTCGACCTCCCCGGGTAGAGGGCTCTCGAAAACTCTGTGACGACCCTGATGAGCCAGACCTCTCTGGTCTCTTTTCCCCAGGGCTCGAAGACCTCTTGCGCCTCCGTCTGCGCCGTCCTCTGCTCCGGCTTCGTCCACCTTCAGGACGTCTCCTATGATCTTGCCTCTCCTTTTCAGCCAGAGCTGCTCTCCTCTCAGCGGCCTTCTTCTCCAGCATCATCCCCACTGAGCCTTTCGGATGTACTTCAACTTGGGTTCTCTCGGCTTTCCTCCTCTTGTCAGCTTGATCCTCCTCCTCAACCTCACCTGCTGCGGCCAATGCTTTGTCCAAACCCGTTGGATCAACCCCCCTAGCCCCACCAGGGGGCCCCGGGGGATTCGGTGGCTCCGGCACCTTGGCAGCAAAGTTGTTCACCCAGTTGTTCACTGCCATGAGCGCCACGTCTCTGGAGTACCCATGTTCCATCATGACCATGGGGTTAGTCATGCGCCACCGCTCCAAATGCACCATCTCCCGCTTGTCGCCTCTGCCTAAGCGAGCTGTGCACTGGGCCCTCTTTGACCCACACAGGTGGTAGATCCCTCGGCCATCCTTCAACTCATGTCGAGCATACCAGTCATAGTAGGGATCGGACGCATTCAAATGGACCCCTTTCAGAGTCCCCAGGGCGTAGTCGTCCCAGTCCAGAAGCCTTATAATGGCCTTTCCCTGCGGTCGCCCCCTGGCGTCGTAGCATTCATACTCCATGATGCCGTCACGGTTCATCACCCGCCGGGCGTAATCCAGCACATTGCCAGGATGTGTTGCCGCATCGACCCAAGCTAGGTCCTCCGGCTGCAGCCCATTACTAATGAGGCCTGTCCAATCCCCGAGGGTACCACCCTTTGCCAGCAGGTTCTGCTTTGCCGCTTCCATCTCCTTGATCCTTTCCCAGGACCTTGAGGCTCAAGCCCCAAGGGATAGGGATTCAAATCCCCCTCCCAGGTCTCTTTCCTCCTCCTGATCGCAGCCAGTACCGTTTAGCAACCACGGTTGGCCTGCCCTCAAGAGAAGGCCTGGCCACCCCGGGCTCCAAACCCCGCAGGTCAGGGAGGACCCCCTATCTCCGGAGAGACCTGGGAGCCTCCACTGACCCGCCACGCACGTAAGAGGGTCTGGCCCACCCTAACCTCACGAGAGGTCCAGGGAGGCCTTCCCCCCACACTGAAGCCAAAAGCTCAGGGTGGACCACCATTCATGCATGCCCTCCCAGTTCTGGAGAAAACATATATATCAATTATAATATCCCCAAATATTTTGGATGGCAAGAAAAAACAAGAATGATGTGTAATCCCCACTAAATATACCATGAAACCTGTCAACCAGTCTCTTTGAAAACGTGATGAAGACACACGACTTCGATTTCTCCGCCTGATGGTCAAAGGCATTGCACATTTTGATGCGGGCAGCATTCAGCAGCACCAGAATGCCTTCGCCTTGGCGCGTTGAACTTCCACATGGACCAATGGCTCACCTCAGCTAAGTTCCCAGGCCAAGCAAGCCCGCATCAAAGTGTTCGCAGACCACCAGTTGTGCGCGTTGCGGTTGGCTGGGCAACTTGCAAACGTCCTGGGCGAAAAAACTGCCGATGACCCAAAGATTGGATGTTTCATGCAAAAGTGGCATGAAACATCAACTAGATGTGAGGTCCACCAAATCTGGCCCATACCCGCATGTCAGTTTCTTTGATCTCAGATTTTGGAATTCAAATACCACTTTGACTGCGGTTTCCTTTTTGCTCAGCAAACTCTTTGCCTCCAAGTTTCCATATTTCTAATGATTGGAAACGTATGAAGCAACATTTCCACATCCATTTCCAATGTTCCAAGCACTTTTAATTCAGAAATTTATAGAAATTCTAGGTTCCAAACAAATTCGATATCCCTGGCCCCACCTCCGAACAAAGGAAGACATCGCCCTCCAAGTTGTTGTCGCGAAAAACACGCTTGGCCAGTTTCACCACTTTGGGCATCTGCCTTGGAAAAACGCGCAGAAAATGATTTCCAGACCCAGCCTGACCCAGCAATGAAAAAAAGGGTGGGATCCCATACCAAAAATGGTGTCTACATAATATATAAATATAGCATATATATATATATATATTATTCAGATGATATAATTGTATTATCTATCCATCCATCCATCCATCCATGTATCTATATATATATATACATATATATATATATATGATTCATATATGATATTATATGATCATATATGGTCATATTGATCATATATGTTCTATGTATTTCTTAAAGAGATGCCGCCCCAGATTTTCCGCTTCTCAGATTGCTCTGAGACTCCCGGGCTCAATCGCCACCACGGAATAGCCATGGGTCTCGATCTCGTTCTCGCTGATGCCAGCCTCCCTGGCGCATCTCGCCGTCAGCATGGAGATCTGTCCCAGTCCTGGGGCTCCGGGAGTCAGAATTCATCCTCTGGTAATGACTAACATAACTGATGGGAAAATCACCATTTTTGATGGGAAAATCACCATTTTTGATGGGAAAATCACCATTTTTGATGGGAAAATCACCATTTTTGATGGGAAAATTCTCTATGCTAATTGATGTTCATTTGATGATTTTCAGAGCTTTGCCCAAAGGTGGCCATGCTGAGGACTCAACTTCCTTTTGAGGTCCAACGTTCTTGCAAAATACCCTCTGGTAAACTAACATAACTATGGAAAATCATCATTTTTAATGGGAAAATCCACTATTAATGGCCATTTTCAATAGCTATTTTGACATAACCAGAGGGTATATCCAAATGCCAGGTGTTTTGGTTCTGGCCACTCTAAAATTGTCAAATGCTGTTGTTGTGAAACTTGTGAAACCGATGTGAATCTGACAACGCAGCCATGCGGATCTAGGTACCCATTGTGTGTGTGTGTCAATATTCCTAGAAATCCATAGAAATCAGCAGGCAAAGTAAATCATGTAAATCCATAGTCCATCTTACCGCTTTTGGACCGTGGGAAACCGCCAATAAATGGGTACAAGTTGCCAAAAAAAATAGGTATTTGGTTCCCCAAAATCAAATATCTCAAGTCTGAAGGGTTTGTTGCTTGCATCCATAGATTGTGAACGCATTAGAATTTCCAATTGGTTATCGATGTGATGATGTCTGGCAATGTTGTTGGCTACTCCATAGTATATTGCACCCTATAATCTATCAATCATATCAACATATGGGTATGTCTGAAAATGGGGTATACCCCCAGTTATAGCCATTTAGTAGGGATAATGATCAGCAAAACCATTGGGTGTAGGGGTTTAGCCTATTTTCAGACAAACCCATATTCTTGTGAGCTGTGCATCTCCATTCTTGTTGATATGTTTGATTCTTTCCCATTCTATCCCCAACTCTTGCTGATTCCATCGGGATTTCCTGAAGCCTCAGATATTCACGAGTTACACCTGCTGATTTGCACTGGGGTCATCTCACATGTGATTGGGTTGCAAAGCACCACTATCTAAGAAGAAGTCACAAAAACCATTGAACCTGCATGAACATTTGATGAAGCCACTATTCATCTTTCTGATTTGTCACCTGCAACTTTGGATAATTACTGTAGACATCTGTAGACTATCCAACAAGGGCAGGGCAGATCCTGAATCATGAAAAGGGATATGGTATGATAGGGTGGGTATTTAGCTTGCCAGAACCTGGGCTGATATATAAAAATCCCAAATCTTAAATCAGGTCACGTGTTGATAGCAAGTGCGAACTCCAGTGTTTTTTTTTTTCCGGACAACCAACCATTTTTTCCACTAGTATCAGCCATAAATTTTCCGCTACCCTTCCATCCCTATGAATGGGGCTTATTAAGCCCCTATTGTTTCTGGCTCCATTGAGGTCCCCATAGGTCCCATAAGTCACTCCCATGCGGTCCGGCTCCCATGTGAACCACCCGCAAGGGCGGCCGATCCAACTTGGGGATTGCCTCGCGGGCCTCCGGCTTCGAATCTGAAGGCTGGTGAAAGATATGGCAGTGGGTCAAAACCTTGTACCCCTGGTGAACATCAAAATAGCTGGTAAATGGATGTTCATTCCCCTAAAAATGGTATGTATAGGTATTGATCCATAGCCAATAGATTTTCCCATTGAAATCACCACTGGAATAACCAGTTTTTTCCGTTTCCAGGTGTTAAAGGTCTCTCCTTGCTGACAAGTGCAATGAATTGGGAAAAAGACAATCAACTGGAATAACCATCTTGGAAAAAAGAGGAACAACTACTGGATACCAATCAAAACAAAAAGCTGACATGCCATCCCAAGGCGTTTTTGGGAGTAACATGCTGAAAACATCTTGGAAAAAAATCGAAAAAAACAGTTGAATTGGAACACACAAAATGCTCCCAGTGATCATCGGTGATACCCTCCAATAGTCAAACGCGGCAAGGGGAATTCTTGCAGCCCACGTTTGATGACAGCAGAGGCTAGTCATTACATTTGTTTCCAAATAGTTTTATTACATCTTATGACAACTATGAAATTTGAGATCACCAGGGGATAATCAAACTTCTTCCCAATGTAAGAAGCTTTGAATCTTCAGCAGCAAACACCTTGTTTTCGCACTGGAAATCAGTCAAGTCCTGGCGCCTCCATGATTTTCTCCAAGGCCTTCTCGATGGCTTTGCGGAAGGCTTCCAGGCCTCGAAAAATCCCGCGATGTCTAGCGGGTTCACTGGGAAATATTAGGGGAATACCATGTGAATATCATGGGATATCAAGCAGCAAAAATCTCCAAATTTATGGGAATTAACAAAGGATATAACATGATATAACCACCACACCCGATTTCAAGTGATTTGACTGGGAATATCACGGGATATCAACCACGAAAAAAAATATTCAAAGATGTGGATTTTTCATGTGTTATCCACCAAACCTTTTTTACCATATCTTATGCGACAGTTGCGAGAAAGGGAGCAAGCACCTGGCTGAATGATGTCCAGTGCAGATGCAGCCTGAAAGCCAGCCTGTTGAGTCAGTGCTGGAAAACTCCTGCGTTCTCCAACTCATCAAGTATTGAAACATATTGAAACCATCAACAAATCTTACCAATCACCAGAAACAGGTTCAGTTCGGTCCTTACTTCAGCCAACTCCAAAAGTCACACCGAGAGCCCAGGCGTTGATCGTCCCAGAGTCGCAGAAAGAGCCACCTGGGACCTGGTGCATTCAGCCCTGGCTGAAGGGTTGATGGTCCAATTTGATGGCATAAATGGAAAAGGAATCATGCTTGGACCATGGCAAAGATGGTCTTTTCCAGGGATACCCAGAATGGCTATGATGGGAATGTGATGATAAACCATGGGAATTTGCTGTACCCAGAAAATCGATCGTTTGGTATCAGTATCTACAGGAATGACAAAAGTGTTCGTTAACAGTTTTGAGCTTCTCCAAGATGTTCTGTCAATGGTGGATGAAAGGGGATGTTGCTTAACAATGAAGGGGGAGATCATATATCCGTCATGGGGATACATCTTGCCATCTTGCACTTGTAAATGACCCATAACATCCCATAACAATAGCGGCACTCATAACTGGTTGGTGGTTTTTCGCCACCCCTCTGAAAAATGATGGACTTCGTCAGTTGGGATGATGAAATTCCCAATATGATGGGAAAGTCATAAAATTCCATGGTTCCAGTCACCACCAACCAGATATATTGTTATTCCAATTATTAACCATTATTAGCCATAGATTAACCATAGATTAACCATAGATTAACCAGGAAAATTCATGTTCCAAACCACCAACCAGATATACTTACAGAATATATATCCATATAGAAATATATTTCCACCAACCAGATAAGGATCTTTCGTTTATGTCTCACCCAAGGTCCTCCGACAAATGTCACTCCGAATGAAACTTGAGTTGCGGACATCCGACGCCCTTCACCTTTGTCGGCACCTCTGCAGTGCATCGGCCCCCATTTTTTCGTGCGCAAAATGGTCAAAAGTGCATGAAAACATATGAAAAACTATGGGGTGTGTCTCAAAATGATGATGAATCATGATGAATCATGATGAATTATTTGATATCATAGGGCTTTTAGAGTAGCCAATTTTCAAACATATCCAAATAATCCAAAGGGATGCCGGTCATCCACAAAATCCCACTGAAATGCAAAACACTGACATGAAAAAAAAACCGTCCCCCATTCATATTGAAAACAGCCTCCAGTAGGACCATCCAATAGGGGGTCCCATTTTCATATGAACAGGGGATCGGATGAAAAAACATCATATGTATATATATATATAATATGTATATATATATATACATTATGATTATCAATCTCCCACTATTAGTTGATAATTGTTGATTCTAAGAGAAACCCTTTCGCATCCATTCCTTGGGACGAAAGGACCACCCCTCACCACGAGTCGAAAAACGTCACGGGGGCCTGGGGGCTCATCACCTCGAATCGTATCCGTGAGCGACTGTAGGACGCACCTGGGCCATGTCATCTTTTCGCTGTTTTTCGGTCAGGTTGCGGTCATCCACTTGATCCAGAATCAGAACAAGAATGGTAAGGACCATCCAAATGGTAAGCTTGCTTGATCTATCATAATTCTAACAAGAATGGTGGTTATGATGGATCTTATATGATCTTATGATGGATCATCACTATATATCACCATCATCATAAGATCCATCATAATGATACTGGTAAGATCATGTAAGATCCATCAGCTGATGAATTCATCAAGGATCCCCCGCGGATGTGAACCTCATCACCCTTGGACACCTGGCATTCGCGGTGAAAATGCTAGCTTTCTCAAGCCTGCCATGATCGTGGTTTCTTCAAAAACAAGAAAAACAAAACGGCACGTGTTGGTATTTAACCTGGTACCATTAAGATTGAAACAGGTGAAATACCCCAATTTAATCCAATTTAATTAAACAGGATTTAATGTTGGCCTTTCCCATTAGATTTCACATTAAACATCAGAATTGGACTCCCCGAATCGCCTGAGTCATGCCTTTTTGAATTGAGGCAACGACATCATCCGGTGAAATCGGTGCAAGCTTAGCTTGGAATCGGTCAGCCTCCAAGGGTGCTGCAAGCCATTGATATGCATGGCGGTTGTAGTCCTTGGCCCACAGAAGTGGCATGAAGGGTTGCACATCTCTTGTGAACTATCTGAACATATCTGAACATATCTGGTATGTCGAAGAAATTCAAAGAATGACCACAAGTCTCAATAGTCAGATGTCCATGGATGGTCTGTAGACCTCTGTAGAAACTGTTGGCATCCATGAGATTCGGGACAGGCTCCAGCTTTTGCTGACCTCCTCTTCCATAGACATCGGGGACCCTTCCATCAATGCCGAGCTCAAGATTCCCATCGAACAACTGAGTTGGGAGAAAACCTCCTGTTCAATAGCCTCACTGTATTGTTTTTTGAATTGAACAACCAGACTCAACCAGACTCAATTGATCTCAATTGTATTGTTTGACAACGCTTTCCGGAGCGTCAAATCAGAGAAATCAGGGCAGAACAAACACCATCTGAATTCACCACCTCTTGGCTCCCCAACACCCTGCACCTGATGACCTTCTTGCAGATCCATCGGAGTGTGATCTAACTGAATGGAGTCTGTCAAGGACCTTGGAGTCTGCGGATTATGAAAACCTGAAAAAAATCCTGCCATGACCAACCATGACCTGCGGAGTTAAGGTTGCTTTATGATTGGAGTACCGCATACCATACCAGTGGTACCGCCAGTTTTCATTGCATGTGTCAGGTCTATCATGGTGGATCGCTGCTTTTTATTTGTCAGAGATTGGAATTTCAACCATGACATGAACAGCTCCGGAGCTTCCAAACAACAGCTATGTGACATGTGGGATCCCCATCTTCCGTTTTGTTTGAAGAATCCCAGTCAGAATATGACCCCCGCGCCCCACATGTTTTGGCAACGGGATCAGCTGAGTTCGCTGCATTTTGTACCAGAAAACCATGGAATTCAGCACCTTGGAGCCATCTCCGGCATCAAACAGTTTGAGTCTCTAGCGATCAATCCAAAAGCTGACCCAACAGGTAGGACAGGGAAAAAAACCATGAAACCATTAGGAAAAAAACACATATATTTTGAATCATTTGAATATGTGTTAGTTGTATATCCCCAGCTTTCTTCCTTTATACTCCCATCTTGGCTGGCCCACATCCCCATCAAGATATCCCCATATCGCTGTGTCTAAAAAATAAGCTACTCCAAAAGCTGATGCTTAATCAGCATTTTCTCAATTTATTATATATATATATTAAAGGTAGCAATTGGGGTGGTAAATTTCGGTATATTTTCAGATTTTTTCAGGTCCAACCCCATATTCTTCGTTGTAAGTTGATCCAAGACACACCGTCCTCTTTGGCTACGAAATGCAGATCTGTCTGACCACTCCTGAGATCGCCATGGATGGATGGCAGAAAAAGACCAGTTGGTTGGTGAATCTGACCTGAACCCGAATTAAACATCCAAGTTTGATAAATATAGAATATCTTCTAATTAATCATATTTATATAATTATATATATATATATATCGTGATGTGATGTGTTCATATCAAAATCATGAAATTGCTTCCGAAATCAACGGTTTCTACCTCTTTCTTTCGTGTTGTTCGCTAAGTCCACGACATCTTCACTTCAGGCTCAGTAAAGTCGAACTCGAAGACTTCATGGACAGATCTCAGAAATGGGGTGGCCAATTTGGAGGTTTCCCACGTCATGGGGGTACCCCCAAATCATCCAAGCTATGGACCATATGAGTATTGAAACCCATGGTGACTTGGGGATTCCATGAGATTCCCCATTTCAAAAGCCATTGGGCAATGACAATTGGGGTCGGATTTTCAGTGGATCTCGAAGTTTGTCTGAAAAAAATCCCGATGATCCACTGAAACGGATGGGGGATGGTAATAATTCGAATGGGAATTACCCTTCAAATGATGAGTTTAATGGCCATGATTAATTACCGATATCATTGGGGTCACCCAAAAAAATTCTGGCGTGTTTCACCTGGGGGTGAAGTGATTGGGGTACTTCTAGGATGCCTAAACCCAAGCTGTGGATGCGCAGAGTATGTGCAGGTATTGTCTCTTCAGGTAACACAAATAGATTAGCTTTCTGGTCATTTGAGAATGAGTACCTGTCTGAGGAATTCTGAGGATATCAGTGTCGGATGTGTCATTGTGAAAAATCCTAAAAGTTTTGACCACTTTTCTGCATCATTTCTTCATCATCTCTCATGTTTGCCACCGAAAAATCCTCAGATTTTTGCACAGATCAGGGCTCCGGACCCCAAACACCTCCAGGGTTCTCGAAGACTCCCATCAAAGTTGCCCGTCTCGTAGAAGGCTCCCCAGCGGGTCTCGTCTCCAGCCTTTGTCAAAAGATGCACACTTTGCGGATTTCTTAATTTGGACCGTAGATGATCATATAAACTGTGTAGATATAATTATATTATATATATAATTATATATATATAATTATATACATAATTATATATATCATAGTTTATCAGAGGATCATATTTTATGTATATAAATGTCTATCAGAGGATACAGTATCATAGTTTATTCGTAAAGATCCAAGGAATAAGTTTGACCAAGTAGGTCCTCTGGTGGTTCTGGGTGACTTTTTTGTTATCTTCTGGAACATTGGAAGTATTTTGGAGGTACCCCATGAACTTTTGGGGCAGTCATCACAGTCATTACCTTAAAGTGCCACCTCAGAGATTGGAATAGCCGAGAAGAGCCCAGCACACCGTCAGCAGAGATTCTTTAAGCAAAAGCGATGCATCTTCGAATTCACCTCTCAACATCTCAACATCTCGACATCTCGCCACCGGTAATCTCCGAAAAGTCACAGATGTTCCCATCCAAAAGACTACCAGTCACTCGAACATCGACAGGTTGACGACTGCGGCCGCCTCGGTCAAGCACCAAGAAGCCGAGCTTCGTTGGAGCTCCGTTTGCAGACGCAGCTCCAAGTCACCGCGGCGGCAATGAGGAGAATCACCACCACGATCAATGCCACCAGCCACATGGGAAATCCACCAGCCTTAAGGGGCGCAAGTTCTAGATCTTGAGACAGGTTGTAGCTGTTTATGATAGTCACGATAGTCCAAAATGGCCAAAAAAACTTGACGATCCCCATTTGCCATGAATCATTATGATCCATTTTGGATAAAATATGGATCAACTGAAAGTGATGGAAAGGAATCTGAGTATCTGCAAAACGCGCACTATCGCTCACACCACTGATCTCTCAACATTCTTCGGTACAGCCCGCCTTCGCTGGTGGCGAGGGGGGCCAGGCGCAGTCCGCATCGTTCCATGACTGACCTTCAGGACAACTGGCCTGAATTTGTTTCAGCTGTAGGGAGAGATTCTGGGGCACTTGGCAGGCGTGCGCCGCCGTGCAGCCATGTTTGACCAGGAACTTGGAGAAATCCACGGCTGAGCCATTCAAATCGGACCTGGTGTTGGTTGAATTTCAACCGCTCAAAATCATTAGGTCGCTGGGGATCTACATCCCAGGGGGAAACAATAAACAGATCTAAACAGTGTGTTTCTCATCAGCAACCAGTGACTGATTGAGCTGTTGAATCAACATCTTCAAGGATTTGTCATCATCTTCACCAAAGGCTGATAGCCTCACGTCCACCACAGTCCACTTGCCCTTGTGAGTCGTTTCTCGAAGCTTCCGGATCCAAATAGAGGATGACATGGAAAGGTTCAGGAAAGGTTCAGGACATCCAAAGAGGCATTGGTGGTTTTCTGGATGGTATCCTTGAATGCCGGGACAAAGGCAGAAGACAACCAACCATCCCAAGCATCTGACAGATTGAACGCTCGAAGTTCGTAGTTGACCAAAGCCAATCGTTTGGAACCGTGACATGTTCCATCCTTTAAATCAAACCCCTTGGTGCAGTTAGAACACTGCGTGTCTGCTGCACAACTGCTGCAGAATTCATCTTTGGATGTAGAGTTGAAGCACGGCCGTGACGGAGCTTTTGGCTTGGGAGACTTGGCACATTCCTTCTCTTTTCCAGGACAATGATCTGGACATTCGCAGATCAAACCCTGCACTTCACTACCAGCACCACAGGTGTTGTTGCACTGACTCCAGTTGCCGAAATGATCCTTGCTCCAAGGGCAGGCATCGCCACGACATTTCGTGGAATTTTCAGGCTTGGAGCTTTCGTCACAGGGACCAAAGATCTCTTCAAAAGGACACCAAACCTGTCGAAAGCGAGTGCCATTTCCACAGCTGGCATTGCAACTCCCCCAGGATTCGGCTTTCCAAGTCCTTTTGCACTTGCCAATGTAAACACAGCAGGCAGAACTTGGGGTTTCTGTGCTGCATTCGCCACCACATTCGGTGTCACACTGTGGAAGGAAATCCTGACTGTGGATTTACAAAGAGACTTGAAATTCAGACACGTTGTCTTTACGCTTGACTTTCGAAAGAAAAGTCAAACAAAGGGAGGCACGGTTTCCAGCAAGCAAACAGCGTTCAAAATCACCCCTTGTTTATTTATATTGTTCTCAACAGCCATGATCCCAAGATATCAAAGATATACCCTCTGGTAAACGTTTACATAGCTATGGAACATCACCATGCTATTAATGGCTAAATCAACTATCAATGGGCCATCTTCAACAGCTATATATGTATGTTTACCAGAAGGTATCCCAAAATATCCCAACTCCTTGTACTGCGGCAGCTCTTTGTTCAGGAAGAGATCCACCCGACATGCCACCTGCGATGGAGGACTCACTGCCCTCACGGTTCCAGGGATGTGACAAGCGTCACAAACTCCGGAATCATCACGGTGACAGTAGGACACGCCAGCATCGGGCGCAGGTTTGTTACACATGGGACTGTACTGATCACACCTGCAGGGTTGTAAAATTTCATGTCCAAAATCGATGGAAACAAAACATAGCTCCCAATAAAACCATCGGACACATCATCATACTTTCTGGTTCTCATCCCCATGCTAGTGCGGCTAAAGCATCTCTCTGGAAGTTCCCTCTTCTCCAAAACCACCCCATCCCCATGTTTGAGCCTACGGGTGGAAAACCGAACCAGCGTTTTGCATGTTTCTATGTCTTTCGTGGGGTAAAGGGGGTGGGGTGGGGTGGGGTGGGCTGATAACGTTCACTTGCACTTCCTCACATACATGATGCTACGCTACTGTATTTGTTTTTTGCGTTTCCTCACATACATGATGCTACGCTACTGTACGTCTTCTTGCACTTCCTCACATACACGATGCTACGCTACTGTACGTCTTCTTGCACTTCCTCACATACATGATGCTACGCTACTGTACGTCTCCTTGCACTTCTTCACATACATGATGCTACGCTACTGTACGTCTTCTTGCACTTCCTCACATACATGATGCTACGCTACTGCACGTCTTCTTGCACTTCCTCACATACATGATGCTACGCTACTGTACGTCTTCTTGCACTTCCTCACATACATGAAGCTACGCTACTGTATTTGTTTTTTGCATTTCCTCACATACATGATGCTACGCTACTGTACGTCTTCTTGCACTTCCTCACATACACGATGCTACGCTACTGTACGTCTTCTTGCACTTCCTCACATACATGATGCTACGCTAATTACTGTACGTCTTCTTGCACTTCCTCACATACATGATGCTACGCTACTGTACGTCTTCTTGCACTTCTTCACATACATGATGCTACGCTAATTACTGTACGTCTTCTTGCACTTCCTCACATACATGATGCTACGCTACTGTACGTCTTCTTGCACTTCCTCACATACATGATGCTACGCTACGGGCACCATCGATAACCCATGGCGTTTGTTGAAGCAAGCTGTTCCCAAGTCTTTAGCTTCGAAGAAAGGACACACTTATAACCCGGCTTTGATCAAGCATTGCAGGTCCTGGCAATGGAGATGGGAAAACACTGGAACCAGCTTGTTTCAAAAGACTGCCAAAGTCTTGAATGAGACTGTCCAGTCTAGATGACTGTCCTTGGCGATAGAAAAAAACGCGCGCAGAAATGTGCTAAAACCTGCATATTTCAAAAAAACAGCAAAAAAAAGACGCTGATTTTGGAAGCTCATGAATGCAGAAAACATTGCAAAACGCACGAAAAAAACCAAAACACAGTGGCACGGCGAATATCATGAACTAAATTGTTTGCCAAAACCATGCGTTTCGCATCCAATGTCTAGAATATGAACGCCAAAAACAGACAAAACGTGGGTTCAGTTTCCCACCCGCCGGGATGTTTGAGAGGTAAATCCCATGTCTTTTCATCCCTATGGCCAAGTTTGATTTACCCACCCACCCCATCAACCAATTTATATAATTTGTTCAGTTCTGGATTACATTGCTATCAATGATCAATCTTCATTCAACCAGCTGCTATAATTCACCAAGAAACATCTAGATTATAATTTGAATCCTCAATGAAACAACTCTTTTAGTACTATAATTAACTTTTATGTCAATAGAATCAATAACAATAATCATGACTCCAGTAACTATTATATTTAACATTGCCAGAATCATACAAATCACAATCAACCATAATAATGTTTAAAAAATCATTAACCATCGGACATAGACCTTGGGTTGCTGCCGTAAAAGCTGGGCACTTGCGATCCCCCAAAGGCTCGCTCTAACAGAGAGGCGCGAAGGGCGTTGCGGCTGGCATTGCACCGCCCTGTCCAGAAGGGGATGCCAACTTCGCCGCTGCCACAAGCTGCATCTTGGCACGAGGTGATGCATCCTGCGCTTCCAACGGAGCCATCTGAAAAATATATGGGGAATGTGGTTTTTTCTAGGAATATGAATGGAGAATATGAATGGAAAATGATTCTTGTGGGAATGTCATGAAGGTCATCTGGAAAAGGTTGATGATAGAAATAGTTGATTATATAGATTATAGTTGCTATATCCCCCATCCCGAGTTTGTTTGGATTCATAAATATGAAGAACATGTCGGAATGCACCTGTCAGTCCTGGATAATCATATTCCTTGCAATATTTCACCCCTAGATGGGTGAAACTCAAGTTCTGATTACTGCAATGCAGCCGGAAATCCGACCAACTGCTGCACTTGCGACCACCACAATCTTCTTGAGTGATTCCAGCGATCTCATCCAAGTTTTTGGTGGTGTAGTTTTCGATGTAGTAACTACAACCTGGGGTCCCATCTGGTATGTCGCTTGAAAACAGCTTCGGTTTGCACAGACCTCCTGCCACATATTGGCTCTTCTTCTCTGGAACCAAGCCTTTTTGATACTTGCTGCAGTTGGAACTGCTCTTCTCCCCATTCTTCATGTTGGGGCATGGCCCACTCAAGCTAAACCAATAATATGTCTCCTCCAAGGGGAACCGCACGTCTCCATTCGGTGGATGGAAGGATAAGGCTCCCACCAGATCTCCGCTCCTCTCAAAGATCTCCACATCTTCAGGCGCAACCACGGCTCCATCCTCGAAGCGCACGAATTTCGAGAACTCAGCCTGTGGCAACCACTGCACTGCATGGTAAAACATGGGTAAAACATGGTAAAACACCAATGGAAACCAGGAAGTTCTGGGAGGAAATTGCATGTTTCCACAAGTTTTGGAAAAGCAAACAGAAACCAAGCAGCTGAGAAGAGACTTGAAACCAGTTCAGTTTTAAGTGCGCTGACGTAATGACATGTCAGGTGGAGAAGAACAATGCGGAAAAATCCAAAAAGATCCGAAAGGGATCCCCTGATCTTTTTTTTTACCACGAGATGCCAAGGCAAAAAAGACCTGGCGCCATGGCATTGGCAGATTTTTTTTCAGAGAAAATTCTGGAATTCTGGGCCTGGACATCAACATCACTGGAGCTCATGTTGTTGTGGATCCTGATCTGATACTTCACCACTGTATCAATGCCATTGGGTCGGCTAGCTCGATCGGGTGCCAGCCCCGTCTCAAGCACCACCTGGAGGGAAGCCGATGGGACATGATGACTCAACGGGTGGAGAGTTAGCCATGTTAGCCTTTAGGAATCCCCCTGAAACATGGAGGGTTTGGGGTTATTTTCATATATTTTAATGGGAAATCATGGGAAATCCTTGAACAATGCTGGATTTTCCATTGCCCACCTTTGATTGCCGGAGGCTAAGGGCAATATTCACCGGAAATCGATGATTTCCTCTTCATCTAAGTCTGGGAGGGACAAGAATTACTTTGAAACGCAAAAAAAACATGGAGAGTTTCGTGGAACCCACATGGCCCACACCTCATATCAATATCATTCCATATCTATCCTGTAAATGAATCATTGTCTCGTCATTGATCAGATGTTTTTTTCTTTCATATGTATCTCACTCCCTGTGATTTTTAGACCATCATTCTCCCTGAAAAACCACCTGTGTGGCCAGGAAATTCACTAATCCAGCTGCATCATACAGGTCCAGATTTCCGGGTTGGCTGAAATCCTCCGTGCTTTTACCCACGGCATACATCTCCAAGCGCACATACTTCGTTCCCTTCGTTCCCTTCGTTGTCGTTTCCCAAGCAAGTCCAGGGAGCTCAAAAGCAAAGGACTGGAGAAGCCAAGTGGCCCACAGGGCTAGTCTCATGCCAACAAATGGGGCAAGATATGTTTTTTTCTTGGTAATAGGTCTATATCATCTATATCTGTGCAAAAATCTTGAGCCAAACATGGAGAAACGTGTGGTGTTTGCGGATTGATGCTTGCAGTGTGTTGTTTCAGGGTTTGTCCACCAAAAGGATCAAAAAGGGAGCCCCGGTCTTTCTCTCGGTATACAAAAATGAAGCCAGTGGGACTCAAATTAGTCAGAAAAATCATGAAACCATTTGGAATCCGAAAGACATACAAAACAAAAACGATAAGTTGGTTTACCTTTCGAAACCGCATCCCTGACAGATCCCTGACACTTTTCGACATGTCCATATCTGCTTCTGGAAGCTGGGATACGGACCCTCCAATCAAAGCCATCTGGCCCCTCCTGTGGCGAAATGGCAACTGGTCAGGGACCAATTAGTGTCAATGCTGTGCACCATTTTTTTTTGGATCGAACCAGAAATGTGCAACTTCCAAACTTGGGATACCCATCGACACCCTAAAAACGTGCTCGGATCCAGCAGGAAAATCATCGGAAAAAGTGGCCGTTTTCCACATCACCTGGGGCTCCAAACTCCTCTGGGACAACGGATTTCACATGGAGCACACAAGATTTGTGCACCTGGTCACCGAAGACCCGTAGGGATCTAGTGGCGATCAGTTCATTGTCTTTATACCTTTAATAGCTGATAATACCATTTAATAATATATAGCATATAGCTGATAATATATTAAGTATATCTAATATGAGGATATTTGAAAAGTAATTTCCATGATGGTTAGTCATTGAAGCCTCAAATTTCTGAGTAATTACCTCATTTCCACCAAAAAAAACCATCAAGTCGTGACTTGAATGCCGCCCAAGTCAAAGCCCAGGTCGCAGTTGCCCTGGGATTTTTTTTCCGGGGCTTCTGACCCATGGGAACGATCATGTGATCCGTAGTGCACAGCTTCTTCTTCACGTGATTCACTCGTGCGAGGACCTTGGACCACTGGGGAACCAATGGTTTTGATCGTGGAGGTATTACCAGCCCAGGAAGGTAACAAGAAAGGCCAAAAGAGTTCGTCACTCTGAATATTGAACATATTTGAACATTCTAAAAGCATATTGAGCATGTTGAATGTTTGAGCCATATGGCAGTGTGTCAAAACCTTGTACCCCTGTAGTTCACATCAAAATAGCTGGGATAAATGGATGTTCATCCCATTAAAAATGGTATTAATAGGTATTGATCCATAGCTATATCATGAAACCCTGGTTATCCCTGGTTCCTTTGGAAGAAATGCTCACACTGAAAGTACCTGTACCAAGTCACTCCTTTTCCGATGAAGCCTGGATCAAAGAGCTCGTAGTCAAGCACCACCTCAGCTACCCTCTGGTAAACTAACATAGCTATTGAAAATGGCCATAGAAATAGTGGATTTTCCCATGAAAAATGGTGATTTTCTATAGCTATGTTAAATTACCAGAGGGTAAATCCCACATCCTGGCGGAAAAAACTTGACGAAGCACTGAGCATCACTGAGCAACAGACGACATCGACCCTTCCAGTGAGGTTGTTTTCATCTTCTCCATCGGGGTCCACAACCGCAAGCTCATGTGAAGGTCGATGAACAAACCTGGCTTGGCATGTCTGAATTCGTTCGAGAGTTGCCAAGCCAAGCCAACAGACATGTGAACAAACGTTGAACTATGTTGAACTTCAATTCAACGACCTCCAATGGAATTGGCATGTTTTTGTGCGCAAGGCAACCTAGGTCCATAAGGTCAATAAGGTCCATAGCTATTGAGCATCTCTTTGAGTTTCCGGCTTCACTTGTTGCGACTTCAAGCCGTTCCTTGGCCCCGGATGTTGCTTGTCGACATTGAAAGCATCTGCAACTTTCATCAATAGATTGATTTCAGATGATTTCAGGAACATTTTACAGGGAACCACTCAATGAATGCACTAATTTAGGTGGGTTTCCGCACATGTTCCCTGCAATTCTGAGATTTCCAAGCTATCAAATATTGCTCTCAGATTCTGATACACTTCAAAAATCTATTACCATGTGGGGATGCACAATGACTTGAACGGCTCAAGCTGAGAACCGGTTTCCACCAATATATTTACCGGGGGATACTGTCACTGTCATGTCTCCCGGTCCTTGTTGCTATTCTATCCTTTTTCATTGGCCAAGTTCTATCCACCAACATTGAAGCACCTTGCAAAGCTGCCATCTTGACCTCATGCCAGTTACTACTCAGTATCCCCCAGGCTGTCCGATGGAATTCATCATCCTCCTGGGATTTTTATCCATACAGCCCAGTTCTTGGATCAAAAAAAAACCTCAACAAAAATCCAAGCATCTCTCGCGCAATGGTCATGCACAGATCGGCGATGTAGGCCGCTCTGTGCCTCATCACTACTGGCATAGATGGGGAGATTAGCCAATGCGAACCCTCATCAACATCAATGTGCAAATTGCAAATCATGGATTACTGTATCTTCCGCTATTATCTAAGTGCGTTTGCTGGGTTGACCTACAAAAAAAATCAGTCTTTCAGAGCCTGAGCCCAGAAATCTGGGTTCTGGGACGCAGTGTTGGCCACAATGTCGGAGGTCGGCAAATACCTGGCATTTTTATTTTTGAGACATGGGTCCGGGATGTTCATCGAGACAGTTGGATGGTCACCACACCTTGAAATTCCGCATCAAAAGACATCAAAATGTCAACTCCGCATTAACATTACACTAGACCCGGGTTGGTCAAATAATGTCGTACCAAAATGGCAGCCTCCCAATTGAACAGCCTCCGGATCAAACAGATCCAGATTTCCCTAGCCTTGCAGCTGTAAGCAACGGCAATCCGCAGCCAATCCCAACGAAGAGCCAACGAGCCTCGACCATGACCAATCAGAAATGTCTTGTACCATCCAAAATTGAAAGGATATGTGGATTAATAATGTAATGATTAATACGCCAAATTTATCCAAATTTGGGGATTTGGGGGGAAACTCGAATTTGAAGCACTTGAGATATGCCATTTTTGTTGGTGACTTTAATCATCAAAGCCAAGTCATGGGGCAACAACTGTCGACGTTTGCCGGGTTCCGGGCATCGTTACCCAACATGTTGTGCTTCTGCCGAGTGCCATCTGCATTGGTAGCACCTGAAACACGTCGCAGAGGCATGAAATTCAGCATCTTCGGCCAGGGTGCTTCCAAGCATCACTCATTTGCACACCCATATAATGGATATGTATATATAATGGATATGTATATATAATGGATATACATATATATATAATATATACATATAATGTATCATCATGTATCTGTGACAGACAAAAAAAGGCAACCTTCGGGGTGTCTGTCCCATTTTTGGACAACGCCGAACGCGCATTGATTCATTGGCGAAGGCCGAAAAATCTCATAGTTCTCATGCAAAAAAAAACAACTAAAAAGTCCCCAACTGGGCTGGAGAACTACCAAAATATGGTAGACCTGGTCGCTTTCGGCTTCCACCCGGCACACTGAGATCAAGACCCATCAACTGACCAACAACGTCACGCACCGCCTCAAATCTCAAGTGATGTGGTGTTTTCTCCTTGGGTAATCAAGCAGCTGGAAGGAAACAGCAAATTCTATAGATGATGTTCCTGTATTTTCACATCAAAACTGGGTACAACTAAAAGTCAAGCACTTGGATTAACCTGACAAAAACCCCGTGGCCTGCACGAAAGTCTCAATGGGCGTGGCATGTTGGTCCAGCATGTTCAGCAATTCGTCAGCATATTGCACCTTGTAACTCTGTCAGCTGGCACTCCAAAGTGATGTGGTTCAAACTCAGCTGAAATCATTTGTATAATTCATAATCAGATATCATCAGCATCACCCAAATTTGATAGAAGCAGCAACCACTAGGACTCAGTAGTATCTTGGAGCAAAAATCAACAGTTCTTTCGTGGAAAAAAAAACCATTGGAATCTCGACACGTCCTTGGAAACACACGGAAAAGGCGAGTTTTTGCTGAGCGCTCCACATCGCTCTGACGCTCCAGGAAGAGTGCAATGGCCTGAATCAAACTTTCATTGGATACCCTCTGGTTATGTCAAAATAGCTATTGAAAATGACCATTAATAGTGGATTTTCCCATGAAAATGGCCATTTATAGTGGATTTTCCCATGAAAATGACCATTAATAGTGGATTTTCCCATTAACAATGGTGATGTTCAATAGCTATTTTGACATAACCAGAGGGTAACTTGACACCCCATGTTTCAAGAAACCCGCATGTGCTGAACAAATGATTAAAAATATGATGGCCATTGATAAGGGATGAATGAAGTTTCCGATGTCGAACACTACTTTAAGCACATAAGATTCACCCCCAGTGGTCCCCAGTGCAATTTGACGCATGTCATGCTACGCGTCATCCCACCTGTGCTTGCTGCGAATCGCTGTAATCCACCCGACTGGGTGCAGGTTTTGCATCAATGCGCCACTCCCGGGTTGTTGGGTCCTTGGCAAATTGCTGGGCCAGCCACATGACTGGGAATCCTGGGATATGTCATATATTATATATTATAGGTTATATATTATGTATTATATATTATATATATATACATGAATATATGAACCAGAAATAGCGGTATTTTGAGTTGTTCAACAGGTGCTACACCTATTGTTATAGCTTATATCTCAATTTCTATACAAATGCAGTTAGCTTTTAGTTGGTTTCAGACCCGTTCTGGTTGGCGTTGCTGGATCTCCCCTCTCAGCTTTCGACCCAAATGGGATGCTGTGTCTTCTCTCCTCGATTGTCGTGCCTTGCAATCTGGACATGTGGGCTTCTCCAAAAAAAAGGGGCCGGCTTTACACATTTCAACTGAAGATTTATAAAATTGTGATACAACTTTATAAAATTTTATACTAAATGATAGTAATTTTTGATACTTGTCTAAATCATCCCAAAGGGGCTCTAGTGGGGAAAATGTCTGACCAGATATGGCCACTTGTGAAAATCCAGGGGAAATCCCCTGGCAACCTCGTCCCCGGGGGATCGAAAAATCAACCACCAACAAACATGCCGGATGTTGCTGGGCTTTTGCCCCTATCAAAATGGGAATGTTCAAGAGATTTCATCCATAAACATAGGGAAATTGCGCAAGGGATGCTAAGAATCCAGCAAAAAAGTGATTGGAAAGAACTAACAAAGCCGACAAAGCAACATTAAGCGCTACAACTGTTTCTTTTGGGGGACATCATGGCTACCCAAAACTCAAAACCATATCTGTTGGCAGCATAAAAGCCTGTCTTTCGTCCCAGAAACCTGGGCGTTCTATCTCACCCCCAAGAAAATCCAGCACCTGTAGATGACTTCCATGTCAAACTTTGGCTCAAATGGGGGCGGCCTGCAACCAGAGATGGAAAAGCCCTGGGTTTTTCCCTACTGCACACCATGATTCATGGTATGTTCTTGACGATCAAATTCGGTATGTCCAAAAAACATCAAAAAACGCTATCTACAACTTGAAAGAAAGAGCAAAAAATAACCTGATTTCCATGGCATTGTGTTGTTGTTCAGTTTTCCATGACATTGTGATGTGGCAGTGTGTCAAAACCAATAGTACCCCTGTAGTTCACATCAAAATAGCTGGGATTTATGGATGTTCATCCCCCTAAAAATGGTATTTTCATAGGTATTGATCCATACCCATTGTCATTGGATTGGTTTAAGGGAAAATCTACAGGAAACCATGGTTTTTACCATCAAATATAGGGCTTTCCTGTAAATTGTCCCATCATCCAATTCTATTTACAGGTTCCAAACTTTTCTCCAAAGTTCCCAGAGTTTTCAGCCGGGAGGCGGCGGTTCTTTGTAGCCCAGCATAGCTTTCAACTGTCTCTGCTCCATCTTGGAGGAGGAGTAGTACCTGAACAAAACCACCAGGGGGCTTCCGGAGTTGGGCCAGTGGGGAACATTAACCACGATATAAACAACTGTTGTTTACCACGATATAAACAACATTAACCAGCAAACATATGATCAATATATATATATACATATATATATAGGCTATATAGGGAATATATGATTCGTGACTCAGTTGGCAATTTGAACAAAGGAAATCCATAGCCATCAAATAAAAGTGAGGTATTGAAACCATTTGAAACCCATGACATGCTGGATTTTGGGGCCACAAATTTCTGAAAAAACACCTCTTCATAGCAACCTGAGGGATGATCCGCCCACATCCAACCCAAAATCTGTGGCACTTGTCTCCCAAGATGATCCGGTTGGGATCGTTCGCGGCCTGGATCAACCATGTGCTGCTCATCCCAAACGGATTGGAACGGACATTGGAACGGATTACTGTGATTAACATGAGCTAGAATGGATTATAAGTAATGAATAACATTAGTTATCACATGATTAGAATATTATCCTTACTACTGTTATTAAATATGGATTATCACCATACACATCCCAAGTAAGGATAGTAAGGCCACATAAGAACTGTCAGAAACACAACTGTGAAATCCCATGAAATCCCACAGCTGGTTGGCCTCCTCTTCGTCCTCTTCGTCTTTTTGCTGCTGAACCAGGGAATCGAACTTGGAGTAGTCTGTGGTGTGCTTCTTCACCAACTTCTCCTGAAACAATAGATGGGTTTCTGATGGTTTCTTTATGACAGCTAAAAAACATCAACAACGCACAGCCCAACATCCTTTTCCTTTCCAGCTACTGCAAGAAGAGTCTCGCGTGGTGCATGCAAAGGTTCCATGCAACTGTGCTATCCACCGTGATAGTCAGGCTGTACGACCTCACGTGGAACAAAATCCAAGCATGAAAACCCAGCGACAACCGAAGAGACTGGTTCAGCCTCAAAAGAATGGTCAAAAGTCGCGGATGCAAAATTAATTATGGCGCCTGCGATCGCATCATTCAAGGGCTCAGGGTATATTTTCGCAATGGAAGTGCGGAAGGACCCGTCAGGATTGCAACCTTGAAGCGATACGTGAGTCCCTGGTGCATGTGGACACCGTCCCCCCCGGCCCTTCTTCAGAATCACGTCCCTCAGGGTCGGGAGTCTCAAAAGTAGCAATGATGTTGGTTTGCGTCCTTCACATTGGAAAATGCATTGATCGAAGGTCACAACAGCAACGCACTGTAAGCGCTTTAGCCATCGCACAGCTTGAAGGGCCCACGTGCTTGCTGGACGGTGAACACGAGCCCATGTAGGAAATGCAGGATGTTCCAAAAATCCGCATGCACCGACAAGAGCACAGTGAAAAAGCATCTCCACCATAAAACGGAGTAGGGAGGAGCCCAAAGCAGTCTGATCCCACTGACGTCGATTATTGGACGGAAGACCACACATTTCCTCGTAGGAACGAAGAGGAGGTGGGCCATCAGCCAAAAATCGGGCAGCAGAGAAGGTCTCACACGGAGGACCTCCTCCCATTCCCAGGATCGCCCCGCTGTAAATTTGCTTCTTCCAAAACTCACGGCTTCTGGTGGAGGAAAGATCACCATCTTGACCCTGTAGACAAAAATCCACCGAAATGCAAAAAATGTGATGAATGCCTTGAACCCAATGTCGTTCAACACAATGTTGCAAGTCGCCCTGTCTTCGGAATCCGGAGAACATATGTATGAAACACATGGTTCGGATGTGCAGTTTGGCGTACAAGGTGGCCAAGCCCCGCAGGGAAAACTGACCATTGTGTCCCAAGTCTGAACCCTGATCAGAATGCATTACAAAAGCCATCTGCTCGTCTTGCTTCTGCAATCCAACCGGTTCCAGGTCGGCCGGCTCATGGCCCTCATTGTGTTGAAGACAGACGCCTTCCAAAGCTTCAAAAGCAGGGACGGCATCAATGCCCTGCCTGGTCTTCCAGCGAGAGAGCATGTAGTCAGCCTCAACAGAACCAGGAGGCGGCAACCAAGGCCCTTCACACCGTAAGGCAGGCATCTTGGCCTTGGAAGCCAACCATCCTTGCACTCGCATCTCTTTTGCATGTGCCCGGTCGGCTATTTCAAGCTCTTCCATCAATGAAAGTGATAAGGGTGGAAATGCTGCACGGACACGTTCAAGACATGCATCTGCGGTCCGAAGATGGCAACATAATCGAACTCTATCATGGAAAACACGTGAACAATTTGGACACGTGCCATCAAAAGCAAAGTGCTTTACTAGTGTCTTATATCCATGTCGCTTGGAAGAATGCATGGCCAGAGCTCTTTTGGAATGAAAAACCTGGTCGCATAGCATACACATCCATTGTTCAGAGGGGGAGGAATCCCTCCTACATCCGACTTCCACACCTTGTCGCAAAAGGGACTGCTGCAACCAGGAGTGCCAAATTGCATCTTTTGCTTGCTCATGCCAATAGCGTCGGCAGGAAGAGATAGCCCGCTTGAGTCTTCCCTTCCATCGGGTATCAACTGCAACGAAGGAACACCAATCATTGATGGGGGTGTCGCTGGTGAAGCCAAAATGAGGACTACTAAACCTGCATAGCCAGGCCAAGGACTGTTTCAACAATGACAGCCACGAGCCTGCGGAAGATTCAACCGCTTTGAGCAAGTTCCACAAAAGAACCGGACAAAAGGAAAGCAGCCTCTTGAAGTACCTTAGTCTGGCTACGTGCAACAGGTCATATGGGGGCAGAATCTCACAGGCACCACAAAGGATATTCATATCAAATGAAAATGGAGCCAATCCTCGTAATTGCGGCTTTGCAAGTGCAAAAAGCATAGGCCTCAACCCAGCAGCCCATTCATCCAACTGGGCTGGCTGCAGCATGCACCAGGTGTGGGCATTAAACAGAAATCTGGAGAGGACTAAGGATTCAAAGACCTGCAGTTTTGTGCGCAATAGAACCCCACGTTTGGAGAGGAATGGCTTGACCAAGGGGGCCCATGCTTGCTTAGCAGCAGCAACCCTGGCCCGAATGGCTCGCAAAGGTTTGGAGTCATTTTGCACCCAGGTCCCCAAATGTCTGTAGGAAAGTACAACTGGCACATGGAGGGGACCAGACCCATCAGGAAGGGGAACTTCAATGCAGTTGTTGCAAGAAGCAGCTTCACCTACAATACGTTTCTTGCCTATCCCATGCAACGCCCATAAGAGTTCAGTTTTGCCATCACCAATGGTGAGCTGAAGGCCTCTGCGCTGCGCAGCATCAACTACAGCAACAGAAGCCTGTTTGGCAAGACCAAGCAAGGCATCATTGTCAGGGCTGCGCAACAAAACAGCAAGATCATCAACGTAAGCGACCTCAGCCCATGCATGGTTGTTGGGTTCATCATAGCTACAAAAGTCTTGAACAGGGTCCGGTGACCCTTCCCATTTTGCTTGTGAGGTGGAAATGTGCTCCGTGACATCTGCTAGCAACACTGCCATCATAATGTTGAAGGCAACATCACCTATGGGATCACCCGGTCTGGTTCCCCTGGTTGTAGCAGCAACTTCTGGTATGCCATCTAACTGAAAGCAAGTCGTCTGCAGAACATCACGTAGCAACGCAATGGCATGAGGCGAAATGTTACGAATAGCGACCTCTGCGCTTGCATGCTTGAGTAAATCATCAACTTTCTGAGGGTGTATGCCAAGTCGATGCATGGCAGCAACGAAGGCCGTCGAGTCAATTTCTTGAGCAAACAGTCCCTGCCTTACGACCATGTAAAATGCTGACTTACAGTCAACGAACAAAATTGCCCCAGGCTGTTTACGAACTCGACAAAAGGCAAGGTGCGCTTGAACCAGGTGATGTGCAGAGTCACAACCGAGCCCTTTGCGGCCTCCAAGTTGAAGATTGTGCATGACTGAAACCCACGCCTGCACCAAATGCTTCCGCAAGACAGAGTGATAAATCTTTGCAGCAAAGTTGTTCAGGAAAATCGATCTGTATCCAGAAGGATCTGATCGGGCTGACTTGCCCTTGTGTAAAGGGATAAGCCGCCCTGTACGCCAGGCTTCAGGTTCCCTGCCATGAGCAGCAATCTTTGTCGTCAGAATGACTAAATGCTTAGCAATCTCATGAGAGCCGGCTTTGAGAACATCAGGCGGGATACCATCCGGTCCTGGCGCTTTTCCTCTTTTCATGCGATGGATCTGCTGTAGGACCTCGTGTAGGTCAGGAAAAACTTCAAAGTCAACGATTGAAGCATCCAATCCTAGACAGGCTGGCAAAAGACGTTGAAATTCACTCCGAGCCATGATGTTGGCTGCTTCAACTTCGGCAAATTGCTTCATCCAAAGACGCTGTTGCTCAACAAAAGAGTGGATAGGTTTTCCGTTGTGCCTCAGCAACGGCAAGGCGTCAGCAGAGCCTGTCTTGACACGCCTTCCTCCCAACTTGGTGAGCAATCTATATACTTGTCTTGCATCATGCAATTCACCTGCCGAACTCAGCTCTTGAACAAGCTCAGAATAGAAAGCTCGCTGATCCTTCTGAACTTGACGACGAATGTCTTTTTCAAGGCTTCGCAGCTGCAGCTTGAACTCGGGATCTTGCATAAGGCCGTTGTTACGACCATAGTCAAGGCAAGACCTCTTGAAAGCAATAAGGTTGTACGTTGGTTCAGTGAGCCTGGGTCTGCTGCGATCACGTCTGGTTTTCTGAAAGTGCTGCTTCGCCAGCTGAAACAAATTATTCTGCAGCAATTCTGCATGCGAGTCGACATGCGTGCTCCAATCAGGAATTGGAAGTGATGCAACCGCTTCCTTGAATTGCTTCTGCTTGATTGGATCAACAAAGGCGAGGCGATCCCAAACCACCTTACCATCAGTGTCAGCATTTCGCATCCAACCATGGTTCGACATGCCAACTGGAAAATGGTCATCATGCGAGAAGCCTCCATCAAATCTACAGTCAACCCACGTGGAAGCAGTCCACTTAAAGGCCTCGGCTGAACATAGGATGAAATCCCGTCTCAATGTTATACCTCTCGGATGGGTCCAGGTACCATGCGGTCCTTCATGTGCCCATGGCATTGTGGAAGGCACAAACCAACCCAGGGTAGAGATGGCATGTTCAAACAAACGACCTTGCTGGTTGGAACTCTCAGCACCATGCATGTCAAAATAAGGAGTTGATTCAGAGGCAAGCGGTGCATTCGCATCAACCATACACCACACTCTCGTCGCTAGTTTGGCACCCTGAAGAATTTGAATAGTTTCCGTCCACCAGTCCTCAAGCTGAGACAGGGAGCAGGAACTAGACTTGCACGGAACATGGAGAACAACAAAAGAGAGATCCATGGACGGATGGTGCAAATTGACAACAAGGCGACGCGGATCCGCAACCACGACAACAGCCTTGAAGTCAGAAAAAATCAATTTACCTTGACAATCTAACGGCAATGTCCTATGCAACCAAAGTTCACAACCGAAATGTTTGGCACGTCCACATTGCTGATGGCCGGATGCAAAGCCAAAGTAATGGTCAGAAAAAACCTTGCCTGCAGGACGTCTGGATTCTTGAATGCCAATAGCAACAATCTGTTGCTCATGCCAGTACTTGTCAAGGCGCAAAGCTCGATCAGAGGGTGGTGAGGTAGGAATGTCATGAAACTCTTCTCCTAAAGCCAAAACATTGGCCGAAACGATATTGAACTGAACAGAAGTCCATTTATCAATTTGAGCTGGGGGAGACGGAGGAGTAACATGACGAAGTGACGGCGTGACCTGCCAACAACCTTCAAACGATCCCGTCGGCAAACACTGATGCAGCGAAGAACTGGCGTCAAACAACCAAGCCCAGCTGAGGTCGCCAGAGCGAATCAGTTCATGGAATGGAAACCATCCAATGTGTCCTAGGGCAATCTGTGTGTCAACCGTCCATTTCGCGAGTGCATCAGCGAGGTCGTTCCATGGGTGTTGTGAGTGTCCTCTGACCTCAATGAAGCGGCCATGAATCTTATGAAACCAGGTGCCTAAAACTTGACAAAGGCGACCAAGCAAAACATGAACATGGCACTGCCACTCCAAATTTGCCAGCATTGCGCTAAGTCTAAGATCTGGCCGGACCACAACTGGGTCATAATGCTCGCCACAAAGTGCAACAACCATGGCCGCAACAGCGGCAGATAGTTCAGCACTGATGTTGTCAGCGCCATCAGCACCTAGCCATTGATCTGAGTCTGGTTGGACATGTACAATTCCTGAGAGGCAGCCACGTAGCGCAGGGAGTCCTTGCTGGTTGTACCAAACTGCAACTACGCTCCATGCCGCTGAGCCTTGACGAGCAGAACCATCAACGTACAAGACAAGGTTCCCAGCCAACTCAGGCTCGCAATGACTCTCTGGGCATGAAAGTGCATATAGCGACTGAGCTGTGAGATCAAGCCCATCTGGCAATGACACGAGTTCAACAGCCGTACTGGCCAACCAGTTGGGCCAATCACTACGAGAACAGTATGTAATTTCAGCACCAAAGTGGCCATCAACTTTGTAAGGACAAGGTTGCGCAATGCAGGCGTCTAAAGACAGCAAGACTTTGGATTGCTTGTTGCCTGCAACCACAGGGGCTGTTCCATGTACTGCAGGGAAAGATCCGCCAACCACATTCACAGGAGTACCAATGACTGCCGATGGAGTAGAGAGAGCAGAATGAAGCTGCAAGAGGAAGTGATCATCACTTTCGTCTTCTGGTGCTTGCAGTGCGCTGTCTATGGGGCTATCCTCTTGCACGGAAGGCAGCGCACGCAAGACAAAAGAATCACCATTGGCAACAAGAAAAAGTTGATCTTCTGCAAAGGTGTAGTCATTCTGTGACACAGTAAATAACTCTGGTCCACGAAGAATCCTGGGCAGGACCGATCTGACATCCATTGCAGAGACCTGTCTTGGAATGATGGCAGCTCTCTGAACGCCTTCACCGTCAGGGGATTGGGAGCCAGAGTCAACCAAGACTGCCCGTTGGTCATCTGAGAGTTGCTGAGAAATAATGATCTGCACCAAGTTCCGCTGTCCTTGTCGAGATGAGAAGGGTGGGTTGGCTACATGGAAGTCCAATGGTTGCGCACGTTGGAGGTGATCAAGCCATGCCACCACAATGGTGGATCGCCACATGAATTGGGTAGCGTCTATCCGGACCTGTCTGGGTCGGATACATACCTCATGATGATGTCCGTGCAAAAACCAGGTCATTACTTCCAAAATTGGACCTTCAGCATGATCGTCAGTTCGTGAGTGTGCATTGAATAAAGTGCGAAGTCTAAGAATCCACTCAGGGATGTGACTGGCACTGCTCGAACTGGTTTCACCTGGAGCATCATTGTCAGCTGTCTCAATAGGACTCGCTCGGTGCCAATTGCTGGCCTCAGGCATTGCGTAAACGTCTCCGGAGAAAGCTGGCCATGCAGGGCGTCGATACAGCACCCCCCACATTGCAGAACTAAGTTGTTCTCTCAATACATGATCAGGCATGAGGAGCATTTCGGACAGTGCTACCGCAACACCTCTTCGGACACTGAGCCGAAGCGCATAGCCGCTGCGAACAAAAACTTTCTGCCCTCTTCTAATTGGCGTCGTTCCGTACCAAAGAGTGCATTCGTTCTGCGGAACAGTGTCCTGACAAATCTCTGTCGGCCTGTTGCATCAAGGACTTCTTCATTGCCGAGCCGGGCGGGTAATACCTGACAGAAAGAGTATGGTCTTTGCACAGCACGGGCGGAGTCATAAACTGAAAGTACAACTGATCTGCTGAGTTCCACTGGCTGTTGAACTACAACGATCTGAGCGAAAACACCAGTTGCACCATCTTCAGGCTGAGGATATACCAGGTGAAAAGACGTTTCTGCATGTGGCAGTGCAACGTCACGCCATTCACGCATGATTAAACCTTCCCATGAAGAATATTCCCGTGGGAGCACAACAACTCTTGGTGAAGTGCACCGGAGGTGCCGCACATGGTCGGTGTACCACGATTCAATCTTGCCTAAGGGCTCTATGAAACCTGGGCCTAACGTGGCATGTGCTGTCCAGAGCTCCCATAGTTCTTGGATGAACTCTGACTGTGTGGGCAAATCTGGCTCCTGCTGAGGGAATTCTGGGGCATCATTGGCCGCTTCATTAGCCGCACGGATAGCCTGTAGGAACTCATCCGTGAAACTATCGCTTGGTGCGGGCTCAAGCCGAGATACTGCCGCAGCAACATCTTGAGCAGGAGCAGCAGGCTGCAGGTGCGCCCTACTGCTTGCATGAAGGCCCTGATATTGACCAGTCTGCATCGAAGTCCAAGGAATCTGATGGAGGATACCTTTCTCAATGGCCATCTGCACTTTGCCCGTACTATCCTCCTTCGGAGGGTGATCATCAGAAGCTGCATGTGACCGGGGACACAGGGAGCTACCTTGAGGAAAGGGGTCATTGCTACCTGCGTTGGAAAAATCGTCCGAAACGGCCTTCTTCCTGCAGTCTTCATTTGGGCTTTGTGTTTGAAGCACGGAGAACATGTCATCAATGGTGTCAAGGTTTTGTGTGGCCAATTCTCGAAGCTCTGCCTCACCGAGGACACTCGGAGAATACCCTGACACTGGGTCGTCGTTATGCAGGGTATCGATAATCTCATCATCGGAAAGACCTGCTTGACGCATTTGGACCATGGAGACTGTGGGACACGCATAGCTTTCTGATGGAGGCAATGCAATCCTGGTGTAGTCTCCATGTGCCATTCGACGTGCGGCCGTGTCATAGTCAGGCCAGCGAATCAAGTTATGATAAGCCAGGCACCGTCCAGATTCACTTGCACAATATCTGTCAACATCGGCTGCACGCAAAAAGATTTGTCTGTCTGCCATAGTTGGAACCAAAATCACATGCCTAGCCAAAAGTGGACCAAGCTGAAAATGTTCTTCAACTTGATGGCCATGAAATTCAAGGTCAGCAAGAACCAATTGGGCATCAAATGTGGGCGGGATGTCTCCAATCATGTGCACAACTATAGGCACGACATCCTGCCCCAGATCAGGAGGAGTGGCGGCAACTTCGTATGCTTCTACGAGATCGAGGCGCCTCACAGAAAAGTGGTGAGCAATCTCAGTCATCATCTCCTCATACGAGTTCCAATTTAACATTGCTCGAATGGGATGATCACGAAGATGAAACAGCAACACGTCTTGGCGCGCTACATGAGATGGAACTTCTTGATCGACTGTGTCGGCAGAAGACTCATCAGTTGAAGTCTCAGCCCCCTCTGGAACACCGCCATCTTCCTCGGGCTGATGACCAAATTGCGTAACATCAATCTGTCCCTGTGCTACTGCCTGGGGCAATAAGCCCGGAGTCTCAGAGAAAAGATCATTTTTGGCCGTAAACAAGGATGAAACTTGTGTTTGCATGATACTGACGGGATCATGCCAGGGACAGTTGTCTGCGGTGTCATTGCAATCTCTAGGGAAGCTCAACACGGCCACTGGTGACAGCGGAGCACTCACCCGAGATGCGACTTGAGTTTCTTCAGAAGTGCTCTGGGAAAACAAATGGAACGAAGAAATCTTCGAATCTTGCGAAGGATCCTGGTTTGAACAACACATTGTAGAGCCATCACAAGAGGACTCCTGGAAAAACGCATCTGAACCCTCTGCATCAATCCTTTTCTGTTTTCTGTGTTTCAATTTCCAGGGCTTCGCTTTCCAACTTCGCAAATCATCATGAAGAATGCATTGTGAAGAGGACAAGTGAGTCGATTCATCTACAAGATGTAATGAAATTCTCAGATCAAACCGGACAGCAAAAGTCTGCGGAACCTGGTGATTGAATTTGGGCCTACTTGCATCAGCCTGTGGAAGAATGGGCAACCCAAAATCATATATGCCATGAGCCCAGTGATCACTTAGAACTTGCATACGACTCTTGAGTGCATTGAGAAAGGCACGGAATACACTACAAAATCGAGGTTCATTTCGGATGGAATGACGATATGAAAGCATCACGGTTTCAAAATTGGAGTCAGCATGGCATGCTGCACAGTCCACAATGTTTAGTGGGCCATAGGCATCAGCTATACTGGCACTCCCAGGGACATTCCTGGCATCATGCTTTCCGCTCTGAATAAGACGCCCGAAAGCACTGCCATCATTCACGGTCGTGTAGCCGTGGGCATGGAAGGATCTAATTGCTCCGATGCTCGTTGTCGTTTGCCAGGTTGTCCTTCTCTCTCCTCGTCGGAGGTAATCGTCTGCACTGGCGTGGAAGGAGCTTGTATACCAAGAGATCCAGCACATGCTTGCAAAGTAGCTTGCAAGGCGACACGAAGCTTCTCTTCCTCGTGATCTGCAGGGTCGTCCGGTTGCGTCTCCTCGGCCAGCGGGACCTGTGCATTCTGTTGGGTCCCCACTTGTGCATTGAGCCGTTCGATGTCTTTTCTGGCGGCTGCAATGTCTTCTTTGGCCTTGGCCACCATATCTTGCAATCCTGCTTGGTGCTTGCGATATTCCTCCAATGAGGCTTCCCACACCTTGAGGCTTTCCGTGAGATGGGCAATCCATGAAGCACAGTGCTTCTGCTTCGCTGCCATTGTCTCGGAGAGCTGTCTCTGCGCTCTGTCCAAGGCTGTGGTCGCAGAATGCAAAGATTTGACCGCACTCTTGGCCTGGGTCTTCTCGTGCTTTTCCACCATTGCACGGAGATTTTCCGGCATTGTAGCACGATCTGGATAATCTTGTTTGATCGCTGCGATCCAGTCTGCATTGTGCTGAGCGACTGCCGCAGTTGTAGGCACTGAAGATTGAGATGTTGTTGGCAACGATGGCGGCTGTTCGAAGGAAGGCCAAGGTGTTGGAATAGGGGGCGCGGAAACGTTCTGTGCACCCGTCTCCTGTCCTTTCCCAGTCTTGCCCTTGCCTTTTCCTTTGACACCGTTGTTGCCTCTGTTCTTTGACCCTTTGGGTCGACGCCCCTTGGTTTTGCGAATGGCATGTGCAGCGGGACTTTTCCCCCTTGTGGTGGTGTGAGAGGACCGTGAAGATTGCCATTCTGACTCTTCTGCCTCCCAATTGTCGTCCCAATCTTGCCAGCCTGAATAGGCCCATGACTTCTTCTCCTTCGGGGCATTGGAATGCGGGATGCCCTCTTGCCAAGCACCCCCGCAACGATCGCAAAACGCTGCCTTTTTTGCCATTCACTTTGTTGCATGTACCACACTTCCAAGCACCTTGCCAATTCATATCCATGGTTTTCCGAATAACTCTCAAGAACTTGCTGTCTCTTGAGTGGTGCAATAAAAGTGTCTGATGGATGTACCAAATGCGGGAAGGATGTAGGTGTATGTACCCCTTGCGGAACAACCACCAGTCCAATCTCGCCTTGGCGCGCTTTCGCCTGGAATTCCGCCTCTGGGAACTGGTCGCCACACTGCAGTAAGAAAATAAACTGAAGAAGGCGAAGGCAGAAAAACATGTAAGGTCCCAAAAATTAAAGATATATTGTTGTACGGTTTAAGGCAGAGTACCGGAAACCCGTCCTCAACACTTCGGTTGAGGGAGAACCAACCAGCAATCAATGAGAGGAAGTATCTGTCAATATCAGGCCACCTCCAAACACAGAAAACCAGAGATTAGAATCAATCGCAAAACCAAATGCTTCGAAAGGGCCAGCGAAAGACAATCAATGGGACCCGCGGGACACAAAGCAGTCCCGCTAAGGTTGCGCGACCCCGAACAACGAATCGGGGGGTTGCTTGAACCACAACCTTAGCCCAACATCATCAAATATCATCAGTCAACCCATGTCAATCATACAATCCATGGTTCCCATATGTGCCCAAAATGGCATGGCGCCCCAACTGTTGGCTCCTGCTGATGCTGATTTCGGATATCTCGGGCTTTCTGAGCCCATGCAACCAGATCTTTGTTGCTAGGCCTCAAAGAAAATAGTGACCCCCGGAAAACTTCAGGGAAGGTCCAGCTGGATGGGTGATGCTTTCGCAGAATCATGGGAGAAACACGAGTAATAAATCGATGCACTGATATTGAGCATATCTACAAGTCTGAGATTGAAACATCAAAAATCACAGTGATTCACTGAAGTGGAGATCATCTGAGCAGCCCTGGCTCTTTTTCGAGACCCTTCTCAAACATCTCCAGAGCTTCTTGATAGAACTCCATCCTTGGTGCATCGAAGATGAACCATGCCCTGCAAAAAGGACAGGATAGCTGACAACTGCTTCTCAACATCTTCCGGTATGGAAATTCCATTATGGATTTACCATGATTTTTAAAAAATGGGTAGATCGAAATTCATGGCCTTTTTAGTCGGAATAATTTCAGGTCCCCAAGATCGTACACAGCGCTGGGCCCCCGTGCTCCAGAGCCGCCCGACCGGCGCGGAAATAGCCCTTGGACCTGACGTTTTTGTGGAAAAAATGGAGAGCGCTCGACAACGGGGATTCAAAACTGAGAAAACCATGGAGAAAACCATGATTTGACGCCTGACATGAAGATTTGTTGATCGTTCGATCGTTCTGGGGATCGTTCTGGGGTTCTGGGGATCTATTAGAAAGTCGAAGATTCTTGAGGAATTTTCAGTATCTGGCAAGATTTCACACAACTGCAGGGTCTACTCATTTCAACGGAGGACTTCCAGTCAACCTGCGGGCCCCTGATTCCTCGAGATCCCCTGGAATGTTCAGGGCGGGATTCCTAAAGACTTGGGCTAATGGTTTGGAATGGTTTGGATGGGAATCACAATATCACTATGGCAATGACATACTATGTGAGACATAAATCATGAACCAATGGATAGTACTAGATGAGTCGTCAACCCACAAACGTATCAATGGAGACACAATGGAAAATTAGGGGTTCATCAAAATATCAAACACACCTGAACCTTCAAAAATACAAAAAGAAACTGAACCGCTAGAACTAAAATCATAAATCATAGATCCATAGAATCATCACAACATCATCAACCCATCATCTAACAATTTAAGCATTGAATCCATTCATTTTCCCTTCAATGATCCCTTAAATCTCGAGGGATCCAGCCTGCTGTATCGTTTTCGTGGAGTATTTCTCGGCTCCCGCACCAGGCGCGGTTCAGCTTGATGGCCTCCGTCGCCTCCTTCAGGGCCTCCGTATATTTGCCCAGTTGGAAGAGACACGCCGAGCCTGCGGAAGTTGCTGGCACCCAGCAGCCCAGATGGGAGCTATCCCCACGGCTGGGAGCCCCTGCCAAATAGGGTTTTGGAAGACTAGTTTCCACCATAAATTGGTCATTTTCGGGGTCCAACTGTTAATTTATCAGGGGGTAATACCAGCCAGATGGATGTAGATGGATGTAGATGGATGTAGATGGATTCAAGATGCTGCAACAGTTTCTAACCATGGCTGGGCTGCCCTGGCGGTTGCTGTATATCTTGTGCTTCTCAAGCACATCCCCCAGCAAGGCGCCGGCATAGTACTCCAGGGCTTGTTCCTTTGGAGTTGGCTCCGATGCCAAAAACATATCAAATACCATCTGGTTATTTAACATAGCCATGGAAAATCCCCATTTATAATAGGTAAACCATCTATTTCTATGGGCCATCTATACCATGGCAAACTGTTAGTCATAACCAGAGGGTAAATATCAAGCTTATTATTATCACTTCTGGTTGATTTACAAAAAAAAATGGCATTTTCTGTTTTCTTTCTGAAGCTTCAAAGACTTAAATGGTAATCATTACCATCAAGGGATCATCCGATCATCCGCATGATCCGCATCGAGGCTGTCGCGTATTCCCGTTTCTGGAAGGCCATGTTGCCCAAATCCTTCAGCGTTGTCAAAGCTGAGACTGTGGATTGATGATGATTGATGATGATTGATGATGATTGATGATGATTGATGATGATTGATGATGATTGATGATGATTGATGATGATTGATGATGATTGATGATGATTGATGATGATTGATGATGATTGATGATGATTGATGATGATTGATGATGATTGATGATGATTGATGATGATTGATGATGATTGATGATGATGATGATGATTGATGATTGATTGATGATGATTGATGATGATTGATGATGATTGATGATGATTGATGATGATTGATGATGATTGATGATGATTGATGATGATTGATGATGATTGATGATTGATTGATGATTGATTGATGATGATTGATGATGATTGATGATGATTGATGATGATTGATGATGATTGAAGATGATTGATGATGATTGATGATGATTGATGATGATTGATGATGATTGATGATTGATTGATGATGATTGATGATGATTGATGATGATTGATGATGATTGATGATGATTGATGATGATTGATGATGATTGATGATGATTGATGATGATTGATGATGATTGATGATGATTGATGATGATTGATGATTGATTGATGATGATTGATGATGATTGATGATGATTGATGATGATTGATGATTGATTGATGATTGATTGATGATGATTGATGATGATTGATGATGATTGATGATGATTGATGATTGATTGATGATGATTGATGATGATTGATGATGATTGATGATGATTGATGATGATTGATGATGATTGATGATGATTGATGATGATTGATGATGATTGATGATGATTGATGATTGATGATGATTGATGATGATTGATGATGATTGGTGATGATTGATGATGATTGATGATGAGTGATGATGATTGATGATGATTGATGATGATTGATGATGATTGATGATGATTGATGATTGATTGATGATGATTGATGATGATTGATGATGATTGATGATTGATTGATGATGATTGATGATGATTGATGATGATTGATGATGATTGATGATGATTGATGATGATTGATGATTGATTGATGATGATTGATGATGATTGATGATGATTGATGATGATTGATGATGATTGATGATGATTGATGATGATTGATGATGATTGATGATTGATTGATGATTGATTGATGATGATTGATGATGATTGATGATGATTGATGATGATTGATGATGATTGATGATGATTGATGATGATTGATGATGATTGATGATTGATTGATGATTGATTGATGATGATTGATGATGATTGATGATGATTGATGATTGATTGATGATGATTGATGATGATTGATGATGATTGATGATGATTGATGATTGATTGATGATGATTGATGATGATTGATGATTGATTGATGATTGATTGATGATGATTGATGATGATTGATGATGATTGATGATGATTGATGATGATTGATGATGATTGATGATTGATTGATGATGATTGATGATGATTGATGATGATTGATGATTGATTGATGATGATTGATGATGATTGATGATGATTGATGATGATTGATGATTGATTGATGATGATTGATGATGATTGATGATGATTGATGATGATTGATGATGATTGATGATGATTGATGATGATTGATGATTGATTGATGATGATTGATGATGATTGATGATGATTGATGATGATTGATGATGATTGATGATGATTGATGATGATTGATGATGATTGATGATGATTGATGATTGATTGATGATGATTGATGATTGATTGATGATGATTGATGATGATTGATGATGATTGATGATGATTGATGATGATTGATGATTGATTGATGATTGATTGATGATGATTGATGATGATTGATGATGATTGATGATGATTGATGATGATTGATGATGATTGATGATGATTGATGATGATTGATGATTGATTGATGATTGATTGATGATGATTGATGATGATTGATGATGATTGATGATGATTGATGATGATTGATTGATGATGATTGATGATGATTGATGATGATTGATGATGATTGATGATGATTGATGATGATTGATGATGATTGATGATGATTGATGATGATTGATGATGATTGATGATGATTGATGATGATTGATGATGATTGATGATGATTGATGATGATTGATGATTGATTGATGATTGATGATGATTGATGATGATTGATGATGATTGATGATGATTGATGATGATTGATTGATGATTGATGATGATTGATGATGATTGATGATGATTGATGATTGATTGATGATGATTGATGATGATTGATGATGATTGATGATGATTGATGATGATTGATGATGATTGATGATGATTGATGTGATTGATGATGATTGATGATGATTGATGATGATTGATGATGATTGATGATTGATTGATGATGATTGATGATGATTGATGATGATTGATGATGATTGATGATGATTGATGATGATTGATGATGATTGATGATGATTGATGATGATTGATGATGATTGATGATGATTGATGATGATTGATGATGATTGATGATTGATTGATGATGATTGATGATGATTGATGATGATTGGTGATGATTGATGATGATTGATGATGATTGATGATGATTGATGATGATTGATGATGATTGATGATGATTGATGATGATTGATGATGATTGATGATGATTGATGATGATTGATGATGATTGATGATGATTGATGATGATTGATGATGATTGATGATGATTGATGATGATTGATGATGATTGATGATGATTGATGATGATTGATGATGATTGATGATTGATTGATGATTGATTGATGATGATTGATGATGATTGATGATGATTGATGATGATTGATGATGATTGATGATGATTGATGATGATTGATGATGATTGATGATGATTGATGATGATTGATGATGATTGATGATGATTGATGATTGATTGATGATGATTGATGATGATTGATGATGATTGATGATGATTGATGATGATTGATGATGATTGATGGTTTCCAGATTTAGAAATTAACTAAGCATCAACCATGAAACTAAGCATCAAAATTTGGTCGCCAAGATACGACTCATTCGACCCATCCAATTCCATCTGAACCCCCCACAGTTGGTTTAAGGTAATTTCTTCACAGGGAAGACTCCCCGTTTTTGGACGGGAAAACCATCAGGAAAACCACGATTTCCTGTAGATGTTCACTAAAAAATCATCCCAATCAACTGCCCTGCTCAACTGGACATTCCTTGGCTTTCTGCGAGGCGAAACGCATCATGTCATCTGAACAGTCCGCCAGTTTCGCCTAGCGATGTAGAGATGGCTGAAGGTCATAGCCATTTCGTTAGGGTCAACTCACCGGAAGATTGGGTAATGGTGATCACTTTAGTCACCGGAGAATACACTGAATATATCTGAATATGAACTAACCTTGGTTGATATATGTTGATATTGTTGTCATTTCGCGGGTATTATATGTTTCAACGATGTTCAACATTACTTACATCATCCCTGTGATGGAACGCTCCTCTCCTTGACGGGACTCGTCGAAGAGATCAGATAGTCACAGACACAAAAATTGGCAAGTCACAGCTCCACTATCGCAACTATGTCAGTAACTATGTTGTTCCTTTTCATGTTTCTTGTTTGTTGATTTGTACAATGTGTTTCTTTTGTAGATAGGCATCGGATGTAAAACAAATTGAGACGAACACTTTGACGACATTGCGCTAGGGAATGAGACATGGCTGTTTGGCCTTTTGGTTTTACCAAAAGTGAAGTCGCAAGACAACCAATGACAACCAGCCACCTTGGCCCTTGCAAGATTTGTCTTGAATATTGGCGCCGCAATTATGTCCGAAGAACGCAACGTAAGAGACACAAGCTTCTTGGGTCGTAAAACTTGAAACGGAGTTTGTTCTGCCGCGTGTTCTTTGGAACGCCTGGTCCACCCCATAACAAAAAGAACTTTGTAAATCTAAACCAACACCCAAACAAAAAAAACTCATTTTCTCCGATTGAATCTTTTAATAACCCGTGTATCTACAGTCCCAGAATAAGTTGGGCCATCAGTTCAGGGATCGAAATGAATCTATATAGAATCAAGATGAAATCACCAACGAGTGCTGTTCACAATGGATCCACCAAAAGTCCCAAATCCAACCCCTGCGTTTCTGCATCTGACCCCATTCTCCGCAGTTCTCCAATCGGCCTCTTTGACCAAGGCATTCACGTTGCCTTCCTTTCCCAGCTTTGTAATGCGCTTCCTGAGGCTCAAGGTCAGCTACCCTTCAACCAGAAGCAAGGGGATATCCTCTGTAATTCTGATCCAACTAACATAGATTTTCTTCGTACCCTGAAGTGCTCTTACAGCTTGGATGTGAATTTCACCGGGCCAGGAATTGATGTCTTTGAAGACATCCAACAGAATGCGGGGTTTCACCACGTTTCGCCTGTTTTCCTCATGGGCCACCCATCCTTTTGAAGACCCAGGTCGCTGAGTCTTCACTGTACCCTCCGAGACCTCCAAGACCCTGACATCTTGTCATCCAGCGATTCCTTGTCCTGAAAACACCAACGGAGGCGAGGGTTTCCAGTGACTTTCCTGTACTACCATCCAATGGATGTTGACTGACTAACCCTGTCCAAAAGCATGAAAGAAATGGAGAGTTGAAGGATTTCATGGTCATTTTCATCGCAAATTTCATCCGCAGAACTGTGGATACTGTGGATACTGTGGCTGTATCCTCCTCCTCCTCTTCGCTCTCAGAAGCACTGGAGACATCCTTCGCCATGGTCAATGTCCTGAGGCAGCTCCCAATTCCTGCGCACCACCACTTGATATTGGTACATCCACTTTGAACCACCGATTTCTAGGGCTAAAAAATGACATCGAAAGGCAAAAAGGCACATAGCAGATTGTATCAGATTGTAGTGTTTATTATGTTTAGTGGTGGGTGTTTAACACATCGTCTATCATTCATTGGCTATCATTGCGCTGCGCCCCTTATCCTTGTGGTGAGGCACTCGTCCGACTGGTCAGGGACCTACTGACGAGGTCAGTTGTTTCTGCTGTGGCTGTGAGATCTTGTGAGCACTTGCATCGCTGGGTCGGCTGGAATCTGATATATTTGGGCTATGGGAAACCCATGGAAACCCAAACAAGACCTGACTTCAATGTAGCAACCTCCGAGGCGCAAACAAATATATATATCTGGACATGAGCGAACGACTGTTGATCAAATATATCATATGATATTATATGATCAGGTCAGGTTTGCTTTGCGCAGCTGCGCTTCTCAAAATTGTTTTCTGAGCCGACACATCGGATGCAACGCAAGAAGCACAGTACTCCTGAGCCAAACCTTGAGTTTACCTTCCAAATGTGGGACCTTTGGGACTGAAAGTTGACTCAAGCTGCCACCAAACGAGTCACATCAAACTTGAAGAGACCCCCCGAAATGAAGTACCAACATTCAACCATCAACCAGTAAACAATTGTCCGGACCTTCCATTTTTCCGCGCAGGGCGCGGTCTGTCTAGATCTCACCTACTCAGCCAACAAACTTCGAGAGGAAACCGGCATATGCTTGGCCTCACACCATCGGATCATGCTTCTGCTGACCCAGTTGACGACAAACCCAAAAAAAACAGAAGGCAAAGGGGACCGCTCTTTGTAGATTCCCAAGAATAAGGATTTACATGGATTTACCATCTATGAAATATGGGTATTTATGGTGATATAACCGATTTTTCATGGTTCCAAGTGTATCAATGTGTATCATCTCACCCCGTCTGGCCTTTGGTACCATTCACCTGGCACTGGACTGTCAACGTGGAAGTTGGGGTACACATGGGTGCATTGCGATAATATATATGATAATATGCTATAATACACATACACATGATGATTGTATATGATTGTATCATCGGTTGTCTTTGGAACCAGTTTTCGGATCTTAGGTGTATTAATAACGGACGAGATTCGAGATCCTACAATAAGTATCGATTTTGGGGTGAGATATTCTAGAGTCCAACACCTCCTTTTCAGAGGATCTATCATCGATGGCTTTTCCATCATAAGCTGTACATAGCAATGCGCCGGCTGTACATCGCTGTACATCCAGGCGCCAAGAGCAGTTCTTTGCCGCTTATGACGCCCATCGAATGTGCGCCGAAAAACACTAAGGTCATTGCTTCTTGTCATCAAATAACTTTGAACTATGAAAAAAAAACGAAAAAAAAAAAACATAGTGACGTCAAATTCAACACCTCGAAGATTCCCATGTTTTGTCCATGATCTTTTTGAGATGTCAGTTTTATACGTTTGGGTCAGAATCGGGGGGAGAATGACTGACGCCAGGCTGCGCTTCTTGCGCTGGGTCAGGCGCATAGCCAGCTGAGCGAGGTCCCTTAGGGCCCCAGAAGGCATAGGCCTCGGAAAGTGTGGGAGAATCAACCCTTTCCTAGGGATAAAAGGAGAGAAAAGCATACCAAACTCTACCAAAAATGAAGATAACATAAGATAACATCGTCTTTTGATTTGAACTTGACTGTAGTACATCAGCAACTGGTTGGTGGTTTCAACCCCTCTGAAAAACATTAGTCAATAGGAAGGATGACATCACGTGCATTATGGAAAATAAAAAAGTCAAACATGAGAGTTGTCTTTCTGATAACGACCGCGGAGTTTCTCCGAAGATCCCAACTTCCAACCGCGAAGGATCCATCCCAAGCCACTTCCAACTTGCCCACCATGTCCCACATCCAAAAAAGAGAAGCATTTCGAAGTTAAGGTTGTAACTTATAAGATCTTATAACCAATATCGTAACCAACAACGGAAGTCATCAACTGATCCATGTTCCAACCATGCCAGAATTGGTTGATGAAAAAACCAGGCAGGAACCGGTCTCATCTCTTGTTGATCAAAAAAAAACCGAGGAAGGCGCTCGCCAGGTTGTCACCTTCACACGCACTTTGGCGTTGCAAGTGGGACACCAAGCGCCACCTGACTGTGGGATGGAGAGTTCACCATCTAAAACAGCGAGGTTTCAGGAGTATGGATGGTAAAATGAATCGTTTGTTGACGTGTGTAATATCTTGTAATATTTTGCAATATCGTGGTAAAGCAGATTCTTTAAGTTATATTTTTTCTTACTCACAGGACTTGTGCATGCCCCGCCATAGCGGCTTTTGGGGGCGTGTTTGCATGCTGGCGTCGAGAGACTCTGTCTGAGTGGAATAAAAATATATTTCTTACTGTATAAATATCCAAATATTAAATATCATGCCATAAATTATCCCCAAATGCTGGCTAATTCTTGAGAATGGGTTTACCAAATGAATCTGAATATCATGAGGATATCGAATTAGCTATAATTATTGATGTATTACTAAGAATCAACTATGAACTATCAATACCTAAACTGAGTTGAAGTTATATAGTCGATATTATCTTCTAACTTAACATAACTTAACCATGAACTATCAACTTTCACCAGACTTAGATTCAGATGGCGATATCATCCGGATGAAAAGGTCCAAATGTCACAAATGTCTGTGCAAAGATCCGGTCGTCCACCCAGGCTTTCCCATGTTTGACAGGGTGGCAGCCTCGTCTCGATCTGCTGCTGTTTCGTATGAACTCTGCGATGCAGGTCATGTGAAAGCCTCGTTTCGAACGCCAAGGCAGCAATATGATGTCCCCATCCCTGGACTGTGGAGCTACAAATACCCAAAGGATAGGAGTCACAGCTGTCCCGAAAATCAATTGAAAACCCAGGAACGATGAGAGCAATTTGCCAGCTTCACCCAGTAGCCATTCAAGTGCTCAGCCGAAAGTGGTTGATCCACCTGCAGCGAAGAGGACCGGAACATGGGTGAAGTGACTGGAACTCAACTGATCAGTTTTATATCTCTCAGAATGTGTTAAAAGGCAAAATCTACAAGAAATATATAACCGTACTTGATTTTAACAACATGTGCAGTTCCTATTACATGTGTTCCTTCCAACTCTTCCTTCTAATCAGTTCACCATATCGCTTTCCCGCAGCTCAAACGAGCCCTGCCGCCCTGCTGCCTGAAACTGGGAGCCATCCATCTGGCAGCCACACAGGCTGCACTCCTCTGGCTCGATGTTTTCAGGCTCCTGCCAAGATGGGGCCCACCATCTCTGGTGGTTGGTGGTTGAGCTAACCCCCAGGGTTAGATTATGCAACTGTCAGTTGAAATCATCGTCTCAAATGGCTTTGAAAAGAACACTTTGAAACCACCAACTAGATCTGATTCAGCTCTTGCAACCTCGAGTTTCCCAGTTTTTTTTTACAAAAACTGTTACTTGTTGGAATTTGGAAGCAAGTGGGGATTGTTCTATTGCAAAAATTGGGTTCTTAGTTTAATTGTTGACGAGTTCTTTGGCCATAAACATGTTCCCAGCTCTCTCCCTAGGATCACTAGTGAATCTTGCCTCTTTGCTGTTAAACCTCATTGTCCTGGGTTCTTTGCAGCATTGTTCAAGTGAAGTGGCTTTCCACCAGCTGCCAGGAAAATCAGCTGATATCCATTGATTGGCCACAAGTATCCCCCCAAAAAAAAGTCCCAGAACCAAAAGTCCTGAGCTACTTCAACTCGCCCCAGTCTTGCAGCTTCCATGCTCAACTGGAATTTCTTTCGCCTGACATCACCAGGCTGTTTCGGATGAAGTGTTTGGCACATCAAAAATATCAGCTGGGCGATGTTTAGGAGCATTGAACTTTGAACCAACATGAACCAAGTGTGTTGTGTTTTACCTTTGTGTTGTTTGTTCCAGATCTCATATTTTTGGGGGGCCTCAAGACATTTTTGCCATGATCCAACTTCCAGTTTTCGTATTTCACATTGGATCAACTGAGCGTTCAGACATCATTTCGAAGTGATGCCCGAAAACGGCTTCGACAACATCCCAGTCGCCTCGATTCAGAATGCTTCGCAATGTCACAGAATCCACAGAAAATACGTTGGAAACAACGATCTTCCATCCAAACAATAGTCGTCAACAATTTTCTCAGAGGCTTGAAACATATCTAAGAAAACATACTCCACTAACAAATCACTCCTCCGATTATGATGATTCTATTGGATATGATCCAACTTGTGCTGCCAAGAGACCCGCTTGGATCTGCAAAAGCTCCCAGATCTGCTTGGCGCAATCGAAGATGCCATTGGCTGCTGCCAGGTCGATGATACGCCCCTTCTCCGCCAGTTGACATCCGAAGTCCAAAAGACGAAAGGACTCAGAAATCAATGGTTCGACTGGAAGATGATGGATGTGCAGTAAAAATGTTTATCAATGTTTATCAGCAATCAAGGGGTGTTGGGACCTAAAGATACGTCTTTCCTGGATAAGTGTTCATTTCAACCAATCTATTGAGGAACAGTTTCAGCAGAGAAAGTAGATCTCTATATATATATATATATCAATCTAGCAACGAATCCAGTGTGAGTCAGTTACTATGGTCAACCATCTGATCGATGTACATTTTTGAAATATTCAAAACAACCAAGTGTGAATTGAGCGTGTCGCCAACTGTGGCCCCCGGCAAAGTAGGTGTTCTTGCAAGCCTTGTAGAGAACCTGCGAGCGTGGTACCCCATGTCATCAGGATTTTCTCCATTACATTTGGTGAAATTTCCTGAAACGTGCGTTTTTGTTCGTTCCCCAACAAAGTGCTCAATCTTTAGCATTCTTTAGCTGGGGCAATGGATGGATTTATGGATGGATTTTATGGGATCAGCATCAGAAACTGAAGAGTTCAACCCCAAAACCGACCTTGGTCCGGTCAAGCAATCGATGACACTTGAGCCACGTGTAGTCTGCATACGAAGCCGTTTGCTCCTGCGAGGTCCCCCACACGATACATATGGAGATATTTGAGATGTTGGGTCTCATCCCCCAAATTCTCCATCTTTGGCTGAAATCAGTATATTTATTATATATGATTATATATACTATATTTTGTTGCAAATGATTGAGATCTTTCACTCTTGTTCAATGATTCACAGATGTTCCGCCGGTCACTGCTTGGAAGGGAACCCAATTTCGAATTTCGAAAGGTCACCCACAGTCCTCCAAGACGTCCAGCTTCAGCTGAAAGTTTCGCACGCGATCATCCTCCAGTCCTTTGATGATGAATCGCGCGGGCGTGGAGAGGCACGTCCTCGGCTCCAGTTGTTGGATCATGGGGAGCCCAGCCATGACAGCCATGGACAGCCATGGCAGCTCGTGCCGAGGCTCAACATCGTCATGTCCATGACCTCCAGTCGGTCCAGAAAGAACTCACCTGGGTGCACTCAGACTGGTAGACCTCCCAAAAAAAGACACTGGAAAGGTCCGGTGTTGGGCTGTGGGCTTCTTCGACATTGCAATCTACATAATCTACCAATATCTACCATTCAGGAAGAAAATAAATGCCAATGTTGAAGGTATAGAGAGGTATAGAGTCCACCCAAAAAGCTACTCTGATCCTGGGCACTTGGACGTCATACTGGGAAGAACATGGGCAGAAACTGTCCATCAATACATCATCACATGACTATAGGTCAAAACCCTATACCATAATGGTGAACATCCAAATAGCTGTTTCTAATTGTCTCATGGATGTTCATCCACCCAATAAAAGATGTATGTCGTAGGTTTTAATCCAGCAGAGAGTCCCAAGCACCAGCCAAACACCCCGGGTCTGCTCGAGTCACGTGTATAGACCGAGACTTCACAGCGTCCCAGAATGAACTGAGACTCCTCATGGGACGGGCCAAGCAGCTGCCTTTTACAATGGAAAATGATGCCAAGTAGACCTAAACCCTCGGTTGACCAATGAAGATCTGTCCGAAAATGCATCCCATCGCTATCACATCTGAATTTTGCTGAAGCAAACTTTTTGCTGAACTGGTCTGTCGCCAAAGTGAACAACCTCGACTGAAAACAGTGTTGCTTCCCTAGTGACTCTGCCAGTTACACCTTTTTTGAAATTCTTGATGTTTGATGAATCTCAACCGTGAAGATTCCTGGTGTTTTAACACGATGCAACTGGGTATGACTTGATGTTCCCCCAGTCATCGTTTCTCATTTTTAGGCCTTGGTTATCTTGGTTGGCCACCATCCGAACCGCGCCCTGGCCACCGAACCGCTCCTTGGTGCTGTTATCAATGGGCCTTTTGGCTTCATCCATGATGGCAATCAGATCCTGAGCCAAGTTTCCATGCCGACATGCCATCAAATCTTGACGGTTCTTCAACGGAAAGGACCACGAATCACATAGGGATATAGAAGCAATATATATATATACACACAGTACATACATAACCCGTACAATTTTGATATCGGATTTCTACGTTTCTATCATTTTCCATATGGCCGTGTGAAATTGAAGTATGCCTTCCATTTCATGGTCCATTTCATGGTCCATTTCATGGTCATTTCATGGTGATTTCCCAGGTCCATTGGAGGCAAGGAGCCAAGTCATTAGGCTGGTGGTTTAAGAAGATGGTGGAGCCGTGCATGTACAGTCCCACCTCGCTGTATAGAGGCTCAGCGCTGACGTCTCGAAAACTCCATGGGACTGTGGGGAAAACCATGGAAAACCCATCATCACATGGGTTTGGATCCAGAGTTTTCCTGGCTTTATCCATGGCAAAAATTGGCCCAAAATCAGGGAAACACCAAGTTCGAGTGGAAAATGATGTGGTCAGCATGGGACTTTCGGGAGGTTGAAAAGGTGTGTATCCTGTCAGAGAAAACCCATCTTGGGATGGTATACCTACCACTGATCATCTCCTTGAGGAAGCCATCATGGTTTCGCTAACCCAACGACCATCATCTAATTGGTTGGTGGTTGAGCCCTACCCCTCTGAAAAATGATGGAGTTCGTCAATGGGAAGGATTATATATCCCATATATGAAATGGAAAAGAAAAGTCATGTTTGAAACCACCAACCAGTTGACCAACCAGTTGACATGTCTGTGACATGTCTGTGATCACATTGATCCCATGACCAACATGAAGTCCAAGAAATCTGGATCCATAGGGAGACGTACACACCATTAAAAAGCGCTGACATCCCCAGGGCCCCAGACACAGTGGCCCCACTGCTCGAGCTCGTCAAAGATACCTTTGAGCTCTTCATCACTGATGAGCACCTGACCAAAGCCAAAGCTTGCCCACTTAAATTTGCCATGTAAACATATGTAAACCATGGGAATTTAAGGATCAACCATGGCATTTAGGGGGTACCCTATTCTCAGCACAGAAGAACAACTTGGTGGGTTTCGGTACCCAGGAATTCAGAAATTCACACTCCAAGCACTCAGATTGTCGAAGGGAGATTCGCCTCACGATAAACAGGTGCAATGGGGCAAGCAATTTTGAGACGTGGCCCCACATGCTCCATGATGCTGCTACAGAGACCCACATGATCCACATGGGCATTTCGGAAATGGATGAATACAGTGGCAGCATCTGCAGCACCATGGCTGAAGAGAGATTTTTCATCATGAAAATCGGATTCAGTTCCTCCATGTTCCACCATGTTCATCATGTTCAATAACATGAACCATCGCTGAACCATCAATGGATAAGGGCCCGTATAACGGAGAGGATTCATCGATAACGGGGTAAACCTCCCTAGGATTCCACCCTCCAAGTTGTCCCCGTTGTCCTTCCAGGGGTTCAAGGACATCTAAAGCCTAACCCCAAAGAACTGTTGTTATCCACGATTTCTTAATTTCTTCCAACATTTTTTTGGCGCCGGGAATTCCTGCAACTCCAAAAAGGATATTCAGCATGCGCCACCTTAAACTCTTCGCTGCTGCCGTCCATTGAAAGGTAAAGCGATGACAAAACGACTTGCTGCGGACATGACCTCATTGCATCGCTGGTTGATCTACAACTAGGATCAACTAGGGATGTTCAACGCGTTCAAATTACAACACACAAAAAAAAAGTTCGACATCAGTTAGATAGTGCTCCGGCCGGATTCCTCTTGACAGCGCCAAGTTTGAACCAGAAATGGCTGCAACGATAGACGCAATGGATAGAAATGGTGGAAACAAGCGAGCCAGGAAGCGCCATCATGGAGGCATTCACTCCGCCTCAGCGATTCCGGTGGGTTTTTGTCCGATGCCCAGCCATGTCCAGCCCTGTCCAGCCACAAGTCAGAACCATCCCAGGGTAGGGAAACAAGTCTCTCCACCTGATGGAGAAGGATGATGCCTCCAAGTGGATGATAAACCCGGGTGGTGTGAGGCCTCTTTTGAATATCCACACATCAATAGGAGTTTTCTCGTCTTCAATCGACTTTTGAAGGCTTCAACATCGAAAGAAGTCACATGTGGATATGATTGGATATGGGTCATTCAACTGTGCTGGTGAACCTGGTTGAAGCAAAAATAGCTGGTTGTCACTGGTAGTTATGGCTCATCACCCAATGGCTCATTCCCAAGCCGAGTTCCTGGGCTGCGGATGGAGGACGCATTCACCACCAAGGCATTCGGCACTCGACTCTGGTTGTTCTCAACCACCTGCAATTGGGCTGGATGGTCGCAATGCCTTGAGGGTATGGTCGGTATGGTCGTTATTCCAAGGTGGATTTAAACCAGACAAATGGTCTGTGGAAGACGTGCAAAGTTCCCTTCAAACGTCTAGGCCTCTCAAAATCCCTGGAACCACTTTGCAAAGAGGTAGAAATATGTAGATTTCTACACCCGAGGCCGAAATGTAGAAAAAATAATGAACAGATCAAGAAGTTGATTCCCAATTTGGATGACATTTGCTGGTGAGCCACTTTTCCATCGTTTTTGGGATTACCTCGTTTTCACCGGCTGACATCAGTGCCTTTGCTATGGCCACGACTGGCTGGGCAGTCACCACAGGCACCGCTGCAGGCACAATTCCTGGCTTGAATTCTGAGAAAGTTTGGATAAGTTGGGATTGGATACTATATGTTACTATATGTTATGGTAACTGTAGCTCAGTTTCTTGGTTAAGTCATGGATTAGTATCAAGTCACTCAAGGCCAGCCTGATTTCTCAAGCTCCTGTTGACCTCTGTCGACCCCCGCCGAGGAACCTCCAATCTTGGCTAATGGAGCTGCCTTTGGCCAAGAAATCAGGCGGGAAAACATAGAAAACATATACCCGGTCCTCATGTTTGGTGATTGGGTTCCTAGCGATATTGTCTTTTCTATCGCTCGACCACAACAAGATCATGATTTTACAAGAATGCCAATGTTCTGCTTTCATTCGTGCGTGTTGAGACATGCGAGTACTGGCCCATAATGTAGCTTTGTCTGAATTTGTCAGGTTGACAATCCTAAACATCCCTATTTGGTTGATTGTGTCTGCACAAATGTATATTATATATATATATACACAGATCATAAAGGATCACATAAGATCACCATATATCCTTATGAAACTGCGTGTAAATCCCGTACTTCGGACAAAGCCATGGCAAGATTAGTATCAGATTGGGGTTCCATTTCACTATGTGAAGCTGTGCAGGAGTTTTAGAGCGGTCTAACTTTTGTGCATAGGGCCTCAGGCTTTAAAATGCACAAAAACAATGAAAACTGGTTCTGCAATAAAATGCCTTGCCAGCAAATTCATGTCCGAATTTGCATCCAACTTCATCCAATTTCGAAGACACTCACAAACGCCTCTTTAAAAAGGGGTCAGGAAATTCTTTTTAGATAGGGGTATTTTAGAGTGAAGGTGCCCAAATATTAAGTGTGTTTCTTTTTTAATAGCATTTTATAGCAACAAAATACGGTGGCATCCTTTCGTGGCAATTCCTCAAAAATCCTTTAAATTCCTTAAAACTCTCTAAATTCCTTAAATCTCCTTATAATTCCTTTAAAATTCCTTAATATTCCTTATACTTCCTTTAAAATTCCTTAATATTCCTTAATATTCCTTAAAATTCCTTAGAATTCCTTCGAATTCCTTAAAATTCGCTGATCTAACATGACATGCCCAATAAAATCGATATAAAAAGATCCTGGAAAAGCATTGGTTCAATTCTGCAATAAAATGCTCCAAACAGATTTTGTTTTGCAATAAAATGAGAATGGAATTTTAAGTATTTTAACATGTTAAAAATCATCAGGATTTACCTTGCCAATAAAATGCTCAGACCAAACCCCCCAACAATAAAATAACTAGTCTAACATCAATTTTAAAATTCCAATACATTAAAAAAATCGTTTAAACTATGCACAGGTTCACCAGTTCTAGACTGGAAATTGCCACGGGGATAGTATCAGCACCTCCACAGCTACAACCAGAGGGGTAGTGGTGGCAGTCGTTGACCTGGACCAAGCACTGAACGTCTAGACTTGGGCTCAAAATGAGAGATGCCATTGCTATACCCCAATGTATGGTTTTTCATTGGGATCATTGGGTATCTTTTTGCGAATTTCATAGGAAAAAACATGTTGTTTGGACTAAATTTTGATTTGGGGAGAGATCATTCCATAGATGAAAAACCCAAGAAAAAAACAACAGTTTTCGAGGACCAACCAGGTCGACTGACGCTATGGAAATTGCTCCAAATATGTCTTTGGGATCCTTTGGGGCTTCTGCAAACAGCTGCAAATAGTACCACTCACTTTGCTTGCAATTCATATATTGTTTCTACACCCAATAGGGATACATAATCAAGTATAATCAAGTTCATTATTGTCATCTCCAGATGAATGTTCACCCTGGTTGTGTAATTGCCGCGGCCAAACCTCCAAATCAAGCAGCCACAGGGGTTCACGTTCAGGAGCTGATGTGCAATAATTCTGACCACCCAAATAGCTTCGCAGAAAAATGTGGTGCGCACCCCCCAAAACCCCATTGGTCAATCATGATCTTCTGCATGTTGTATTGCCAAGTACCGCCTATGGTTTGGGGTAAACCACAAGGGCCATTGGATTCCACTCTAAGCACATCACTCGGACTTTTGCTCCAACTCAAGCATGTAGCACTCACCTCATATTTCCGCTACTAAATGGGCCCGAAAGAACTGTTCATGACTAGGGTAGTTATAACCTCAAAGCATCACACACCTGGGGTTGTGACCATTCAAACTATTTCATTATATATATATATATACGTACACTCCAACAGTGTTGTGTATATGTATACATATATATATATATTGCACAATGTAATATATATATATATTTATAGACTGTGTATATACACACATGTCACTTCCACATATACAATGTAAAAAGAATGTATATGTATCTATATATATATACACCCACTACTACCACCACAAAATGTGTGCTGGATATTTGAAACCACCAAAAGCAGCCACTTCTGAGCGCAGTACGCAAGGTGTCGACCGTCTCACTAGCCTTAACGGCCGCGCTCAAGACGCTCTTGAAACGCCTAGGACGGAGAAGAAAGGGAGGGCAGGTATTTCCAAGTGAGTAATTCCACCCAAAAATTGGAAAACAGAAGGGAATCGTGGGAAATATCATTCAGCATCATGATTTGTTGTTTTGGTCGTTGGTCAATCGTGGGGCTTGAAAATGCACCAAAATCAGGCAAGATGTCGTCCCAAAAAAAAACATATGGTCCCCCATTTTAAGAACCACCTGAATCTCCCAGAAAATGCAGACATTTCTGTGGCTCATGTATTTTTACGTGTACATTTTGAAGGTCGACAAAAACGGCACTACTGGTAGCAACTGGAGGAGTCTTGAGGCTGATGGACTTTCGACCGCAAATTGCTTGTCAAAATTTTCACCAGCGACTCGCGGTCGAAAGTCCGTCAGGCTGTGAAGGCGCCAGTTGGGCAAATCTGCGTGGAAGGAAGCAGTTTGGCAACAGATCACATATGGTCACAATGAAGGTAGTAAGAGGTAGTATATCAAGAATGGTTGAGAATCCGAAAACCATATTTATATATATGTATATATATATATATTTATAATATATATATGATATTGTAATAAAATCTATAGAAAGTCATTGAACATGACCAACATGAAATTTAAAGAGCGACACTTCAAACTCTGCTTCCTAATGGGGAAGAAATTGAAACTCTTGACTCTCGCCAGCATGTGGCAAGCACAAATGGACGGGCGCTCCAGAATCGAAACTGCTGACTGGGACCTCCATGATCAGTCCAGAGCCAATGAGTCCCGTCGTTCACTTGCCCATCGACATCGCCAGACCGGGAGCATGCTGTACAAGCTGTACCTTCGAATCTTGAAGTAACCATCCCCACAGTCAATTTGGCGCCAGGCACTTTCGGCCCCTGCAATGTCCCAAACCTCTGGAAGCCTCCAGTCTGAGTGTTTGCACCTGATGATCCTGATGTGAAACCAGGTGGGGTCAGCAAAGGGCCACCAACACAAGGGACTAGCGGGCCACCCCCTTGAACGTCCCTTTGCCAAAGGTCCTCCCACCTGCAAAGCGGCCTGAGACGTTTGCGACACAGCATCGCCGCAAGCATCGCCGCAAGCCGCTCCTTCGCAGTCGCATCTTCAGTATCTCCGGCAGATGAATCAGGTGGGTCAGGTGGTCCATGCAGCACGTCAAAAATGCCAGAATCATGTCGACATATCCAAACTCGCAACCATCTCCGATCTCGATACCGCCAGTGTCAGTTACCATGTCGATGTAGATGGCCGCAGGCCTGACACCTCAAAAAACGGGCAGTTCAATCAGAACAAAGACCATCCCATACTGGCTCCACGACTATGCTCCATACATACATAATATATAAGTTATGAATAAACAATTATCATATTATCACATATATTTTCTCAGTTTGACCATTTGTTACCAGCGTAAGTGGTATAAAGTGGGATGGTGTGGGGTTCTTAGTGATAATCACCGGGGATAATTAACAAACTTAACCCAAACAATATAAATCTGAATGAGAGTAAAAATATCTATAGAATATTATAGATACCATACACACAAAATATATAAAATATATTAATCGAATGCCATGCTTGGGGCATTTCCAAGCCTTTCCCCGTGAAAAAACCTTGGCCAGGCCGGGATGAGTGTGTCATGATTTTCGTCACCTGCTCGTCCAGTCTCCATAGGGGCTCCGCCATGGCTAGCCGCAGCCAGCGATTCAGAATGTGCTACTCCTCGTGGGATCCCATGGATCCATTGGATGATCCAAGCACCGGGTCTTCAAAACCACCAGGTTTTGGTGGTTCTCAATGACCTTTCGCATCCACCTTGCTGGAACAGCCTGTGAACTGCTGTTCCGTTGACGCTCAGCAGCCAGCCATCCTGGTCGGGACCGAAGCTGGGCGCCGAAGGCGCCGAAGACGCGACCCCGACTGTCCCGTGCTGCGAAAGCTGCGGCAGATGCCTTGAAGCAAAACATCTACAAAATACCAGAGAAAATAGGGACATGAATGGAAAATAATGGAAAAATGAAGATGTTTGAAATGATGGCCTTCCATCATTTAAAAAAACTGATTGATGCTTAGTAACTCTTGTACGAATCTTGTTCACATTATAAATTATAGCCCTGTATTCAAAAAAAGGGACCATAATCCAGTCACTAAACCAATTTCCAGCTCCCAGGATCACCGGAATGTAAAATGATGCGGAGTCCGAGGGCAGGACTGGCAGTATTCGGAGGTCTTGTTCTGCCTGTGACGTTCGAAACGCTTGGAATGAGAAAGCACTTCTTTTTTGAACAATGCGTTAGATATAAATGCTCCAAAAATACCAGGATATAAATATTCAGATTTTTTCCAAACTGAGCTTTCCATAGTTCTTGCAGGATTTGATTTATATTCTCCAAACCAAAGGAAGCGCCACGAACTGCCACGAAGTGCCGTAGCCTCAAGCGGCGGCAGTGGCCAAAGGCCAAATCTGCCACGACATCCGAAGACAGGAAGTCTTCCTACACCAGGCCAGGCTACCAAAACTCTGGGGAAATCTGGTCTTGGGGGTTATGGAATTTCTGGAAGCAATGGTTCATGGAGCTTCATCATTTATTATGGGTTTTTGGGATTCATCCTTTGGAAGGGAGTTCATACTATAAGAAAAACATAGAAAAACAGTGTCTTGGACGCAAAAGATGGAGATGGAGGGTTCTCATGGAGATAAATAACTCATTGATGAACCCCTGCCCATGGAGATCCAACCAGCGAGGATGGGGCTCACCAAGAGCCCGATGGAATCCAATAGTAGACAATATGTCTGAAACCACCATCCAGGCGCAACCTATAATAGATAAATGCAATTGAAGACACAAGAATTCGAAACTTTCAACTTCCTCAAATCTGGCGTTAAATCGCAAACAAATGGTGTTAACCTTGTGATAAACCAACCTGGCAGGCTGGATACTTCCCAATTTAAACGACGGCAAGCTTCAAAATTTACAAAAATGTTCCATCCAACCATATCTACCAAGCTGGTACAGGCTATCACCGCTAACTCCAGACCGGAAAAAAAGATAGTGAGATCGCAATGGTGATATATAATAACGTCCAATTAATATGATAAGTTTTGTAACAACAACAACAACAACAACAACCACAACGACAACGACAACGACAACGACAACGACAACGACCACGACCACGACGACGACGACGACGACGACGACGACAACGACAACGACAACAACAATCACAGGCTGACCGTGGTACCATCGCTAACTCGCCATGCCAAGGTTATTTTCCCCGGGCCCCCCAGCCATAGCTGTAGAGCAGCCGTGAGCGGAACTCATCATCTCACAGAAGCTAAACTTGTTGAAGTCCCCACGGATCAAAGCCTCACAAGTTCACCGAGCTGTAAAACCATAGGAGAATGATGGGAAATTGGAAACTGATGAGGAAAATGATGGGAAGATGATGTGTTGCCGTGGGTCACCATGATTTTTTGTGATGGGGAATGTTGAGGGAAAAGCATCTGGGTACTGATAGTTCGTGATGGCTTCTGGAGGCGATTTGCAGTGAAGCATTAATAAAAACCAAGCATTTTATGGGAATATAAAGATTGGGATATAACCAACAACGGGAGAACATCTACTGGCGGTTGAGCCCATCGAACAAATATGAAGTCCATTAGGATCGGTCTCCAGTATGGAAAGCATGTTTAAAACCACCAGCCAGGCTGTGTCAAGTGCATAGGCATCCAACCAAAAGAACTAGGAATGCATCTGTTCGCTATTTTTTGCTGAATTTTACTTATCTATTGGGGCCCTCAATGGCAAGTAGTAGTTGCTTTCAAGTAATCCACAGCAAGGTTTATGAGAGAGGTGTGCTTTTCCATTTGCTCCCGGAATGCCTGTAAGGGAATGCCGAGTAGGTCTAATATCAATTCTCCCGTATTCATCATGGTCAGCATCTGTAGTTACTGTTGCTACACCAGCACTACCAGTAGTTGATCCTAATCTTCTACAATCAGTAAAGTTATCAATCCAAGCAGCAAACACTTGAATACTACAGGATTGAAGCGAATTTGGATAAATATGAACTTACGGTTACTATTATATGATATTATATGAAATTCTTAGAATTATTTCGTGGAACAGGGTCGGTTGGAACAGTTGCGAATCAACTTCACTGGAATGTAGTGTCGTTGGATTTGAAAAAGTTGTTATTGATATACTGGATTGGGACTACAAACAATATCAGGATATTTAACCTTATGTGGGCGTCCCCTCTATGCATCTTTGCTGTAATAATTTTGCTGTGTATGCTGCCAAATGTGCTGGGGTCGGGAGCGTGAAAAAGTGGTCGATATGGACGAATTCCATAAATAACTTGGGATGTAAGCACTAGAAAGTAAGGAGGTAATCAATAAAAATCGAGAAATGCATCATGTAAAATCATAGTGAGCTATTCATGTTTTATCATAGTCAAGATCCCACCAAGCTTGCCATTTCTTTTGTAGCCACTTTGTAGCCACATGCACCTCCCACCTCCACTGCTGAGAGCCCCGACCAGCGACAGCATCTCGCTCAAAAGTCCGCAAGTCTCTTTGCCTCAAAGTTGGAGCAGCTGGAGTGGCCACATCCCATGCATCATAGCCCAAGGATGAATCATTCCAGGTATCTTTTGGGTTTGCCACAATTTTTTAAGCTCCAAAAAAAGGATCCCGAGAATCAGAACTCAATTCCCAAGTTGTGCAAAAAAAACACCAGAGACACAACTGGGGAGCTAAGAACCACAGTTAGGTGATCTCATGTGATCTCTCGCATGTCAAGCCCAGGCTGTTTGAACTTGGCACCCCTGGTGTTGTTCTTTGACTTTCGGGCGTAGCATGGAATTCGTAGCAGATTCGACATCATTCACAAATCAATACATGAAAAATATCATCAAAAAGGGGTGCCAAGGCTGCCAGGGCCATCAACAACAATCAACCAATGCCAACATCAATTCAAGGTCTCCAAGGTTGACATGACTGGAAGCTGAGCTCAAGGCTTTGATAATGTTTTCGACACACCGAGATGCTGCTCTCCTCTGTCACGTGGCCAGAAGTGTTCGCCTCATGGCCGTGAACTGTGTGGGAAAAGGCCAGAATTTCAAGGGAAACTTGACAGGCTTGTCTTAAGGGTCGAAACATATCAAAACCATGGTTTTCTTCGAATTTGTCCCTTAAGTCAGACTCAATCCCATTGATGATCGGTGGTGATAACGGGTTAGTGATCAAAGGCACCGCGATCATTTCTGATATCAGGTACATGGAGGATGATGCCCAGAAGGATTCAGTGCTTCAGCGCTTCGTTCTTTTAGATTAATTAAGATGTGGTAATGCTGGAAATAGCCATACACCTATGGGCTTAGATCCTCTTATTTTGATTTTCATAGTCGATGTCTGTCTATGATGTAAAGACATATAGATCCTTGTTGGGCGTATATGTCAAAATCCTCCATCCACCCAAAAAACACTGTCAATGAACGTTGGTACCCCATGTTCGCCATGTTTGACCCACCCATGTACCCATCATATCCCATGTCGTGCCCCATTTCAGAAACCCCCATTTTTCACAGATATCCCTACCACTCCCAATCCTAAATCGATGATAATCGATGGTTATGTGATTTTTTTTTTGATGGTCAAAGTTGCCATTGTCGTTGCTGGGCTCTATCCCGAAACATCCCAACAAAAATAAATCCCCGCCTTCTCCACTATATCGGTGCACCGGTGCACCGTAAAGACCTGGACATCCTGAGCGTCTCGCATGACTCGCATCGCGAGTGTCCGTTTTGTCATGGGGGTGTCACCCTCAGTTTTCATCCAAGTCATGGTTTTTGTCATGGTTTCCCTGGATGACCATGACTAAACCTATTGAAAACTGACTGGAAACCGTGAAATGGTGACGAATGGGGATGTTGATTTTAAGAACCCCCCACATGTTTCCCATGGATTTCCCCATTCCCCAAGCTCCAGACGCTCGAGTCAAAGGTGAGCCCCGCAGCGACACCCAAGATGAGCACCTGCCCGATAGATTGGTAGATGAAAAGATTCAGTTATGTTTAAATCTACTTATCAAGGACTTGTGATCTACTTAGGAAAACTATGTCCATTTATTCTGGACTTGTGATTCATAGAGATTTAGTATGAAATCACACTTTCTGAAACATAAATCTGTGACAAAATGGGACATCGTTGGGTTGAGAGAAAGACTCTGCCGCCTGCACGGGTAACATTGGCCTCAGTTCCAAGCTGCGGGAGGGCTCAAAAGGCATGGCAATCGTTTCATAGTCATGATTGTTTAGTAGCAAACATGTCCATGTATATATATAACTATATATAATTATATATATAACTATATATATATAACTATATATATATATAACTGTGTATGTATATAATTATATATATATTGTATATGTGTGTGTGGAGTCTATTGTTAATTAAGCAATCCGTGGTTGTTGAATGGTTGGACCGCAGAGTTTGAACATCATTTCACATGTTTAGTACGTAGACGATTAAAAAAATCAGTGGTTTGAAGCCACTATTTGCGAATGAAATGTCCCATGCGAGATATGGCAGTGTGTCAAAACCTTGTACCCCTGTAGTTCACATCAAAATAGCTGGGATTTATGGATGTTCATCCCATTAAAAATGGTATTTTCATAGGTATTGATCCATAGCCATATTTGGAGATAATCAAACCCTCAACAACTTTCAGTGTCTGATCCTTTTCAGTCAACTCCATCTACTCCGGAGATTCACTCAAACTTCGCCGTTCCTATCATTTGCGGAAGCGAACGCCAATTCGGCGGAGGTTAAAAACATGGTGTTTTTGCAGGGAGACGTTTTTTTGACAGTTGATGGATTCAGAGGACTCTTCATTTACCCTCTGGTAAACATACAAAAAACTATGGAACATCACCATGCTATTAATGGGAAAACTCACTATTTCGACTGGGCCATTTTCAATAGCGAACTGTTGACATAACCAGAGGGTAACATCAGCATCCTGGCGAAAACATCCACCGCAAGCGCTGCAGAAACTCTGGGTGAAGCGCTGCTTCATTGGGACCACAGGGGCACCCCCGGGCTGAGAGCCCAAAAGGCTGTCAGCCAAAATGGGACTTTTTTTGTTGATCAAAAGCTGGTTTCACTCTGGGAGTTTGATGGAAACTCAACTGATGAAGTTTGGGAAGGGAAACATAAGATTACCACTCACATCTTGAAACAAATGTCAGGTGAATGTCATCTTTGCAAGCATGTCAATGATTTCTCCAACTTCAGAACTTTCGATTGAGTCTTCTTCAACAGACAGCTTGGACCAACACACAAACCTCCAGCCGACCCTTTTTTTCCAGTCGACTTTTTTGGGTCTGGCAGGAGCAAGCCTTCCCGTTTCCGACAACTTCTCGTGAGAAGTTGAAGAGAAAAACAGCACATTGGAAACCTCCAACTTTCTTCTCACTGGACATGATGCTTATATTTTGCTGTGAAACGGGATTGGGAAAATAATTGGAAAATGCTAAAGCGATGTCTCCGCGATGCAGGGACCGCAGGGACCGCGGCAGCCGAAGGATTGGAGCAATGTCAAACAACGCCATCAGTTCACTGCAATGTGGTGGCTGATTTGTTGATCAACGCGAAAGCACTAGTTGCATGTCAGAACATCAAAAAATGTTGTGGAATCTCCCAAAAAAGACCCTTGCTAACTCCTGGTAGTTCATGATCACTGAGATTGAGACAAAAACTCCAAATCTTGTTACATTATCAAAGGGTAAAATTAACTTTAAACAAATCACATCAAAAATTATAAAGAACTCCAAGAAAAAGAACTACCAGTAGCAGAACTGCTTCTTTCCAAAAATCTCGACAAATCATCATATTTCCCACATCAAACGCAAATCATTTTTGATATGACCCCCCCTACTAACCATAGTTCCATCAGACAAAAATGATTTTGGGGTTATCATAAACCATCAGTTCTGGTTCGGTGGTTGTGACACTGCTCTTGGCTCAATGAACAGACTCAGTATCCCTTGTTTTCACCGCTCTCATAGAAGTCGGCTGCCCTGACAGATTGAAAAATCTCTGGAATCCCCATTATATCATATATATATATACATATACATTTGTATACTATATATTATATATATATGTGTGTGTGTATACTATATATATATACATATATATATATATATGTACTATAGTTATATATACTGTATATTCCAGGGGACACATCCAATCAAAGGATGAATTGCCGAATTGCCGAACCCTGCGAACCTTCGTTCTTTGATTTGGGTCACGACATGTTCTCATCTACAGCCAGGGATTTCTATTGATCCCTATTGCGATTGGTGACTCATTCTTGGAGATATCCATACGCCATATATCCCAGGCAGGATTTTATACCGATGCCATGGATGCTCTACACGCAACGTCCCAGCCTGTCTCCGCGCAAGTCCCAGCTGAGTCCTTCTGCAATGTCTCCTGGATGTCGAAAAACATCTGGCCTGTTAACTGGATACTGGATGGCATTTTTTCCCTATACCCCTAAGCATTACCAGATACAGACTCCACACAGTATGTGTATGATGTACATATGTATGTATGTATATATATATATATCATATATACATATACATTATATACATTTGCATTTACATAATATGTACATATCAGAATTTCGATGTGTATATGTATATTATATAATTACACAAGAAGGGCCTGGTGATATGAACCACCAAAGATAAGAATCGCACAGCTCGCCCTTCGCGTCGAGAGACCGAAGATGGACTTGGCATAGAAACGCGCCGTCTTGTTGCCTCAGATTGTCGGGGACATCCCAGCCATATCCAAAAATGTTTTGGTATAAACCTCCACACATTGGTGACCTACCTGACAATTTTGTAAAAAAAAAACATGTGAACAAGTGTGAAATGAACTTAAACTCAAAAACAAATGTGAAAAAAAAACTGTTAACTCACTACCGAGGCAATTAATTGTCCAGTCTGGTTACCTGGTTTCTCCATTAGCGCCTCAAACATCCGATGAAGCTCACACCAAGCAACTTCGGCCAAGAAAAAAAAATATGGGGAAAAAAGATCACCATATGTGGGAAGTATCTATATATAAATCTATATAATAATACGTACATGGTATGATATGATGTGATTGTATCTTAAATTCCGTTGGGAAACCATGACTCATTTACACTGGTTTTCAACAGGAAGCTCATGTGAGCGTCAGGGGCTATTGCTGACAAGTTTCTCTTCGAAAGCATATCGACCTTGGTACACTCTGAGGACGCTGCAATCGGCTGAGAAATGGAATGGTTTTGTTATGGTTTTCTAACGTTTCCTGGATGATATTCATGTTGAGACATGTTGAGACATCCAAAACCCCATAGAATTGCCCTAAAAATTGGAGCCATTGGAACGACAGAAGCCATCATGAACTCCGCAACCCGTCAAAACCTCTTGAACCCCTTTTGAACGAACGGCTTTGGAAACCATCATAACCCATCATAACCCATCATAGCCCATCATAACCCATCATAGCCCATCATAGCCCATCATAGCCCATCATAGTCCATCATAGCCCATCATGACCCATCATAGCCCATCCAAATGACAATAGTTTTTTGGGGGTTCTAGGTCAAACCCTTGCATGGTATTGTAACGTATTGTATGGTATTGTCGGCATTGTCGGTATTGTGAACATCAAAATAGCTGTTGTTCGTGTTGTTTGAATAGATCTTCATTCACCTAAATATATGCAAAATGAAGACGACTCAAGCGTTAAGCCATCGCCATGTCTGGTTTGATAGGCCCGGATCCCCACATTCCCCACCTTCTTCTTCACATCCCAGCGCTGTCCACGACGAATCCAATATTTATCCGTGTCAGTGGCCTGGTAATTGGTGGATCAAAATGGGATCAAAATGCCCGAAATGATGCTGTCATATGCTGTCAATGTTCTCTGGTGGATTGTGGTGCTTCGCCCCAACAGATTGGGATACTTGATGATACAAGAACCACTTGAAACATGATGTTTTCCACAGGTCGGCATCAGATCTGGAGGCACAATGCTTCGCCCACCCGGCCTTGTTATCCACAGGGATTGGTGCGAAGTAGATTTCCTCCCAGTGAACTGTCCCAGAACATCAAATGATTTTCTGGTGAAGTATCTATTATTAGTCTGTTGGGATTATGAAATTCCCAATATATGGAAAAATAAAATTCATGTTCCAAACCACCAACCAGTATTGCATTCTAAGGCCATTTCAAATCAAATGTCGGCTATATTACCAAAATCTGTGTCTCATCCACTGTCTTCTCATTGGCAAACAAAATCGACCTGTTGCTTGGGCACAAAATGCAAAAAGATGCAAAAAGCATCAAAAAGTGCTGGTTGTTTCCCTGTTGGCCAAACAAAAACCTAAAGAACGGTTGTTTTCAATCGCGGAAACTGACCCAACCACCAGACATCACCCTTTTGAGCCGAGGAACGTCACTGGGGTTGAGACCAACGCTGGTGTCGATCTGGTGACAACGTGCGGTGATCAATGGTCCAACTGTCTAAGCTCATCTTGGTCTCCACATTTGTTCATGTTGAATCCTATCCCAAGGTCCAGGGTTTATGAAATTGGATATGGATATGAATATCAATGTTTGAAAGTTGATCACCACTCTTCCTCAAATGTAGTTTTTTTAGGAAGCCAATTCTACCTCCTTCCAGGACCAACCAGGTCCTAGCCTTGGAAAAAAAGTTATTCATCAGGACCCTTCCCTCATCAAACTTCTTTCGAGCCAACGTCAGATTCTCCTGCAAAAAAAAAACGTGGACAGAGGATCGGCCTCAAAAAACGTTGAGTTTTCGGCTTCAAGAGCAAAAAATCCATGATTTGCCACAGCAATGGATGGTTTTATTTGTTTAAACTTGACCATTTGGGTATGGATCAATACCTATTAATACCATTTTTAGGGGGATGAACATCCATTTACCAGCTATTTTGATGTTCACCAGGGGTACAAGGTTTTGACACACTGCCATTTGCAGTTCATTTGTGGTCACTCTGCTTGATTCTGAAGCCAGACCCAGATGTTGACAAATGGATGAGACTTTGCTCATGATAACCCTTCCAGAACCGCTGGGTGGGCCAAAACCATATGTGCCAAGATCAAAGCATGATATATGGTCATCCCACCATCATTGCGGATTCATGATCATGGGTGGTATATTGAATGTTATGGATGGTTATGGAAAATTCATCCATGCATATCAAGGGGGGATAAATCGGATAACCATCCCCCTTTTTCATCCTTTTTCTGGGCAATTGGCCCAAGTTTTGACACACAGCACATATGACATCTATCAGTGACTATGAGTTTTCCTAGGTCTCCATGGGGTCCAAGGCGTCGATATGGTGTCACCAAAACGGGAATGATGTTACCCTCTGGTTATGTCAACAGTTCGCTATTGAACATGGCCATAGAAATAATGAGTTTTCCCACTAAAAATTGTTATTTTCCCACTAAAAATTGTGATTTTCCCACTAAAAATGGTGATTTTCCCACTAAAAATGGTGATTTTCCCATGAAAAATTGTGATTTTCCCATTAAAAATGGTGATTTTCCATAGTTATGGGACAGTTTACCAGAGGATAACCGAGCTCGGTGAACTCTCCGCCCATGAGATCTCCTCTCTAGCCGCTTTGCCCAGCTGGAACTGGTTGACTTCGAACTTTTGGAAAATCTGGCGTCGTGGAGTGGCGAGGGAGGTCACGGTGAAAATCATACCGTGCTGCTGCCGGGGATCCTTGGAATCACCCGGAAAATCGGGAATTGCCAACAGAAACATACGACATCATTGACATCATACAACTACAAGAATGCCAAATCACATGTTTCACCATTTTTCACCATGTTTCCAGGATATCAAATGATTCAAATGTTCCTCCATCAGCTTAGATGCGTCTCCAAATGGAAAATAACCCGATTTATGGCCGAGTTCGGAAAATGATGTTCCAAGCCCATTCTGCGGTGGATACCCCAAATGATATGGCCATTTCAATTTGGAAAATGATGGATATCCGGATATCCCCGAATTATGGCCATTCAACTGGTGGGTGAACGTGGAACCCATTGGAACCCCATAAAATATGCTGGGTGTATGGTGTCCACCCAGGATGAACGATGGGTACCATTCTGGTACAGCAAATCATGGTTTTGGAGTAACCCTCGTAATTCATCAACCAGACATTCTGAAATTCTTCATCCGCAAATAGATCAAAATCATCTCAAAAAAGAAAAAAAAATCAAGCCCAATTCTCTTGTCACCAACTGTTACCCTCTGGTAAACTGTCCCATAGCTATGGAAAATCACCATGCTATTAATGGGTAAATCATCTATTTCTATGGGCCATTTCCAATAGCAAACTGTTGACATAACCAGAGGGTAAGATCCATTAAAATCACCATAAAATCCCATTAAAACCCATTAAAATCACCATTTTGGGGGGGCCTATCACACCAAGTCAACTCCGGAAATTCGGCCTCTTGTAACTCCTCGGAGGTATCCGGATCGACCGCATTGCTCAACGATACATCCCTGCCGGAGGAAACATCGATGTTTTCGTTGGGGATATCCTTGGGATATCCTTGGCATTTGATGTACTGGTTATTTAACATAGCCATGGAAAATCCCTTAAGAATGGAGGTTTCTAGCTGGGATAAATCTTCTATAAATGGGTCATGTTCCATAGCTATGTTAGTCATAACAAGAGGGTATATCTCACCTGCGACATGTGACTCATGGGACCCATGCTCATGCTGCGCTCAAAACACCTCATCTTTCTTCCTCACACCCTTGGTATCCATGTTTTTGATGCCAATTTATCAATTCATCCATCTTTGTACGCTATTTGGAGGTGGTCTTTTACCTCCAGTAATTTAGCCGCAGGCTATTACATCTCATTTGAAGATTTGCCTTTTTGGGCTGGGTTTTCATGATATCATGATTTTATATGATTTCAATGTCTTTCCAACCTTTCAAACTTTGAAGATATTTCAGCAGGTTTCGTATGTTTCCGAAACATGTCCAATCGCAACCAACCAATGCACATCGCGACGAAAAACCGGCGAGACGCTTCATCGGATAAAGCACATCGCGCTCGAACTTTGACACCACAGCGCCAGCTCCCGCATTCGAAGCGATGTTGGCCTTGTACCTGGATGCAGATCCCAGAGACTGTTCATGTCAACGGAAAAGTCACCAAAACAGGCCATCAACACTCAGCAAAAGCGTTGAGACCTGTCTGAATCCATTCAAATTTGATGTCAAGAGGCTGTTAAAGATTCAAAGAGTCCAAAAAGAACGCAAACACATGTCAAATTCTGATGGTCAAAAGAAGTCACCATATATTGTGATGCAACTTAGCTTCCACCGCAGATTTTCGAAACCTTTTTTTTTTTAGGTCCGACCGTTGGACCAGGACGGGGGCACATCTCCCTCAAAGCCGCCAGACTCTTGACGTCCGGGCAGGTCTGACCCATTTCCTGCCAGCTGAACGGGCAGGATCGAGAAACAAAGTCCCAACGGTTTCACCCTTTTCATGTTTGATTTCATGACAAAATAACATGGAATAACTATGGAATAACTATGGAATAACTATGGAATAACCATGGAATAACTATGGAATAACTGGGATAATCATGGGGAAACCATTGTAGTATAATGACTTAAGAATCAAATTGCCAAAAATGGCGCTCCGACCTTACACATCTCTGCGCTCACCAGGTTCTCAGTGGGGTGGACTAAAGGTTTCACATCGAAGAGGTACCTGGATGGTCGGATGGTGGGACAACATGAGAGCCAGGTTGGAAACCGTGAAACCACATATGAACTGTAAATATGAACTATAAATATCCTCAAATATCCTGAAAGTATAGTTCGATGTCAGCAAAACCATCGAATTTCGGTGGAACACAACTTTGACCCATAGGCCACAGTATATGAGATATGGCTAGGGGTCAGGGGTCAAAACCCCAGCTTTTACCCCTGCTTTTCACAGCAAAATTTAGCTGCTGCGGATGGATGTTCATTGATGTTCACCCTCCCCTAAATGTGTAAAATCCAGAGGTTTTAACCCATCTGGTGCATCCCTGTATCTGAGAAGCAGACCAATCAGCCGCGAAGTTCAAGATGCGCGCCTGCCGTCAAGGAAAACAGCCCCACCGTTGCAGTTTTCATCAAACATAAAGAGAAACCGTAACAACTGCAACTGTCAGCATCAATCAAAAGAAGAATATGCGCATACAAAATCTATAACAATCATTGATCATCCATCCTTCACCAGCATATTCTTCTCATTACATTACCAAATTAGATTCTATTAGATTCTAACCATCATGATGCAGGATGACTTCAAATCTTCACCGGCCTTCTCTCTGAGGTAGGCAGTTCGATTGTCCAGTTGGTACCTCTGTTGATCAAAGTGTGGTAAATCTTCTGACAACGGCCAACCAACAAAGAATATTAGATTACCCTCTGGTAAACATACAAAAAACTATTGGAAAATCACCATGCTATTAATGGGTAAATCAACTATAAATGGCAATTTTCAATAGCTATTTTGACATAACCAGAGGGTATTAGAGGATGCTCTTGAGATCTCTTGAGATCTCTTGAGATCTCAAGAGTGGTGCCATTTCTTTGGTAATTTTGGTAGTTGTTTACCAGGAAAGTTGACCAAATCTCGTCAAAATCAAGTTGACCATCCTGAACGCGCACTGGGCTTGTGCCTTTGCTGCCTGGTCAGCGCAGCAAGGATACTGGGATACTGGGGATTTGAAGAATATCATAAAATATCATAAAAAGACATTTATAGTTGATTTACCCATTAAGGAATGGTGATTTTCCAATAGTTTTTTGTATGTTTACCAGAGGGCAATCCAATATATCATAAAATATCAAAAAAAAACAACCCTCCCCACAAGAAGTGGTGTTGATCATCCCGAATCAAATAAACACCATGCGTTTCTGGCCGTTCAACTCCTGGGTTCGTTGCTTCCCTTTTTTCACACCGGGATGTTCTTTCGGACGATCATGCCACGTGTAGAGTGTCAAAGGAGAAAAAGAACCATGATTCAATGGATTGGTTTAAGGGAAAATTTACAGGAAAACCCCATATTTAATGGAAAAATCTATGGTTTCCTGTGGATTTTCCCTTAAACCAATCCATTGAATGATGTCAACATCAACATTTCGAGCTTTGTCTGAAAATAGGGTCCCCCATGCCATCCAGTGATATTCCAGAGGTTTATCATAGGATAACGTCACATGTTCCCCATAAACTGTGAAAAAACGTGTCATAAATCATTGATAAACTAATATATAAACTATAAACCCATCATATTTCATCATGCGTTATATGTCCCCATTACTTCCCAAAATCTCTTTTCAAATCCTCCCTGCCTCAGGTGCTGCGAGGGGCAGGCTGCAGGCCAGGATCGCCTTTTTGGGTTGCCATTTCTCGAATCTGAAACCATAAACCAATCATGTTCTTACAAGGTGGTGCCCCATAGTTAGCTAAATTGGTTTATAAGTCCAATATCTAGGGTTTATGGGGGTTATATCAGTTATATCTATAGTTAATGGGGATTATAAACAAACTTATCACTGGGGGGTACCACCTTGTAGGACTCATCAGTTTGATACCCACATGTCCAATCGAACAGATGCATACAGATGCCGTTTCGAACATGATTTTGTCGGAGATTACATGAGGTGTTAGAAAATGCTCACCATGTACCCTCTGGCAGCAGACCTGCTTGGCAAATCACATGCTTCAAGATGTAGATTCCAAGTGCTGCACATCTGTTAGACTGCCAAAGGGCAACCATTGTGAAAGGCCTAAAGATGGCTAAACTTCGCATTCCGGGAAATTCATGAAACGTGGCAACAAGATGCTACATATCATCAGAAAATTCAAAACATCTAATGTGCTGAGCTGAATCAGGTTCAAGACGCACAAGATTTTGCCTTCTATACGGTTTGGTGCGGCCTCTCGTCGATTGGCAAGCGCGCGCCGCTCGCCTCCGAAGATAGTCTTTTTTCACGAGATGTGCTATCGAAAGATTGAAATGTGTCCTTCGGCTCTCGAAAATTGGGTCAAACCATAAGCAAGCCAACCCTATCGACACCAACAAGACTTCAAACCCGCCAAATACATACAAATCCGCAAGCAACCCTTCAAAAATTCAAAAATCTAACAAAAACCGGACCTTGAAAACTGCCAATGGATTGGTTTAAGGGAAAATTTACAGGAAAACCCCATATTTAGTGGGAAAATTTATGGTTTCCTGTGGATTCCTTAAACCAATCCATTGAAACTGCCGCTCTTGAGACCCTTAAATCTTTGGCCTCTGCAGCCCACCAGCGCTGCCAATCCGGCCACAGCGGACAGCACCAAGGGCAAACTGGCCAAAACTTGCCCCAAGATCTGGAGTTTCTCCAACGTTTTGGGGGCAATGTTGGAAGAAAAATATCGAATTCTCGAAGATCTCAGTATGAAATCATGGAGGTGTTCACCAAGGCAGAAACATCTTGGCTCCGGTTTTTGCCTAAATTGGCTTCAGCATCTTGAGCGTGGTTTTTACCATCTTCACAGCATTTTCACAGCATCACCAGGGTCATCCATCGCACCTGGCAGCATCTCCAGGCCCGTTTTTGGGCTCTCGCTCTGCGGAAAGCGGACTTTGAAGGGACCTCTCCTGGAAAGGTTGGATCCATTGGATGACAGAAAAAGATGGTGATTTATGTGATTTACCCTCCAGTACATTAACAGTTCGACCCTGGCAGTCATCGGGGTTGGAAGACTAGTTTCCATGAAAAATTGGTGATGTTCAGGGTCTATGTTAATTTACCAGGGGGTATGTCTGCCATAAATCAGCCATAGATTTGATGGCTGATGTTGGATGTTGAATTGCTAATTCATGGGTGAGAATTCATGGGTGAAGCCAAAGTTTTGGGGCAGACCTTCCATGTCATTTGCTACGGTGTCTTTCAAAAACACGTCAAAAACGATCAACCAGTCATGGGGCTGTTGATTTGAATCATCAAGCTCCACAACTTGATGGTGTTTTACCAAAAAATGATGACACAAATTCGGGAGGTCCTTTGGTACCCTGTGATTCAGACATATCCATGTGGGCTCTCAGGAAATTGGGGAAGCAGGGTCCTGGATTGAAGCGCAGCTATTAAGCATGACACACATCCGAATGATCTTAATAAAAGCACTAGCTGCTGGATTATATCGTAATCCCAATCTCATGTACCCTCTGCAATCAAACACGAATTACCAGAAAATCCCAAAAATTTTGCTCGAGGATATTCCCATTGAAATGTCCATTTCGTTCGGGGATTTCCCAGTAATTTTCCGAGTCCTCTGGCGCTGAAGGTATCAACGAAGTGAAACAAAGGCCTCGCCGTCTTTTTTGTGCAGATTTTGGATGTTTTTTGACCTGAAATTGTAGGGTAATCGGTCAAGAAATGGTGGCAGTTGGGAACAAATCAACATGCAAATTGCTCACCAAAGAAAGGCAAAGGCAAAATGATGGTTTGGGCCATTGAAACACAAATACATGTGATGCTTCGAAACGAGTGTTTCAGGGACATTTCAACAACAACCAGTAGGTGTAAAACCAAGACTACCAGGTGGACAAATACTAAAATCTATGGAAAATCATGCAGGCATGCTACAATAATCATGGGTATAACCAGCAATTAGGGCTAGGAAAAATGCAACACAAAACACCTTGGTGCAGGTCTTGTGTAGCAAATTTTTCCCTTATGGCTGGTCCAAAGCCTCTACAGAAATCATCCAAGATTCTGAGACACGGATGATTTCTGGCAAACGATGGTACCATACACACTAAGCTCGCAGTTTCTTTTCGGAAACCATCCTGGGCCACTTCTGCTCCTGTGGAAACATGTGGAAACCGGAGATGGGAGCCCGATATACACCTCCACACATGAAAATTGACAAGAACTAGTGGGTTTTTATCGTGATGAAATCATGGTATATAGCACAGACTTTAATCGATGGAAAATGTACCATAAGGAAATATGTATATATATATATATGTATGTATTATAGTTATTTAATTATATATATATTATATACATATAAGTATGGGTAATATGGATGTCTCTTAAAATTCAACAGGTACCCAGCAGTTCATTTTTATGATCATCATCTTCCCCATAAAAACGCGTGCCATGCCCTGAGGGCCCCACTGCAGGCAGCAAAGGCTAGAGCCAGAGCCCTCTGCCGTGGTGACACGGCTGAAAAAACCACGGGCTAAAATGGGACCCTTTATTAATTTATAGCATGGTGTGAGCACACAAGGCATAATCAAGATATAACATGATATAAAGAAGAATAAATATGAATGATTAAATATATGTAAAATATATAACAATGTGTGTATACTATACAAAATATTCAAGAATTATATAAAGCATCGTAAATTGTAAAGCAACATGGGTGCGAAGTTCACCCGAATGGTTCAAAGATGTTCAAAGGCTTTCCTAAGGCTAAGACCCGGCTGAAGCTGCACGCTCGTGCATGGCGGCTTCCCTGAAGTGGTTGAAAAATATGTCGTTCTTGTTGGCCTTTTGTGTTCGCCTTTTATGCAGCTCCGCATGGTGTTGTTGTGTGAGTGTCGGATATCATGTTACATATGTTACATGCCATCTTAAGCAGCCAACTTGCGGAGAAAACTTTGTGAGACAGACATCACAAACTTCTCATTGCTTATCATCTCTGTCATTTCCTGGTGATTTGTCTGCTGCCACTTCACCAAGTCAACCATCCAATTCACTTTTTCACACATCGCACAGATCTCTTCGCAGTGAAACCGAAACTAAGCAGATCCTCACCTTTTTCTCATATCTCAGCCTCCCAGTCGCATGCCAGTGCCTCTGAATGCCTGAAAGGGCTGAGTTTCACCACCCTCTGGCGCCGGGGCACCACCACCCATGCCCCACCCGGGACCCCTCCCGGGTCCACCAGGTCCACCAGGTCCACCAAGGCCACCAGGGCCACCAGGGCCGCCAGGGCCACCAGGGCCACCAGGGCCGGGGCCCATGGGCCCCAGGCCCTGCAGCGGCATGGCCATTTCGGGCATCATGGCAGAGACCATGGCATTCAACTTCGTCCCCAGGAAGGCACCACCTGGGATGTGTAAGGGATATTTTCCGGCTGGTTTCAACATATATTTGGGTGGATGTTGGAAAATGCGTTCATCTCCTAGCATCTTGCAGAATTGGTTGGCCAAAAATCCAAAATTACTCAGCAAATCCAGGCTGCAAACTTGACTTCCAAAGGACACAAAGACAAAAGGTCCATCAGAAAACAGCTTGAAGAGTAGAAAGATGGCGTTGAAGCCGGCCAGAAAGGCATAAGTCATGGCACAGCTCAAGCCATGTCCTCCCATGCTACACTGCCCCAAGGGGCTACTGGCCAAACAAGCATAGCAGGGTGCCACGTTTGGATCATCATTCAGTAAAAAGATGCCAACGATAGCACACAGCAAATCGTTCACGGGGGTATCTCCCGTGCAAAATCTTCCGATGGCACCGATGAAAGTTCCAATGACACAGAAACGAATCTTTCGCAACTTCTCTTGCATCTCGGGCGTAGGTGGCCCAACAACTTGCATTGGACCACCCATGGGAATCATGGTGATTCGAACGACGGCCGCAATTCGGCTGGATTCGGCTGGTGTTCTCGTGCTGTCAACCGCTCAGTTGGTTTTTGGATGTGCAGTGTGGATGGAAGATCCTCTGAAAATTCCTCTGTTTCTCCATGCGATGTGTGATCTGATGGAAATCTTTAAGCCATGGAAGGGGTCGTTTGGAGTCACCCGAGTCACAGTCACCAGGTTGGGCCATGAAGGGAACCCAGGGAACCCAAAAACACATCAATGGCTGACAGATTCTGGGTGCTGTGCCCACCAGACTGAGTCTTCTACTGCATTCTACTGCATTCTACTGCATTTGTCGGCGAAGGGCAACTATATACATTGTTATTACATGTTATTACTATATACATATTAATTATCTATATTATATAAAATATATATTTATATACTATTATATATAATTATATATACATGTGTGTCCCCGTTCCAACAGTATTGCTGAATATTGCTGATCATCTCAAACTCTCGGCCAAAAAAGCCCCACTTAAAAAAAGGACCAGCGCCCATCAAGCGAACCATCCAAGAGACCCAAACCTCAATGGATTGGTTTAAGGGAAAATCTACAGGAAACCATAGGTTTTCCCATTAAATATGGGGTTTTCCTGTAAATGTTCCCTTAAACCAATCCATTGAAAACCTCTTTTGACGCCAGTGTCCTATCGCTCAAACTGCAATCTTTGTGCGGTGTTCAAGCCGTGTTACTGTGCGTGACGAACTCAGATGACGAGTTCGGCGTGGGCAACTGTCTGGACAGTGGACATCATTGGCTCGAAATTGGAAGGCAAAAGAAGTCAACAGAGGAGCAACCCTTGATGGGCATGAATAAATCGAGCCTCATGACCAGCATATTCCTGTTCTGGCAGTCGTACCAGGCGAAACCATGAAAAAAAATGGAGGAAAAAAAAGTACATTAAACAAAAATACATCATCTATCTTCAGATCTCTCCGGGTTCATTTTGCAACTTCGGGGTATGTCTCAAAATAGGGTCCCCCATTGCATCCGATGGAACAGCATCCAGCATGTTTCGCCTCCACATTAGCGGGTCAGCGATGGCGTTTCTCCTCCAGCGACGGCTGTTAAATGATGGAAATTGGGTTCACCCAAACATGTTCCCCCCACCCAAATACGGCCTTAACAACCCCATTCTGCGGGTGCCTGGATTTTATGGGTTAGCCAGCCAGCTTTTCAGGATGAGAGTCGCCAAATCTCATGGGTTTTGAGTGGGGATAACTTCTCACGGGATTATCAGGTTCCGGTGGGTACCCTCTGGTTATGTCAAAATAGCTATTGAAAATGGCCATTTATAGTGAGTTTTCCCATTAAAAATAGTGATTTTCCATAGCTATGTTAGTTTACCAGAGGGTACATGATTAGATCTATTGATTTGTACTTCACCTTAGCCCCAAAATGCACAAATAAGAAAGCCTTGCCGGGGTCCCACCTTCCCTCCCTGTCCCATCCGTGTTTCCCTCCTCGTGGGAAGTGGGCGATCCACACCACCTGCCATTTTAACAATGCTGGAAAATCCGGATGACATACCATCTGGTTATTTAACATAGCCATGGAAAATCCCTTATAAATGGAGGTTTTAATGGGATAAAAATTATATAAATGGGCCATTTTCCATGGCTATGTTAAATAACCAGAGGGTATATAATTATAGCATAAAGTAATAGCATAGAATGATTATGAATAATTAACAAATCATGTCCTATATTATGCTTGATGCAAGGGTTACCAAGTCCGTAAGTTTCCTTCTTGGGCTCCATCACCAGCCATGAAAACAGAAAATCAGTTGAGGAAACCTCCCTCTCCGAGCCAACGACCTGGAAGCATTTCTGAAAACACACAACTTCATTCCAATTCTCTGCTTGTTTTATGGTTGTTATTCATGTTCCCAAGTTGTTAATGACCATGAATTGGGGAACTGTTCCTCCTGCAAGTTGGGACAAAATCTCCCCACAGCTGGACAGGTACATAACGACCCGTCCGGGTACTTTTAATTGCATTAATAATTCATCATCAAGCAACCAAACACATCAGCAAGTTGCAACATCTTTTCTCCGGACTATTACTATCTACTAGCCCAGAATTAACCTTGGTACAAAAAGACATGACATAAGAATGCTACAACATGTTATCAACATGTTGTCTTGCCAAAAATGCTGCAATAAGCTCATGCAAATTCGGGGCAGCAACCATACCGTACCGTTTGGTATTTGCCGCCTTTAACAAGGTTGCACAGGTCCCAAGAAGCGCAAAGCTCCATACCTGAGGCTTGGGAGTGATCCAGTGGACCCACCCAGATTGATTTCCCAGATTGATTTCCCAGATTGAACCATGAAACAAATGATTTACCATTGATTTACCATTGATTTACCCGTTTCACCAATTGGGATCAAATTGAAAATCTGATCCAACCGCTTGCGGATCTATCCAAAGATTGTAGATTCTGACCACTAAAAATGGTGAAGCCCCAAATTCAGGCAATTCGTCGACGTCTTTTTGGGCTTCCATTGCTGTCCGAAAAAAAACACGCCCGTGAAATTTCAGATGGATCCCATTTGTAAATCCAAAAAAAAGAGGTCGTTCAAGCACAAATTCGCTTCCCATGCTTGAGCTTGCTATCAATGCTATCACTTCTGGAATCTGGCAAATGACGATTCCCAGGCAAATTACCAGCTTTTGGTTTGCCGAAACGAACCATCATTTGCTACTGCTGTCCCACGAATAGAAAGCCCATGCTGTTAAAGCTCCAAATACTTTCTTGGCCCCCAATAAAGAATGGGTTGCCTCTTGTGGGGCCGTTCGTGCCACAATGACTTAAGCCATACTCCTATATGTGGCTACAGATGAAGAAGCTATAACTACCCAATTCGAAATGACACCATTCCGGTGATAAATATATTTGTGTATCCCAGTTTTCAACAAGTTCTGTTGGTTGGGTCGCTGTTGGTCCAATTTTGAATGGTGAAATCAGCATTCTTCGATGTTCAATCCCCTAACTTTTCTGGATATCTCTGTTTGTTCACTCCCCTTTTCATCCCATAACGGCCTCGCCTCCAACTGACCTGCGGCTCCCCTCTTCAGCAAGCAGGGCTCTACGGCCACGTACAACACACAGAGCACCGCCGTCCTGGCTGACACAGGGAGCCCTCTGGGCTGCGGGGAACGGAATTTCTTGGGATGGAATTACTCCTTAAGAATACCCCTATGGCGCCCAAAAAAGATGAGTTTCTGAAAAAATAGAGATGTCATGTCATCATATGTCATCTATAAGTGGCTCTTCTTTTATAATTGTGCCATTCGTTTCTAGCTTTCAAATTTCTTTTTCTAGTCACAAGCTGTTGGGAGCACTGACAACACGCGGCAAATATAGCTGGCAACGCCAATAGCTCAAAAGCATCGAAGAAGTGAAAAGGAACCTCGGCGCAGCGTGACCGTCCCACCACAGGCTATAGACAAGTAATGTGCCTTGATTTGCCAAGATTCTAGTCAAAGGAAGTTGGGAAGCAATACTTCCGTGTTACGGACAAATAGAATTCTGAGACTTGAAATGATGAAGGGTGGTGCGCGATTGAGAGATTGACCTTGATGAAGGGTGGTGTGAGACTTTACATGACATAACAATACATCAGAAAAGAATTGACCTTGATGAAGGGTGGTGTGAGACATTACATTACATAACAATACATAACAAAAAGATTGACCTTGATGAAGGGTGGTGTGAGACTTTGCATTACATAACAATACATCACAAAAGGATTGACCTTGATGAAGGGTGGTGTGCGACTGTACATTACAGTGGCAGATCGCATTGGAATGGCTGCATGAATGTTGCACGGGCTTTGTGTTGGGGAGGAAGCCGGAGCACGAAACCTTGTGTTTTTCCGTGTAAAGTGGCTGCAGCCGGCGATGAAAGGTACCTCGTCTGTGCGGCGGTTGCGGCTGCGGTCGTTTCTGTCGCGAATTGTTCCTCCTATGTGTTTTGCAACGAGTGGTTGTTCCTGTGTGCGTAGTTCTATGCGTTTCTTGAAGCTGTGGTAGCAGATCGCATTGGAATGGCTGCATGATGTTGCATGGGCTTTGTGTTGGGGAGGAAGCCGGAGCACGAAACCTTGTGTTTTTCCGTGTAAAGTGGCTGCAGCCGGCGATGAAAGGTACCTCGTCCGTGCGGCGGTTGCGGCTGCGGTCGTTTCTGTCGCGAATTGTTCCTCCTATGTGTTTTGCAACGAGTGGTTGTTCCTGTGTGGGTAGTTCTATGCGGTTCTTGAATCTCTGGTTGCAGATTGCATTGGAATCGCTGCTTCATTGTCGTCATTTGATGTTGCCACGTGCGTAGATAGGTGCGGGTTTGCCACGGGATGTTGCGAAACGCATTGTAGTGGCTGCGTCAAGGTTGCTTGATGCCGCGGCTGCATGCGTAATACTATTGTCTTTTGCAGCTGAAGATCGTAAATCGTATTGGAATGGCTGCATCAAGGCTGCGAAAGTGATTTGTCAGCAGATTTTCTCAATTTTGGCGCTAATAATTTTCCTTTTAAAATTCCTTTTAAAAAGTGCTTCAAAATCGTCTTTTTGTCGCTTTGGCGTCGAGATCCGGTTTTGGAGCTGCAATTTCCGACGCCATTGCACGTAGTTCTATTGTGTTTTGCAACTCAGTCTCTGCAGATCGCATTGTAGTGGCTGCGTCAAGGTTGCTTGGTGCAGCGGCTGCATGCGTAATACTATTGTCTTTTGCAGCTGAAGATCGTAAATCGTATTGGAATGGCTGCATCAAGGCTGCGAAAGTGATTTGTCAGCAGATTTTCTCAATTTTGGCGCTAATAATTTTCCTTTTAAAATTCCTTTTAAAAAGTGCTTCAAAATCGTCTTTTTGTCGCTTTGGCGTCGAGATCCGGTTTTGGAGCTGCAATTTCCGACGCCATTGCACGTAGTTCTATTGTGTTTTGCAACTCAGTCTCTGCAGATCGCATTGTAGTGGCTGCGTCAAGGTTGCTTGGTGCAGCGGCTGCATGCGTAATACTATTGTCTTTTGCAGCTGAAGATCGTAAATCGTATTGGAATGGCTGCATCAAGGCTGCGATAGTGATTTGTCAGCAGATTTTCTCAATTTTGGCGCTAATAATTTTCCTTTTAAAATTCCTTTTAAAAAGTGCTTCAAAATCGTCTTTTTGTCGCTTTGGCGTCGAGATCCAGTTTTGGAGCTGCAATTCCTGTTGTGATTATGTACAAGAAAGCTTCTCTGTGCAAAAACTTTTCTGTAAAAGCTTGCTGTGTGTAAAAGCTTCTCTGTGTGTAAAAGCGTCTCTGTGTAAAAGTTTCTGTGTGTGTAAACGCTTGCCATGTGTAAAAGCACTGTGCGTAAGTGTTCTGTGTGTAAACGCTTGCTGTGTGTGAAAGCTTGCTGTGTGTAAAAGCTTCTCTGTGTAAAAGCTTGTTGTGTGTAAAAGCTTCTCTGTTTAAAAGGCTTGCTGTGTGTGTAAACGCTTGCCATGTGTAAAAGCACTGTGTGTAAGTGTTCTGTGTGTAAACGCTTGCTGTGTGTGAAAGTTTGCTGTGTGTAAAAGCTTCTCTGTGAAGAAGCTTGCTGTGTGTGAAAGCTTGCTGTGTAAAGCTTCTCTGTGTAAAAGCTTGTTGTGTGTAAAAGCTTCTCTGTTTAAAAAGCTTGCTGTGTGTGTAAACGCTTGCCATGTGTAAAAACACTGTGTGTAAGTGTTCTGTGTGTAAACGCTTGCTGTGTTTGAAAGCTTGCTGTGTGAAAAAGATTTTGCGTGTAAAAGCTTGCTGTGTGTAAAAGCCTCTCTGTGTGTAAAAGCGTCTCTGTGCAAAAGTTTTTGTGTGTAAACGCTTGCCATGTGTAAAAGCACTGTGTGTAAGTGTTCTGTGTGTAAACGCTTGCTGTGTGTGAAAGCTTCTCTGTGAAGAAGCTTGTTGTGTGTAAAAGCTTCTGTGTGTAAAAGCTTCTCTGCTTGAAAAGCTTGCTGTGTGTAAAAGCTTCTCTGCGAAAGAACTTGATGTGTGTAGAAGCTTTGTAGTACAAAGTAGTACTGGAACGTGTTTTGTGCAAGCTTTGTAGTACAAAGTAGTACTGGGAAGTAGTTTGTGCAAGCTTTGTAGTACAAAGTAGTACTGGGGAGTGCTTTGTGCAAGCTTTGTAGTACAAAGTAGTACTGGGAAGTGTTTTGTGCAAGCTTTGTAGTACAAAGTAGTACTGGAACGTGTTTTGTGCAAGCTTTGGTGACATACGAGAAGTAGTACTGGGAAGTGATTCATGAAAGCTTAGGTGACATATGAGAAGAGATGAGATGAGAAGAGATGAGCTGGGATAAGGTGAGAAGAGCTCAGATGAGATGAAGTGTGGAGTGTGAAGTGTGAAGTGTGAAGTGTGGACTGTGAAGTGTGAAGTGTGAAGTGTGGAGTGTGAAGTGTGAAGTGTGAAGTGTGGACTGTGAAGTGTGAAGTGTGAAGTGCGCAGTGTGAAGTGTGAAGTGTGGAGTGCGAAGAGTGCAGTGTGAAGTGTGAAGAGTGTGGAGTGTGAAGTGCGAAGAGTGCAGTGTGAAGAGTGCAGTGTGAAGAGTGTAGTGTGGAGTGTGAAGACTGTCAAGTGTGAAGTGTGAAGAGGAGCTTCAAATGTGACATGTAAAACAAGACACCAGTTTCGCAGAGCGCACGCACGCACGGGCTTGGCTGGCGCACGGCGCATGCAAGTTCTATAGATGAGAAAGGTCTTATATATATATATATCTTTAAGGCAACTTCCGCCCCGCCTCGTGCGGGTACTACTGGTATGGTTATGTATGGTTATGTATGGTTTAAATTGATATGTCTATCTTTTTGGGCGGTGCTATACCTGCTATGCCAACGCATCGAGATTGTTGGCTTCTCTCCCCCAGCAGCAGCGAGTTGAGAGGCCCTACACAGACTCAATCAAGTCAAAGACGGCCACCCAGCAGCTACAACTGGCCAGCGCTGCTTCTTTTACCCTCTGGTAATTTAACACAGCTACTAAAAATGACCATTAATGGTTTTACAATGGTGGTTCATATCCATTAATAATGGTTGATAATGGGATGAATATGGGTTACCCTCTGGTAATTTGTCACACCCTATTGAAAATGGCCATTGATAGTTGATTTACCTTTCAAAAATTGGGATTTCTATTGAAAATGGCCATTGATAGTTGATTTACCTATCAAAAATAAGGAATTTCCATAGCTACGTTAGTTTACCAAAGGCTAAACACTGGGAAAACTCCAAAGGGCCGACGCAGCGACGAGCTAAGTATGGCAGCAGAGCTATAGGGAGTTCCGATCCTTGGTCCACATGTGCCACCGTTGAAAGATGCCAAAAAAAAATGGGGGATGAATGGTCGTCCGCCCAAGAATGGGAATCCTTATAATGGATTATAATTGCTATATAAATGGCAGTGTGTCAAAACCAATAGTACCCCTGTAGTTCACATCAAAATAGCTGGGATTTATGGATATTCATCCCCCTAAAAATGGTATTAATAGGTATTGATCCATACCCAAATGGGTTTTGTCATGGGTACTCACCCATCAGGTTTTCCCCTTGAACTCCAAGACACTGCAGAATCCGTGTTTTCCCACAGCAGCTCGAGGCCGGCCGTTTGGCAGGACTGCAGATGGTGAAGGGACGACTGGAGCATGAAATTCCCTGGAAATAGGACCCCAATTCATGAGTAGCTCCAATACTAGACCTGGGGTTTTGGGGTCTGATAATTGCGAGAATAGAGGAAACTTAGAGAGGCAAAGGTTGAAAAACAAAATATTTAATGTGTCATGTTTTTGTCATTTGAGTTTTGGCCTGTCATTTTTTGTCATTTCCCCTGATTTGCAGAAAGCCAAACAGCACATAACTTCGGGCCTGATCAGAATGTCAGAATGTTCGCACCTAGCAACTTCGACATTAAACCTGGAGTCGTGACTTTCATGGCTCCTTTGTTGTTGTTATCCTTTTCCTCCTGTCTCATTCCTTTTCTATTTTTGGAAACCACCATAGCCTAAACGAACCATCCAGTTTTTATCATTTTCATCCTTGGCCCTGCCACACGACACGAAGATCGCACCTGCACTCGTCCCTTGAAGCTTCGAGAATCTTGAGATAGGCAGAATTCCTGATGCTGAAAAAAAAAAGACCCTTTGGAAGTCGCCAATCATGGCGAAAACGTATGAAAACGTGGGGTTCAGTGGAAAAACAACCAGAAACCATAGGGGATATTCATCCTATGAAGCCCGGGGCCCCGCCTGTACAATGGAAGGGAAAAGCGAAGCCTTCAGAGTCAATGGCTCGTTGCACCTTGACAGCAACAAAACCAACAGGACCAGTGGTCCTCACCACTTCCAACACTTCCAACACTTCAGGAGATTTGGAACTGACAAAAATCTCTCAAACTAATTATTATGAATTATTCAAAAATTATTCCTGTGGGGCCGGAATGATCTCATTGTCGGGCATTTCGGGCATGGAGCATCAATACTTTGGACCACCCAAAACTATTGAAGAAGTTGAGGCTATCGAATTTTCGACTGGCTGCGGTGGGTTGTCGGTTGGCGCAGTTTTTTCCGTTTTCCGCAACTATCCGTGTCCTCCTTTGGAGGTTGGAACTCTAATTTTTCGCTGGGGGAGGGCGCAGTTGCTGACCATCAGAGCCTTTTTTGTCAGGATGGTATCATGAAATGGGTAGGATAAGAAGCGATAGAGGTGGACACGTAACGAATGTGTAACTGATGTAACTGCTGCAACCACCCAAAATCTCTCAACCAATTTTGGAGACGTAACATCTCAAATGATGATGATTTCTTTTACTGAGCGGGAACAAAACCATAAGTCGACATAGGTGAATTGGGCTAATTGGGCTACTTGGGCTAATTGCTAATATTCCACCTGGGTGCTCTCAAATACCTGGAGATATCCTGCAGTTCTTCTGGATTCTGCTGGATTTGGAATGCCTAAGACAGTAATCGCCAGAACCGCGAGATCACGGCAGCACCCCCATTTAGATCTGCTTTCAGATCAGTGCCCAAACAGGGCCCAATGACATGGCAGGCTGGGATGAATATGACACAGTCATCGCTACCGGCTTTAACTGCTGGAAAGACACCGGTTTTTTCTTCGCTGGAGTGAAGTCAGTTTTGCTCTACCTTTGTTATGTTATGTATTGTTATGTTATGTTCTTCTTTCAAACAAACAATACAATGATCCAGGGTCCGGATTTCTAAACACCAATAAAGAAAAGGGGCATATGTTTTCGAACGAGAGCAGCTGCAACGCTGAAACCATCATACACATCGGTTGCATTTTTCAAGATAGCCCAGAGACGTTGTCGTGTCTCCGATCTACAAAAGTAGTCCTTCGCACGTTCTGAACATAGAAGTACCCTCTGGTAAACTAACATAGCTATGGAAAATCACCATCTTTAATAGGTAAATCAACTATAAATGGGCCATTTTCAATAGCTATGTTAAATTACCAGAGGGTATCATAGAAGTGGCACCGGGTGGTACCGGTGTCTCTTCCATGGTGGTCCATCGTCATGTCCTTGTTTCCAAAACTCGTGTCATGATCATCCAGCACAAGGACATGGCACTTGCCACAACAATCCACAGTTGGACAGTCATGGACAGTCTAAAGGTCAAAAAACAAGGGAGATCGGTGATGACAGGAAGTTGCGGCAAGACTTTTCGGTTCGACTGTTTGCCTCATAGATTTAAAAGCAACATGCATAAACCTTCGAGGCAACCTAGTGTCTTTTCAAAAAAGGAAATGAAGCTGAGGTTCTACCAATGGCCATATCTAGTCCAATTGGTTCTCAACAAGAAAACCAAAAACTAGTGAATACGTTGTGGTACTGCTGTATGCATCGTGCATCGATATACACAACGATCATGGTTGGAACATTTTTGGGGCTGGTTGAAGGGGTGAGTTGTACTGTGATACAGTGATACACATCATGTGGTGTTTACCCAACAACAAAACCCCATCATGGTGAAATTCTTCTTGATTTTAAAAAGTTTATCAGTGGTTCTTCCACCATGACATTCCTCATCATTCCTCCTTCATCGGATTCATCGGATGAAAATTAGGCATCCAAAATCTGCCGCTGCTCTCATCACCTCCAAGGTGTCCGGATTCACGGCATCAGAGACCTCAAAAACAGCCATGGCGCAATTTGGCGAAAAACGGCGACCTGTGTCCATCCAAATGGGCCCAGTCGAAATTGTGGGATTTTCCCCATGAAAAATTGTGATTTTCCCACTAAAAATGGTGATTTTCCCATGAAAAATGGTGATTTTCCATAGTTATGTTAGTTTGTTCACCAGAGGGTAATTTTCGGTGCAACCAATTAAGTGTTTCCGGACAGCTTCAGTTGTAGCACACTCTGGGTCATGGAAGTGACAAAAACGTCAACAGCCGTCAACGAGTCAACTACTGAATGGTGGCTCCGAAGTTTTTCTGTCTGACAACCACCACCAACATCCTACTATTCTGCCACAGCTCACTGTCACTGTTTAGGTCTGCCTTGGGAATTTGGAGCCTATCTTTCAGTAAAAACCTATAGACTATCAGACATTGATACTTCTGCTCATGATGTCCACGCATTTCTGGATGAATCTCCCAAGCAAACACCACTTTGTCCATGAAAACATATGAAAACGAAATCCAGTGACAAGTATCAGTCTCCGGGAGGATCTTATCCTCCATTTTGATCATCCCGCGCAAATATCAGCGAGTTCATATTCAACAAAAATCCCGAGCTATTCAATCGCCAATCAGCGAGTTTATACACCACCTACATCCCCCTTAGTAGCCATTTTCTGGTAGGATTTTGAAGTGAATCTTCTCTCAACATTGGTGAATCAATAGGAAAGTGAATTCCCCAATCACCCAAAAAAACACCCAGCCACTGCAAATAGCACCATAGAAAAGAGAAGTTAAAGCATGGCAGTATAGGTGCTATTTGTTGAACAAACAAAAAAAAGAACCAGAAACATGTGGAAACCAAACCAAAAATATCACTTCAATCAAAAAAAAACGTCAAACATCACGAAAAAATAACAAAAATCCATCCAAAATTCACAAAAAACTCCCAAGAATTCTCCAAATTCTCCTAGAGACTAGGTAGTTCTTCTTCTTCGTAGCCCATCTCCGCAATTTGTCGTGCCCCCTTGGTCACCATCGCAGTACGCCGTGCAATTCCTTGCAGGCCTTGGTCGGAAATTCATGGGAACCTTGGCTTGAAAGTGGTGTAAAACTGGTGTCAAATGGCTGGACAATTGGTGGAAAATCATGGGAAAATGATGGGGAAAATATACGGAAAAATTGGAGCAAACTGAAAGCTTGAGGGTCCTGAAAGTCCAGAAAATCCGTACCCGACTTCTGTTGTTTTGCTACCTGAAACGGAACTTTTCCCAGACTTTTCCCATGGATTTTTTGGCTCAGTGACCCCATCTCAGCATCGGGCATTGCGCAACATGTGGATCCCTCTTGTGGTTACCGGGCCTGCGGAACTTCTCGAAGTCGCTGAATGTTCATGACAGCTGAGCATTTGATACGATCGTCCCAACCATAAATGAACAGCGTTCTTCTGATTGGAAGGGTTGAGATGCTCTGGCACCATGTCTGGGACAATGGAAGCAACATGCAAAAACCAGCGCAAACGAGAGCCGCTGGAAAAGGGCGTTGAATTCTTCTCAAGTTGCATCGAAAATGTGACGTCTGAGTCATGCCCAAGACAGGCATATCCCCTAATATCCAAACAGGAAGCTGGTCCATTGCCTCTGAAGCACCAATTTTGCGGAGTTCCACCCAACCATCAAAAATCATCCGTCACTTTCAATTGAGGTCTCCGCAATGTATTTTAAAGATGCTTAACAAGGTTTAAAGCTTATATGTTGATTGTATCTCAATTTTTCATATCTTGAGGTTTGGCAGCTCTGCTTGGCGACACATCAAAAGAGGGCAGGGATTGTCATTTTTTTGGACCGTTTCGAAAAACAAAAAGCAACAACCAGCGTTGTTGGTTGTTCATGGTTGTTCAACTATCATAGGACCTTTGATATGTGGTTCTTAAACCCCCTGCTGCTGAAAGCCAACTGAACCATTAAAAGTACCCCTATCCCATCCCATTATGCTGGTTGCTTAGCACATAGAGTCTCATATATTCATGCATATTCTGAAGTATATCACATTGTAATATTCTTTTTTAAAAAAATGCTATCTACTTCATATTAGTTCATAATCACAACATATCACCACCACATAAAAATCACCACCAAACAGCCAGTTACTGTAGCGCCTGGAATCGGCCACCAAAGACAGCAGAGTCTGGGCCTGTTTCACACGCCTTGGAGAGCCTTGGCGTAGCGGAGGAGGTTCAGCAGTTCAGCACTGGACCCAAAGAAAATCTACCCTCTGGTAAACATACAAAAAACTATGGAAAATCACCATTTTTGATGGGAACATCCACTATTTCTATGGCCATTTTCAATAGCTATTTTGACATAACCAGAGGGTAAAATTGATTGAGATACGTCCTGAAAGGTAGCTGCTTAGCATGGCTGTATCATGGTTGTATCTCAAATGACTTGGAAACGAATTTGCCCAAACACGTCGCTGTTCTGATGGATTGGAAGGCCTGTGTTACTCCGCACAGGTTGTAGAGACACTTGGGAAACCATCCCACAGCATGGCAACCGGCGCACCCTCTGGCAGAGCAGGCATAGAGCCGGAATTCGGTATTCTACCTAAGGCGTTTCAGCACTGCGGTTGACTTGCTTAGGCCTTTTCTTCATGCTTGCCACATGGCATGCTGTTAACAAAGAACCACATGAAAATCACGTCAAGAAGGCGGGAAGCCCGGGAAGCCATGAATAATTCATCCATATTTTCATCCATATTCATCCGCACTTTGACCAGAAATAGCTTGTGTTTGATGCGTCTATCCGTCTATCCATCCCCATTCGGAGGCGTGCTATCGGGGTTTTGCCATTGCATCTTTGACAAAAAAAGGTGGGGTGTGATGAAGTTTACTTGCTAAGCTTCATCAGAGATTTCTTAGAGACTCTACAGCCCAATGCTCGATGCTTGGGCATAGTCGGGATTCTTCACACAGACTAATACCATAAGCTCAATAAAGGCCCCAACTTGTTCAGGTTCTCTTCATACCGTTGGGAAATCCCAATGAAAAATACCAAGATCAACCAATCAACAACATCAACAACCAATATCTACCTAAGTTCATATATCATAATATGTCATAATCCATATTACAACACCTACTAGGCTACCCATCTGGCCTGGTAGGTGGCTTCCGCGCATCAAACAAGCCGGAGCCATCAACAGTTCCTCTGAGTTTTCGAATGGCCTTCGCAGCTTCGGTGATCTGCCAAAAAAAACATGGGTCCGAAAATGGTCCGAAAGCAAGTTGTGTGAATACATCAAAAAGCCTCTTTTTTATGGCCTGAAGCCTTTTCACATCAACAATTTTGAGTTTCAGAAATGGAAATGGTCTCAGTTTCGGGTGGGATTCCTAAGACATCTAAGACTCAAAACATCTCCGGTCACCGGTCGGAGAAAATCCTCGGAGCTGCCTGGCTGATTGGCCCCTTCGCAGGCCCTCAAATTCACCTGAGCACAGCATGGTGCCAAACCCAGGGTCTGGATGGATGTTGGATGATGCTTGAGGTTGAGCGGAAGGAAACCCAGACTGTTAGACTTGTGTGAAAATGCGAAACCGAAGTTGATCTTCCAAAGTTGCCATTTCAGGGCTCTTGAGTTCGAACTTGAGCATCCAACGCGGTAGCCAGCTGGATTTATGCTGCTCCGGCACATCCTCAGGGTACGTACCCTTACAAGAGTGACCCGTGAGATGGAAAGAATCTGTGTCATACGGTCATGCCCACCATGTTCATGCATCTTGGGCGAAAAAAAAAACACGTGAGCTCCCCATTTCAGGACATCATCGACCATTTTCAGGTTTTTTCTTGAACTGCTAAGAACTGAGACCCCTGCGAAACGTTCAGGACTTCGTTCTCGCGCCCTGTGAAGTGCGAGGGCTATCATGATTCGATCACCGTTCAATGGCGGGATGTCTTCATTGGTAAAAATTGCAGGGAACCATTTTTTTTCGAATATCGACATGTTACAGCTGTTCGAGCAAAAATATGTTCCAGCTGTTTTTCGCCAAAAAAAAAACTATATACATTTCCATTTTTCTGCCATTCACAAAATAGAGGTTTCCATAAATGAGGGGCATCCCCAATAGCTGGATGGTTTAGAATGGAAACTCCCAACAAAAAAGTGGATGATTTGGGGGTACCCCCATGACTAAGGAAACCTCCAAATGGTTATGGTTCAAAACCCTACCCAAACAGTATCCAAAGTCATTGCTGGGATTTCGCTGGATGTTTCTGTGTTTCTTCCAGGAATATCATATGAATATCATATGAATCAATAATCCTCAATATGGATTCATAGCTAACATTGGCCATTATGACCCCCCCAAAAGTGGAGTTTTAGCCAATGTTAGCCATGTGAATAACCATTTCTAATCCATTGATATCCCCTAACATTGGCTAACATTGAATGCTTGGGCTATCGGGGAACCCCATGGCCACCGTTCTGAGGCTCCAGCAGCGGCGCCAGCGCGGCGCCGCGCGGTCCGCGGGATGAGCGTCGAGACGAGGCTCGAGACGAGCCCGAGCGTGGCCGACCTGGCAGATCCCCATGGGAAAAGCTTGGTGGATGATGTGGAAAACTGGTGTTTTTAAGGGGTTTTGGTGGTTTATGGTTTGTGTAATGGTTGATGTATTGGTCTTTGTCGGTTTTTTGGGGTGTTTTTATGGGTTGTTTAATGGGTTTTTGGATGGTGAAATATGGCGAATCTCTTCGCCGATTCATATGAAACACCCCCCTATAGTCACCATGGTGGATGATTGATATGACTGGGACCACTTGAATGGGATGTTTAATATGAATGGGGAATGGGGATTGATAAGATACAAATCTATTGGAGACGTGCTGGATTTATGCCTTTCCCAACTTTCGATTCTTTTTTGATGCACATATTATACATATATATATATAATTCATTATAATTCTATAGTTTGCCATGCAAGAATACAGTATATGTTTACGGGGAAAACCTGAATGTGTTTTTGGTCGAAGCAAGTCTCGAAAACTCTCCCAGGATGCCGAAAGTTGTTCCGAAAGCCATTTTCTGCTGCTTGGAGCTACAAAATGAGGAGCTGTATTCCAAAGTGAGTTTCTTCTGGGATATGATATACCCTCTGGTTATTTAACATAGCCATGGAAAATGGTTCATTTATAGATGGTTTACCTATTAAAAATGGTGATTTTCCATGGCTATGTTAAATAACCAGAGGGTATATAGTATGGGTCTGTCCGAAAATAGTGTGCCCCTAGTTCCATCAGCATTGCGGAAAATCATGTCCCCAGTAAAACGGCCATGTTGAGGCATCCCCAACTTTTCAGACACACCCATATTTACCTGTCATCCAAGATGATGAATCCCCAAAAATCCAAACTTTAGACCGAAGCAATATCTTAAAAGAAACCTGCTGAAATACCTTTGGGGAATCAACTGGTAGGTTAAAAATCTTTGGGGAACAAATATTGGGATATGCATCTCAAAAAATTGGGAAAATACCTTTGGGGAACATGCATCATTTTTTTCTTGGACATGGTACCCTCTGGTAAACTAACAGTTTGCTATTGAAAATGACCCAGTCGAAATAGTAGATGTTCCCATTGTTTCAATGGTGACTTTCCATAGTTTTTTGATGTTTTTTGTATGTTTTGTATGTTTACCAGAGGTTAGGATAAAACCATTGGTTCAACCATTGGTTCTATGTCCAACCGAATCTTACGAACGTCCGCCTTCTTGGGATGACGACCGCGCGCGGGCGCGGTGCAACACCACGCAGGGGGGATAGGCAACCGCCTCCTGTGCTACCTGAGTGGAAAAGATGTGGATGTCATCTGGGAAGATTCAAAACCAGCCACAAAAATGGTGAGAAAATCAGAAAACCCATTTGGAAAACGAAGTCAGGGTAATGATGTGGATCTCACCAAAATGAACGCTTCGCCAATTGAAATTTAAGCTGAACAACCTTGAATTTCAACTGGTTATTGGCTAGAGTTGGATGCTTTGTTGGATAATGTTTAAAATGAGCAGCTGGGTAGAAGCGAATTCAAACAAAACATTGTGTATAATATATATATACATATATATATATACTATATGCCGTGCATATTATATGTATATATATATATATATGCGTGTGTGTGAAGCATCTATTTGATGAATTCGGGCTAGTACCGTGTTACCAAAAGATGCGTTCAGCCACCAGGCCTTTCGTGCCAGGAAGGAGGCTGGGCCTTAGATCAGATCAGATCCATCAGTTTCTCAAGATATCTCAAGATCTTCTGGTTGGTGGTTTTTCGCCACCCCTCTGAAAAATATGAGAAAAATGATGGACGAATCGTCACTTGGGATTATGAAATTCCCAAGATATGGAGAAATAATCCAAATGTTCCAAACCACCAGTATTATGTGAACATTTTGGGGATTAGAGTGAAATTCCTCTTGGATTTTTCTTGGATCTTTGTGACACCAAAGATCCAAGTTTTCTCGCATCTCCGCACCTGTGTTTTCCAGCCCTGACAAGGCATCCCCATTTGTGGCCCTTGCCCGCTGTCCTTTTAGTTCTACTTCCCCATTTTTTTTCCCTTTCAATCTTTAGATTTGTTGGTGAAACCGACATGTTTGTTGCCTCCTGTGAAATCTATACACCCCCAATATGCCATTTCTGTGGATGATGTTCGTTACCAAAGATCCTGATGTTCATCCTTCTCAATGTGAACTATACCTCTGTCAATGCCGTCGATGAAGAAGGAACCCGACATCTTTGTGCAATTGTTTGATCAGTTCTTCTGATGTTATCTTTGAAATTCCTGGTCATCTTTGATGATCTGTTTTCATCGTTCTTTCTGAAATTCCTCAAAGCTTCGTTAAGTTCTGTAGGTTGAAACCTTTGATTCGTCCCCATGCCAGTAACCACCATCACGAAGAAGCTTCACCAAACTTATCACCTCCACTGAAAACTACAAGGGCCCATTGATCCCACGAAACATGGGGAAAGCCATTTGTTCTTCCATCTGTGTCAAAAGCCCCAAACATCATCATCAAATCACCATCAAATCACCATGAAATGCTTCTTAAATGTCTTCAAATCAACCAGGGTCAAGGTCGAAAATCTTTGAAGACTCTTGCCACATCCCCAAATCCGATCCAGCAGGATCCGGATCTCTGGGCTTCCAAACTCAGAGGTCGTTCCAAGCATCGCAAGGCCACGTTCTGCAGAGGCGCCACAGTTGGGCCATCAATGATGGACGCCAGATCGGTCAAGTTGGCCTAGCAGCTCCGTAAGGGCTACCCCATGGTACCCCAGTCATCCCATGGATGAAGCATGACTTAGTATTGAAACCCATGGTGACGACTGGGGGTACCCCCCTTTTAAGAAAGCCCGATGTCAAGAAGTTTCAATAAATGTCAATGAGAGTGCTGAAAGAAATGCAGTGGAAAGGGAAAAAACACTGCACACAACGTCTGGAAACTCAGGAAAGCATGGCCGAAACCGCTGCCTCTGGACCCTTTAATTGCATCAAAAATCAATCTTGAAAGTGGCACCAAGAAAACAGATCGTTCGACTACTTTTAATAAATAGGATAGAAAACAGCAGGGCCGTTTAGTCTCCAAGAATATCTAAAGTATGTTGGATCCTGCTAAAGATCCAGGATACCAGTTAGATCTACAGTATGTTAGATCCCAAATATCCAAAAATTATCTAAAGATCAGGATCTACTGTGACTGCTGATCCTGCCGAAACCTGACGGATGCAAAGTGGCTGTGTTCCAAGGGCGGATGCTGAAGGGATCAGCCAACTCAGACATGACATGGGCATAACGGCATAGCGGACCCTCCCCGTGAACTTGTCAACTGCTGAAGCAGCACCCAAAAAAAGAGGCTTCAGTCGTTTGAGTCTCAACAAATCATCTTCAGTGTTCCTGAGTCATCCTGAGTCATGTTAGGAGATGGCAATGCAATGGTGTTGCTGCTGATTTGGCTGAGTGGCTGTGCCCGTCCTTGTTTGTAGTGCGCATTTGCAAGTCTCAGGTTTCCCTCTGTTGAGTGGCTTTCATGATTCATGCAGATCAACTGATCAACTGTTTCACTACATAAACCACTTTGATTCCGCATGACGCGCTGATTGGCGCGTATCTGATATCCGCAATCTTCACTGTGCTGTGGTCCAGGGCGGCCAACGAGAGACCATCGCAGCAGCCAAATTCTATCGATGTTGGCATGACCGTGTTAGTTGTTTATGCTTAGATCTCTCTGGTTGTTGCTAGAATCCTAGCCTTCTCGGATTCGAGATGCCCATAGTTGCTACGCTACAATCTCAAATTAAATCTCCGCAGTTGTTGCCACAGCCACCACTAACCACAGGTCTTGCTTCGAACTGCAGCTGATGCTGATGGCCCCCCTTCCCCACTCACCATGCCTCAATTCATCTCCCTCGGACTGGAGCCACCCATCTGGTGACTCAGAATGCTGTATTCTACTGGTGGTTTCAACCCCTCCGAAAAATAGTAGCCAGTTGGGATGATTCTTCCTAGTCCCAATATATGGATATAAATAAAAAATGTTCCAAACCACCAACCAGTATCTTGTCATATCTTGTCATATCTTGTCATATCTTCCAAATCTTAGCCCATTGCTAGCTGTACCATAGGTCAACAAATCGTTTAGGCGAAACGTCGAGCTGAGCCCGCTGTGAGATCGGGACGATCAGCTGGCAGCCTTCCTTTTCCCAGACATAGTCGAAGGCTTTCGACCCTTCCTGCGCCATTTTTGGTGGCCAAAGATCCTCAATTTCATTGAAAATGGTGGATTTCGGAAGATGTCCAGACATGTCCAGACTCTTTCCATAAAGTCAATCTGTTGGGCTCTTGGGGTTTCCCTATAAAATCCTTGAAACATGTTGAAACAAAACGTAGGTTTGATCCTCAATTTAGGCGTGTCTTTGTTGATCCATATTCATCCATTACATCCAATGTCGGCTCTCATTGAAACAGCACAACTACGGACCTTGAAGAGCTTTCCAGAATCGAAGACCGCCGATTGAATCCGTGGGTCCTCACAGGATAAAAACCCCACTTATGGTCACTTCGATGTCTTCACAGCCGTTTTTGGTGAGTTTCATGCTGGATGAATCTTTTTCAGATCCCAAAAAAAAATCCACATCGAACATTTTTCCAATCCATCCAGCACCAAGGTTTGACAAAAGTGCGCTGGAAAAAAATCGCTCACATGTCACCTCCAGCGATCGCAGTTCTGCCAAAGCTTGTAGGAACTCGGCTTGGAAAGCCACCAGAATGGACGCGCCTGAAAGGAGACGTTGCCAAAAAGACAAAGGGATGGTAGACCTGGTAGCAACATGTAGCAACGAAAGAATCCAAGATTGGAAGGTTATTCAGAATGTTAAAACATGTTAAAACATCTTAAAACATGTTAAAACCCAGCCAATATATCTTACAATATCCTCCACATCTGTCTTAGGATTTGTTCAACAAAAAAAACTCGAGTTTCTTCTCCCTGTGGCAGCTCAGGGCCCAGCAAACGATGTAGAGCAAGGCTAAGCCCGGAATGGGTCTTCGCATCAAGTTCATGCCTCACATGGGTCGAAGGCGAAGGGAACCAAATAAATTCCAATGAAGATTGCGAAGTTTACTGAGTCTTATAGATTTATACATATATATATATGTATATATATATTAAATATTATGGCATCATTATAGCCTATTAAGTAATATTGAAGAATATCATAGAATCTCACAGATCCATTTTCGGAAGCCCTGAGTTTTCTCAAGTTTCAAGTGATCATCTCAACGATCCGGCTGCCATTTTCTTCATCCCTTTTTTTCAGCTGTCGAAATCTCCGAAATCTCCGAGTTTTCTCTTAGGGATCCACCCAAGGACGCCGTGAAGCAAAAGAAGAAGGAGGTGATCCTGGCAGGTCGCCATGGCCATGGCCAAAGCCCAGGTCTATCCCCTTGTTGAGTCGAGCCACGCTGGGACGAAACAGACCCAGACGTCGAAGTCCATCTCCGGCACGTCCTCCACCTTTACCTGTGCCGCCTGAGAAACTCCAGAAATCAAAGTTATAAATCTGATGGCATCACATGGCATCACTAAAAAAAATCGATGGAATCAATATGAATCGATGAATCATATGAATCATATGTTCTTCTCATGAAGTTCCTCTGTGTAGTTCAAACTCAAGCGGTTGAAAATTCACTGGAATCGAGAGGTCATACAATTCCTCATCCAATCAGTGTGAACATGGCATCCGTCATCACTTCCTTTATGGGAATCCCCGGCGGACATTGGCGGCTACAGTTTTCATGTCCAGTGAGTCCCGTGTGTCCCCTTTTTTGCGGATGATTTATTTGTAAAATTTGTAAAGATCAGGAGTTTCAAGTCAGTGAAATTCATGCGACCTGTGGTTTTTCGTGTGGTTTTTCGTGTGGTGTGGTGTGGTCAGTTGTGTCAAGCACCGCAAAACCCATCCGCCTCGACAAAGCACGCCACACAACTGCGAATCACCAGGCTATATGCTTGCCATGCATTTCCGGCCATTGCACCTGGCTCAAGATGGTCAAGTTGTTTTTTCTAAGTCATGATGTCATGATGTCATGGGGTCCTCAAAACATATGATGCTATGAGGTTTTAACATGGTTTCATCTGTGAGTCTATTCTCTGATTATCTGATTCTATTCTCCAACCCTGCAACGCTGCGACGTCCAATGGAAGCTGAGACTTGGACTGAAGGATCTCCAATGGCCCTGGCAAACACCAGGGATTTTCATCCCCCAGAACTGATTTCCACGAGGAAACCACTGGGCAAACCGAAACTGGCGTCGCCAGAAATCAGAGCAGGTTGTGTTTTTCGATTTTTCCTTGAAAGGCAAGATAACCACGTTCAAAGGTTGGCACAATGGTTGTATCGTGGCTGTGTTGGCAAATCTGACACCCGCAAAGTATCCCATTACAGCAACACCAGCTATTTTCCCTTGCGGCAAGTGGCAAAGTGGCACCCCAGCCGCCTGACAGCTTTCTCCCTGATATTTTTCATATGGGCCATATATGGCCAGATGGGTCAAAAAGAAAAATTCCCAAAGATGGATGGTTTTAGTAAATATGGCAGTGTGTCAAAACCTTGTACCCCTGGTGAACATCAAAATAGCTGGTAAATGGATGTTCATCCCACTAAAAATGGTATTAATAGGTATTGATCCATACCCATATGATCAACCGTTTGCAGGCCCTTGCCCATCTTGGAACTTTGCCAAAACTGGAGGATGAACCAAGGGCCAAGGGCATCCAAGGGCCAAGGGTTCTCACAGCAACGAGACTCGTTGGAAGACGTCTGTTTGCGAAATGTGGTGCCATCCATATGGCATGTGTTTATCATTGAAGAAACATGAACTTATCTATATGGAATATTTTCTGGAATCTGTTGATAATATATTTAGATGGAATGTCTTTGTAAATCATAGAATTGGATTATGGGAAAATTTACAGGAAAGCCCTATATTTGATGGTAAAAACCATGGTTTCCTGTAGATTTTCCCTTAAACCAATCCGGTGAAACATGATAATCCGTTGAAGTGGCAAAAGTCTAGGCTATTGACCGCCTCCGGGCCCCCGGTTCCGCGGGCAGCCCACCTGCTGCTGTAGCTGCACCACGAAGCTCATGGCATGCAGAAAGACTAGGCTCCTGGTCGTTTCCGTGCAGAATTCTCTGCTGATGGGGCATCGACATGTCCATGAAAAATGAGGCGTTTATCACCGGATTGGTTTAATGGAAAATCTTAACCGGAAACCCATGGGTTTTTACCATCAAATATAGGGTTTTCCTGTAAATTTTCCCATAATCAAATTCTATGATTTTAACAACCAAATCAACCAACAACCAACAGAAAAATCTGGAGATGGAGCTGATGCAGTAAAAGTAGTCATAATTCACCCAGTAGTCATGGACTTTGGGAATTTTCGACATGGGGAGTCAGTGCCCAGAGGCACCAACATGGACCAACTAAAGGGCGGGATACACATCTAGTCGTACACATACTATTCAGGAGTGAACAAAAGGGGTACTCGGGTGAACCGAAATGTTCCGAACTTGAACAGATGTAAGATGGTTGCACCCATCATGTATTTTTCACCACTTTTGGTTTGAAGATCACAATGATTGAATTGCGCCATCTAGCTAGCGTCTACGTTCGGGGAAGTTGGGACAATATGAATCCATCCCTGTCTACTGAGTCTACTGGTTGGCAAATATTGGTTTCAATATGTTCCAATACTGCATTGTACAAGTAAATCCCATTGAACCAGTTGGTATAGCCGCCTATGTTTAAGCATCAACCAAGGTTTTTGGGCATTGCTGAGGCAACAGAGGGGTATCTACCGAGGCACTACCAAGATTAGAGTATGGGCAAGTTATTTTTGGAAGCAACGAGAAACATACGCAGAATTCATGGAACGTCATAAATTCCCAATTCAATATATTCCATAGAGTCCCATATATGTTTTTCATGAACTGCAATGGAACAATGTGGAAACATGCCGTGGCAGACCCCAGCAACATCCAGAAGCCATTGATGAGGCTGGCGTATCGCCTGCAGACCTCGGAGATAGCAGTAACATCCAGGAACTATGGAAGCTTTCGTTACCCTCTGGTAAACTAACATAACTATGGAAAATCACCATTTTCAATGGGAAAATCCACTATAAATGGACCATGTTCAATAGCTACGTTAAATTACCGGAGGGTAGGATGTAGCCTCAAAGGCAATGCAAGGGGTTTCACTGGAAAATGACTCATGGGAAAAATGTCTATCGATGGAGGATTGTCCTGCCAGGTTCAGTCTCCAGGGGCTTCGAGAAGTGGGGATGTGATGTTTTTGATTATATTAATCAACAAACTGATGGTTGATGTTATGAATGGATCATATGGATCTAACATCATCTAACATCATCATCAAATATGATATTGATATAATATGGATGTTAGATGATGTTAGATGATGTTATGGTCTTAGAGCCCTCGATTATCCACCATTTCATGGTCGAATTTAGATCTGGAATCCTCAAAACATGGTACCGCAAAAGTTGATCCATTTCCCCATCAAAAGACATCTTAAAAGATGTTATCTATATCCCCATTATATCCCAGTTACAGTATCCCAGTTATAGTATCCCAGTTAGACACCCATTATAATCCCAGTTGATCCTCATGATATCCCAGTGTATCCCATGATATCCAGAGATTGATGATTCGCCACCAGATCAGAGCCCCACCCATGCGGTGGTGCTCTCGGGAGAACCAGTGGCCTGAACTGGATTTCTGGGATTTCTGACATCAAGGGTTGGTTTTACCAAGCAAGCCTGAAAAAGATAGAAAAGTCACCAGAATTTTGAGTAGAATTCAACTTGTCCATCTTTGGGGAGGTTGGTATCAGGGAAAATTGCCAGGAAACCCATTGGCTTTCAGCCATCTAAATGGTGGGTCGTGAACACTTTGCCCCGAGTCTACTCTGGGGTAGCAACCAAAATGAAGGTTTTTAACATAGTTTCCTGCAACGGAAACCAACATCCAACATCGGGACTTCACTGTCAAAGCGACAATCATAGAACCGCATGTTTGTTCATCTCTGAAGATGTTTCAGCCACGATCACCAAATTTTGGAATTCAATGACAAAATGTCCAAATGTCGACTTGAATTTCCCAAAACCACAGACCTGCCGGGGTGCCGGAGTGTCATTTTTGGGTCACGTTGTGGCCAGGCTGGAATTGAATCCACCCAGAAGAACAGATGCCCAGCCAGAGCCTTTCGAATTCTTGATGTATGTCGTCCCCGTCCCAAAGAATGTAGGGCCCACCAGAACTCGATCCACTGGGTTCACGTCAAAATGTCCACTCGTGAACCATCATTTTCCCATTTTCAGCCGTAAGTTGAGGGTAAATCCTAGCTAAATCATGGTAAATCCATGTGAAAATTGCCATATTTCAACAACCCCAGCTATTGGATTTGGGATGTCTATGGCCACCCCTCGGCACCTGAGCACTCATCTCATGTTTCCAGGGCCCACTTGCGGTTCGACATCAAAGGTGCTATGGCAGCTATGGGATATCGTGGTTGGCCCATGTGGCATGTGCCGGCGCTGTGCCTACCCTAGCTGAATGAGAAAAAAAGGAAAGCGGCTGGGAAACCTTCAATTTCTGTGTGCTGATTCTTGCCGCAGAAGATGTTTCAGCATCATATATTCAAGCATATGCAGGGGGTCAGTTTTGTCTTGTCACCCCTTGGAAACATCTCTGGACTGTGGCCGTTGCTGTTAGACCTGCTCGCTGCAAATTCTGCGCAACGTCAATGAAGAAACATGAAGAAACCCGCAATCCACAAATCGATCCCGTCTCCATTGGAGACAACTATTCTATTCAACTCTACTATTATAATACATACTATAGATATTACACAACGACAGAGTGCTGATTTGTCTTTCTCTTTGTCCGCTCCATGGGCAAAATGCGGTATTCTAGAACAACCAGGAAAAAAGGCATCTACGAAGTGTATAATATCTGTATGATTATAGCATTATAACAGGAACATCATCAAGTCATATGGATTGTCTCAAGATGGGAGATACTACAATGGTAGCTGGAGACCGCTTCACCAATGGCCCAGCATCCCTTTTTGGCGAAGCCGCAGAGTTTCTCAATGGGAAGCCGCCAACTTCAGTGGCTGTCCAAGTTGTGGAATGCGACAGGAACTGGCAGATGAGGATGGGTCATGGAAATGTCCATATGGCTTCCATAAATGGTGGTAGCCATAAATCATCCAGCTATTAGATTGGGATTTTCCTTGAAATAAACCATCCATTTTAGATCATGGCTGGGGGTACCACCATTTATGGAAACCTCCATATCGCTGGGGAGAATATGTCCGGAATAAACATCACCAACTGTTTTGGGCTAGGGCTTCTTTTCTCATCGCCGCATGGCCAGATGAAAAAAGGATGTATCTCCTTAGGGGGTGAGGATCTAATATGTTTTAACGAGCATAGAAACACTGGAAAAATCTGGAATTATGTGTTTTTATGGGGAGATCATTCTCGAATGGAAAAACGGGTTGATGTTTTTTTTGGATGTTTGGGGTTGGTGGAGACTTACCAACCATCATGGGAAGTTTCATCAACCATCACTGCGCATTCTGGAGACTTGCCAACCAAAAAAAATGGAGTGGATGATGGGTTGGTAGTTGAGCATTCCTGAAAAATCATCCGCCTTTTGATCATTTCAGGAACCTAAATTGGAGGTACCTACCACATATAAGGCCTATATAAGGCCTATGTAAGGAAATATCCCCCAAAAATACGGCCTGAAATATGGTACTAACGTACCTCCATTTTAGGATCCTGAAATTCCCATTGATTTGGCCAGGGGTCAACCACAAACTTCATCCCAAAGTGGCTATGGCAATGGCTTCTGGATCCCACCCATCGAAAATTGTGTGGAACATCTGACCACGTTATGCCCAAACAAATCCAGGTCCAGGTGGGAACGCTGAAGATGACGAATTCTTACAACATCTTACAACCACATCAGAAATCCTACAACTATACACTGCTTGGTGGTGCAATAACCATCTTGAAAAATATGAGTTCGTCAATGGGAAGAATGACATCCCATACATGAAATGGAAAATAAAAAATGTTCCAAACCACCAACCAGTACAGCATATTCTGATACATAACGCTACACTTACTTAGTTACTAAGCCATCCATCTGAATCGGCCAGGTCAGAGTCGTTGGCAGTGAAACTCGGCTCAATTTCCTGACTTCCATTTCTTGAGTTGTCTCAAAGTTGTAGCCTAAAACCCCTATGCTTTACCTATGCTTTACCTATGCTTTACCTATGGTTTACCTATGGTTTGCCTATGGTTTACCTATGGTTTATCATGATTTTACCCACTCACTTGCCATGGAGCGTTCTTGGATTTGGAAAATGACAACTTGTCATTGTTCCCATTACAAGTTGGGTGCCAATAAAAAACCCAAGGACTATCAGAGATCACCCCATTTTTTCGACCTTGGAGGATTTGACAACCATCACCTGCCACCGGTGGAAGTCATGTGAGCCAATCTCAAACTCTCACCACCGGACTTTCCACCTCAGTTGCATCTCTGAGCAACCAGCTACCCACAGTTTATGGGTCGCCAAAAATCAACGCGACCCGAATGCTGTTCTTAATGGGCCATGTGTTTGGATCAAAAGTCCCCATGGCGAAAAATCCCAGAATTTTGATGTGGTTTTAAACCTGGCTTTCTGGGAGGAAAGCAAAATTTCATATTCTTAATGTGTGGAAATATTGTTTTTTTGGGCAGAAAAAACTACCCCACTGATGTTCAACACCTTGAGTTGCGGACCCGATGACCCCCAATCAGTAGAAGCTGTGTGAGATCTGATTGGATGCTCTTGTCACATCGATCCTCCGGCGATGGGATACCGAAAAAAATCCCAAGTTGGGTCATTGGAAATCAATGAGAAATGGCCCAGCCAATCTCATTGGATTGATTTAAGGGAAAATCTACAGGAAACCATGGTTTTTACCCTCAAATATAGGGCTTTCCTGTAAATTTTCCCATCATCCAATTCTATGACAATCATGTTTTAGAATATTGGGGATATGAAAAAAAAATGACCCCAAAAAAATGGGAAATTTCGCAAAATCCCACGGGGTAAATCGAATCGTTTCCAATCTTGAATGGTCCGAAAAATTGAGGCATACCCTAATTTTCCGGACTCGAATCTTTTCCGGCTCCATTGCTGTGCCATTGCTCCTTGGCTGTGAACCCAGTCTCATCCTGGCCAAGGAAACTTGAAAGCCCAAAAAGAATGGGAAACCCATGTCCCACCAAGCCATTGGAAAACCCGAAAAGGCCCCGGATCCCTAAAACCCGGTCTTTTTTTGGAACAGTAACAGACCCAAGGGGAGATGTTGCTAACACAAATGGTGCCAGGGATCCAGCTTCAACCCTACTTCGCAACAATTGCTGCTCAAGTCACTTACAACAATCATGTTTTTCATGGTTTTTCCAGATATTGAACAATGTTTACCCTCTGGAAATTTAACATAGCTATTGAGAAAATGGCACCTTCATAGTTGATTTACCTATTGAAAATGGTGATTCTCCATAGCTATGTTAGTTTACCAATATTTAGGTGTTTTTTTGCTCAAAGCCATCGCGTTTCGCACCTTGCACCAGGGCAGAGCGCCTTTGTCCAGCAGCAATCTGGCGACATCCAAGTGGCCCTGCGTCGAAGGCATGTTTTTCACCACGTCCATGGCCACAATATGAGATGCAATATGCTTCATAGGTGTTCATAGGTGTTCACAGATGTTCATAGATGTTCATAGATGTTCATAGGTGAGTAAGAATAGTATCAAGTTGATGTATCAACTATAGGATACAGGATACAGGATACAAACATCAAGTCGACTCGAGATCATCGACATAAAATCCATGATACAATCCATGAAAATCCCATGAAAATCCTGTCAGGACCTCCTCAACTGCCAGCATCAATGGAGTGCTGAAGTCGTTCAGGGTGCTGTTGACATCGCAGTTCTGTCGCAGCAAATATTCACACGCCTCCAAGGCGACCAAGGCTCAGGGTTTTTAGGTCGCAGGATGAGTTTCCAGAAACTTGAAGTTTCAAAGAAGACCAGGGACTTCTACCCTCTGGTAAACTAACGTAACTATGGAAAATCACCATTTTTAATGGGAAAACTCACTATAAATGGCCATTTTCAATAGCTACGTTAGTTTACCAGAGGGTACCTGATAAAAAAACGGACTGAAAAACTGATTTCAACTGCCAAATCCTGATCGCAGGGAGCAGGGAGAAGGTCCGCCTCAAGTTGCCCCGATGCCGAAGTGTAGTGGAGCCTGAAAAAACTGCAGGGATTGCCATATCCGCCACATCCTGATGATGGGCCTTTTGTATCAGAAGCTGGGTGGTCTGGGTGGAATTCTGCTTGATTTCTTGGAACTCCAACTGTCAGATTTCAGTCAGATCATTGAATACCACTGGATTAGATGCTTGGGGACTGGGGGACACTGAAATGGATTTGGTTTTAAAAAAAAAAGTGAACAAAAACGGACCCAAAGTCATCGCCATCGTCGTTTTGGATCAAACTTATGAAAGAAAAAATCAGTCGGAAAGCACTGTTTTTCAGCTCCAGCCAGATGTTTCATTGCAGGATGGCTATAAATTCGCAGCAAACCCTCCATGTACATCCCCAAATTCTTGGTACTGTGATTCATCCAATAACAAACAACTCATAGTTTGAATGGTTGCTACCAACCATTTTTGGAATTTTTAAGGTGGTATTGGGGATGGTTTATTCATGATTCGTATTGGGTTTACCACACTAACTTCATTCATACCCTCTGGTAATTTAACATAGCTATGGAAAATGGACCGTTTATAGATGTTTTACCTATTAAAATGGTGATTTTCAACAGCTATGTTAGTTTACCAGAGGGTATCCCCATGAAATAGCGACATCTTCCATTGAGCATCCCAGCGCAGTCCACCCGTGGCCATCTGCGGCATTGACATCTCAGGACCCAAGGGATCCGAGCGATCCAAGTGATGCGGGCTGGGGACATCCCAAAAAATATGGCCAAAAAATGGAAACATGATGTAGTGAAAATTCCAAATTTAGATGTAGTGAAAATGAAAAAAACAGCTGAAACAACTACATCTAAAAAATGAAAATTCCAAATTCTAAATTCTTGGCATCCTGAAACAACTGAAACAACTGAAACAATTCTTAAACAACTCATGTTTAATGAAAATTCACTCAGGGTGCCGCTCTCTTTTTTGATGGGCTCCTTCACCGGGCCAAAGGATTCAGGAGAAATCCCCGGTGAAGTGACTGATCTGAGACTTCCTCTCTAGAAAAGGTAGGCATTTGAGTTAATTGCCTCATTTCCTAGAGGAAATGGATGGAAATGGCAATGGGGGGTCCATTTCGAAAGAATTTTGACCCTGGTTTATCTGGTTTCTTCCCAGCTGAGATCAGCGCTTCCTCCTTCCCTCACAGCTCTCTCCAAACCCTGTCAAAACTCAAGGATCGCTCGGATGAACGGCAACATGTGGCAACACGTTGGTAATCATACTTGGAAATCCTAATCCCTGAGACTTCTTGGCGGAGTCTCCAAAATATGCCGCTGGCCATTGGGCCCCTTCTCAAATCAAGTCACAGCCGGAGCTTTTTGTGCCATGGACGACGTGTCATAAATCCGCTTGTCACGTCAGACTGTGCCGCGCTGCGAGGTGGTGGAAACTCTTGGCATTATCCTTCCATCAGCATCCCTTGAATCCCTTCGTCCGAGAAAAGATGATGTTCCTCCCATGGTTTTCATCAATTCGATTCGGAACCAAACGAAACAGCTGGTAAGACAAACTGGAACCTCGTAATATTTCATGCTTTGTAGCCATATGTAACCATGGTGTTCAAGAAAAGTTGATGAAACGAATGATCCTTGGTTTTCCAATGGGGAATTGTGGCCTAGTGGTATAGCAGATTGCCAAGCAAGCTTCGGCCAGCCGGGCGGGGCCGGGCGAGACAGCAGCTGGGAAGGGAGCTGCTTACTCTGCGGTTACTGGACTATTCAGTTGCTAAATTTGAGGAACACATGTGCAGTAAACCATAGGTTTTACATGGATTTACCATGGATTCACCATCCAACATGGCGATTTCCTGCATGGTCTTACCTCCAAACATCAGGTTTTAATCGAATGTGTTCTTGTCGGGAATCAATCCCCCTGTTAGAAGTACGCAGTGAGTTCCCGACTTAGTCCCTCGGCCCTCAGTGACCTGAGACCGAACATCTACAGTACCTACATAGTGCATATTCTGAGAACAAAAATGAATATTGTCCCCACTTGATGGGTGAATATCATGGGTGAATAGCCAACAAATGCCATCAAGCTATCAAGAACTAAGGTAACTGGTACAAGTAGTGAGATGTCATGCTCCCAGCTGCATCATCGAAGGACCCACATGCTTTAGCATGGGGACGTCCATCGTGAGATATCGTGAGATGTTTGAGTTGCCAGGGTTTTTTTGGCCAAACACACCAGTCCAACCCAAGTTTCATTGTTCTCTTCACTGCATTTCCAAGCATAAATTAGGTCCCCATTTTTCCACCGTTTGATGGTTTATCTAATGTGCCTTTCACCAGAAGAACAGTCCCAGCAAGCCAAAAACCCGTGCGGTACTCGAACTGTCGGCGGAACCAAAAGATCTGCACGGAAAAAAGACATTCGATTGCCTCACAACTCCCTGAAAAAAGGTCGAAACAATACTCCGTGACCATCTGAAACCAGGACCAAACGATATCAAAATATATCAAATATGCCTGATGTGTTTAGCCGATTTTAGTCAAAATTAAGATGTTCTAATAGATTCTCGAAAATTTTTAGCCAGATTTGAGGCATCGATTTTGGAGGCATCGCTTCCATGCATCGAATTGGTCCAGACTCACCTCAGATTCCTTCATTGCACCTGGCTTAACTAAGGCTGGGATGGTTCTGGAGCCATCTGGAGCCATAGTGGACTTGGGTCCTTACGCTTGAGGGAAGGGATTCTCACTTTCTATCCGCATGACACAAAGCTGCTAAGATTGAACCTCACATATTATATTATAATTTTTATTATATTATATTATATTGTATTATACTATATTGTATTGTATTATATTATATTATATTATATTATAGTGTATTGTATTGTATTGTATATATTGTATTGTATTATATTATATTGTATTGTATTGTATTATATTGTATTATATTATATTGTATTGTATTGTATTGTTTATATTATATTATATTATATTGTATTATATATACAGTATATTATATTATATTGTATTATATTATTATATTATATTATATTATATTATTAATATTATATTGTATTGTATTGTATTGTTTATATTATATTATATTATATTATATTGTATTGTATTGTATTGTATTGTTTATATTATATTATATTATATTATATTGTATTATATTATATTATATTGTATTGTATTGTATTATATTGTTTATATTATATATTATATTATATTATGTTATATTATATTATATTATATTATACTATATATATATATATGTGCATACTATCTGTATTTTATATATATATATGTGTATATATATATACAAATACACAGCCACTATTTCCAGGTTAGTATTGCTACTGTATCTACATACCTTTCCCCTAGAATCTCAAGCTGCACCCCCATCTTCCCACCTGATGGTACGAAGCTGAACGGAGGAGGTGTGTGTTGAAGAGATTGGACCCTGATCAAGCGCAAGCTTTGAAAAAAACAGCAAAGTTTGGGGACAAAATTGAGTCCTCGGTGTAGCATTTATCTCCAATTTATCTCCATCTATGATCATTTCATATCATTTTGATTTTTTTTATTTCCAAAAGTGGCTGTTGAATGGCACTCGACTAATCAACCAAGCAGTAGGAAAAGGACATCTATGGTTATCTATGGTTTGGGGGGTCGAGGATCATGAGGATGGCTATCACAATGAAGAGGCACGCTCATTTTTCTTGTAGAATATCACAAAGATATTCTTCTGGCATATTTCCATCTGACCCAAAATGTCTTCATGATGGATTGAACAAACAGCAGATCAAACAATGTTGCATGGATGAATATATATATATATGCATATATATATATATATGTACACGTATATAAACACAGGACAACACGGGTACAAATAATTAC